CGGTGTTTAATAAATTTTTTCCACCAGAAAGTCCCCCCCCCCCCCCCCCCTTTTTTTTTGTAATCATCCATCTTTTGTAATCATGGCCATCTATAGGGGTCATGTGGTCTAATTGGCAAGTGCAAATTCCAAAATAATTGGGATAACTATGATTTTGGTTGCTAAAATAGAATTTATTATATTTCTTTAAATTGTTCATTATGTTTTTACTGTGAAATATGGATCTCATACCAACACTTGTTGTGCCTTGAAGTCACAAGTTGTTTTATATATATAATATGTAAACATCATTCCTTAATATCTTTGTAAACAATAAATTGTCATTGTAAGTTGCATTGCAAGATGGTTTTAATTATAGATTAAAGAGTATAAAATTTAAGGTTAAAAAAGTATACAAGAATTCATAATAAAGGGTTGAAATAATTACTAGTAGGTAAATTTAATGTCAGTTTGTTACACTGCATTAGGCTGTCCCTGAAGTCAAGATTGTCAGTAATATGCCATCTATAGTAATGGAGGAAGTGGCCCCACTTAGTGCCAGCAGTGCTGCATTGTTGGCTCCAGAAGAGATACAGGTAAATAGCTTCTTAAATATATGTATGTTGGTAGTGTTTGAAACTGCAAAACTATAAGGAAAATACACTTATATTACATTTCTAAAAGTATTAAATTTGTATGTATTTATTTTATAAAATAAATATTACAATCTTCAAATATAAATCAGTTCTTTTTAAAAATAAATTTTGTCTGAAAGTTTTCGCATACTTTAGAAACTTTGATTTTTGTTTAAACTCACAGGAGAAACCCAAGGGGGATGTAAAAGGGAAATCGGAAGCAACAGGCACTGATAGAAAGCATGAAAGGAGATTAAAAAAGAAAGTTAAACGGTTGAAAGAGAAGGAAAAGAAGAAGAGACAAAAACTTATAGAGAAGTTAAAACCAGGCTTAAGCAACAAGCACAGTAAAAAGAAAGCACTGAAAGAGTTGGAAAAACAAGAAAAGAGCTCCAAAAACCTGACAGTTATAAAGGTAAGGCAGTTTTGTGGAAATTAAAATGTTTTATACACCAAATAATTAAAATATAAATATTAAGATGTCAAAATTTTTTATAATACATCACTTCTAAATCAAACATTTTTTAAGTCTTTGGGAACACAAGAATGTATCACAGCATATGATAGCCATTGCTCTTTTTTGCAGTTGTTTGCATAAATATGTGAAATTTATACATCAACCATACTTATTTTATGTCTATACTACTTCTATTTCTACCTTTAGGAGGATAAATCAAGAAAGGCTGGACTGACATCATCTAAGGCCTTCTTCACACAACTCCAGGAAGAAGCTAAGACCCAAATACGCATCCACAAGACCACTAGGAATGAGATGATAAAAGCAAAAGCAAATACTGCAGCTAAACTTAAACTCTAAATCAATATTCAGCTCAGAGCACATTCTGTAACATTATTTTGATTTTACAGATTGGGAGGGGAGTGAATTCGAGTAGAGCTAGTGACAAAATTTAGGATGTATAAAGTTATTGTGTTGTGATTCATTTGCAACTTTTCTATGACATTTCTATGCCAAAATAAAACAAGCGTAGAAAAAATATGTTCTGCTATTGTTTTAATATAAATGGCATGTTTCCAATGTAGCAACCAACAAACAAAATTATTTCTTTTATGATAGAAACTGTTTTACAATGTTCTAGTAAAAAGTTAAATTGATAGTTCAAGTAAACATTCTGGAAAGTGGTAATTCTGTTTTTTTAACATGCATTCTAAACAAATGTTTTAACTATACTCATTTTTCTCTTTGGAGAAATTTAAATCTGAATTCTGTTTTTATATATAAATTTGCATTTTAAACATCAATGAAAATTTAAAATATTGTATATATTTGCCACTATTTTACACTTCTAAAAGAAAAAAATGAAGATTGGCCCCACCTATAATACAGAGCTGCTGAAAAAGAAACTTGTCGAATATCTCCAAGTTTGGGGTACACAAAACAAACCTAGGTCTTTACTATAATTATAAACATTTTTTTTAAATAGGTAATGAACTTATTGCAGATTAAGACCCTATTCCCAGAGATTAGATCGATCTACTTTAGATCGACCCAACTCCCTGGGGGTACATGCTAAATAGCTGTCAGTCGAGCGGGCACGAAAGTTAATTACCCCCTTACAGCTTGTAGTAAGCCGGACAGACATTTAAGCCGGATTATCTGACAGTAATCTAGTGAGACTCCCTGCAGGGATAGATCGATCTAAAAGCTCTGGGAATACGCTCTAAGTCTAGTTGATGCAAGAAAATACTCAAAAAGCTTTATTTTAATCCTGCCTCCCATTTCAAGGATTGTCATAATGTGGTGCAGGTACTGATAAGCTCTTCCTCTTTAAGATGGACAAGTTTGCTCTCATTTTCTGTACAGTCTGCATCAACATCAGCCATTTCAATACCATCTCCACTTTGTCTTGCTTGCAACTTGTCTTCTCCAAGTGGAACATCATTACTTTGATAAAATTTGGCATCTTCTTCAGTGTTTTCTAATTGTTCTCCCTCAACCATTTCATCTGCTCTGTTACAGAAAAAATAAAGTAATATGACAACAACAGTAAGTTGTTTACAAATTAAATGAGAGAAACAATCTGAAATGGTTAAAGGAACTATTCTGAATGAAATGGAATACAGGATCTCACAATGAAATTGAGATTACGACATTTCCACCTTACCCCAAGGTCTTCAGGTGTGAACATAAATGCAACAATTTCATACAGCTGGTATTTTGACATGTGCCTTGCAACAGTGCTTCTAATAAGCACCCTGTAATAAATAATTTTTCACTGATATTACATGATAACTTACCCAGCATCTTGTAAATAATTATTTGAAGTGTTGCAGTCCTCTTTCTGGCCTACCACTGGACTAAAAGTGTAAATGTTCTTATCTCCAACATGAATGTTGGAAGAGTTTACAATGTTAATATTGTAAACTTTAGGTTGCTGTGAGTGATGAGCAGCAGCAGCACCTGCTCCAATTTCCAATGGCTGACCATTCTGTTTACTCAACTCTTCAACATCTGCAACCCCTGCATTTCTATCCCTTCTCATCTCCTCTTGTTTTTGCTTTTTCCGTTTCTGTATCCATTGATGCTTCTTATTCTCCTGGTCCACTTCTCGCCTTATCTTCTTGTCTCTACATACATCACATGTAAATAATGATTTGACTTGTCTTTTGTAGTATGGGTCATCTGGCACGAGACCTTTGAGACTACTCAAGCCATATGGAATGTACTGAAAATCATCTTTAGGTTTGGTGAAGACTGGAATAAAGCCCCAGCGTTTTGTTTCATCTTTGAGAGATTTTGTCAGGGCTTCATTTACGTGTGTTTCAAATATCTTGTCTGTTTGCTCTTCTTCACAGTTAGCAGTCATGTAGAACAGCATGTAAGTGCTTCGCTTAATTGCTTCCTCAGCACACTGCCACTCTGCTTGTATCCATGGGAACTCTATGTGGTCATCATATGTACATCCTCTTAATTTGAAGCCATTACTTTCTGCCAAAGTTTGCAGTTCCTCATGATATGCAAGTGCCTTTTCTCTATCCTTCTGACAGAAAAACAATACATAATCGTATTGTGGTGCTTTTAATTGTGCAGGGATTTCATATTCCTGTACAGATATGTCATCGATGTATGTTTGCTGTTCAACAGCATCTTGACTAGTGTCTCTAGCAGTATGCATTTCTCCACTAGCTCTGTGGTCTTGCTCCTGATCTAAATTTAAATATATGAACATAAAATAATAATAAGACTGGCAACCAATAATAAAATAAGACTGGCAACCAATAAAATGTTCTGAAATAGATGTACTGTAAATGATATAACAGTAATATTAGTTTTCACCTCGATTTCAGGCTCTACTGGTATACTTGATACTGGTATACTTGATCCACATGAAGTTTAAAAACAAAGTTACCAAAGTGTATGGATATACTTCTCTCAGGTAAAATATTACTTATAGAGTCTGATGAATGGTACTAGTACGATAAACGGTGAGGTTTGGGAAAAAAATATATATACGCTTGGCTATAGACATATTTCTGACAATGCATTGTTTAAAATTAAAACTAATTCAACCAAGGACCAGTAACCATGTACTAGACACACCTTCGAGGACAAATTACTTATAATACATTTTTCGACTAGTGACCGTAAAACTATGAGTAATGTTTGAATGCATTGTTCGTTTTCATTAAAATTTACCCCCGATAAAATATGCAGCAAATATTCTTACCGATCTGACAAAATTGTTCTTCAAAACTCATTTTTCTTGGGCCAGCTATCCCAGGTATTGCCGTTACATCTCAGATATTAATAACTTAATTAATGCTTAAGTTAACTTTTCAGTCATCTGAGTTATATTTATAGGTTCTTGCGTGTTGTTTCGCAGACCAAAAACAACAATAACGTTGTTTAACCAGGGTTTTTCCCACTGGGTTTTTCCACAAGAGGAAGAAGGAAAGTAGTTTTCCAATCTCCTGCTTGTGAAGAGTTTCAAACGCAATTTCGAGAGGTACGAACAGAAGCAGCACTCATATCAATCGATTGAATCTGGCAATTTTGGTTAAGACACTGTCTCAATTTGTTTGAATTACGGAAAATTTAACTCTCATTATGTGTTTAAGGTGTCACCTTTTACCTAAATCCCCCCCCCCAAGTCTTGTTCTGCAATGCAATCAGTTTCAATATATTTTGTATTACCCGGTTTTATTTTGAAAGCCTGTGTTCAAAAGTTTTTATTAATGTTTCAAAGAAGTTTTATCTTGACAAAATTCTTTGTCTTACTTTAACTTAAATTCATAAATGTTATTCTCTTTTATTTTGAGCACTCTGTTGTGGCAAACCATTTGTGTTATAATTATTTAAAGGCACCTAAAACCTGCTTCAAATAATCTGAGACAGAAAATTGAGCGTTTATTTATAATTTCACATAGCCATTTGCAACCCTGGTGCTTCTCGTTCTTCCAAGTTCTATAAGCACAACTGATAACACTGTGCAAACATAATAAAGTAAAAAAAGGCACCATTCAAATAAAAAATATCAATGTATTTATTTTGCTGCTAAAGGGCATCCAATGACCTGGAGCAAAAATAAATATTTACAGTGAACAATCTGCAAACAAAATGCAGATGTTTAATTAAGTCAATATATAATTATCCCCAGAAGAAATCTGAAGACTACTTGACTTGGAGTCAAAATGCTTTTATCATGCTGCTAAAGGATGTGCACTGTTATATTGTTGAATATCAACTTCCTTGTGAATTCTGCCAGTCTTTGGCTTTTTGCGGCCTTTGCATTTATCCTGATAGTTTTTAGCCTCCTTGTGAAGTCTTTCCACAAAATCTGGCAAGCCTAAAACATAAAACAGACTAGTATGTAAAACTTTTGCAAATCAAAACCTGTAAAACTTTGCCACAAAACGTTGGTAGATGTTTGCCTCACTCTGCAATTTCAAAACATTACACTTGCGTTACTAAGTACAGAATAATAATAATAAAATACAACATGTGCTGCAATGATGGCAATAGAGGACTCTCCCTACCTGAACGGGCTATCCATTTGTATGCAACTGAAGGAATTGGGGCTTGTGGGTCATCATGGTAAGTCATCAAATAATCTAATCCATTCTGAAATTTGATACAAATCACACTTCTTATAACATATTTAACATACTGACAAATTACCAAGAAAAACTTATTTATTTTTAGATTAATGTTGGACTTGCATTAAAATGGCTTTTATTTTCAAACTGGTACTTTTATACATTTTGGAAAATCTTTTTTGGTTTCAAAACTAATTATCTAGCACAAATGAAAGTTAGTGCTTTCCTGTCTGTATCTGCAATAACATGCTTTTCAAAATTTAAATCCTGGTAAAAAATTTTAACCTACTTGATCAAACTCTGTGTGGGGCTTGATGACCATAACAGAACTGTATGGCTTGACCCTGATATAGTCCTTAGTCTCTGGACATTTCTCATGGTCAGTGGATCTGGACACCAGTACTATCACTTTCTCCTCTTCAAAGACCTGTGACAAAATATAAGCAGGGTATATGATTATTTATCACTATTATCTTACTTCACATACTGATAAATGAGAACATGCTATTAACACCAGTATTCTACATTTAAAAATCTAATATTCAGTTATTGAAAAAAAAAAAGGTTATCACACTTAGAGGCTCATAATGACAAGAATAAGTAATGAATTTTGTTCCCCAAGGACGTTTAAAAAAAACCTTTCTTTAGTGTTTTTTAATGAATTTATATGGTGAAGTTGATTTTGCACTGGCATTGAAAATACTATCAAAATCTGTTTTCATTTTGTATTTTTCTCCGGTATTTTTTCTCCAATACCTTTCATGGCAATGTTAAATTGATAGTTCATGAGATCATAATGTTAAAGGTATGCTGCATGTGTGTCTACATATCCTTCAGAGCTACTTATCTTTCGCAATTCAGACTAGATTACTATGGAAATGTTTTCACACAGTATATACTTTGCTCCCGTATTTTTTCTCCAATGCCTTTAAGTATTGTGAGCCATTTGATCATTCTAAGTTAATTACCTTAAATCTACGTCTATACACATATTCCCTCGCATACATTGGGTACTAGAAAAGAAAAAAATTACAAAATCATTAAAACATTCTACATGAGCCAGCAAATGTGACTAGTTTTTAATGCAGACTAAGATGTTTCAATTGGAACCAAAAATAAAAAATTCACATAAAAGACTAAATTTTGCACCCACCGGATATCGAGTGACCCAATGCACAATTTCATTATTAGACTCTTTATCTTCTTCCACCTTTTCTAGATTGATCACCATTTTGTCCCATGTCTTTCGAAACTCCAGATCAATCTAAAAAAACAAACAAACAAAAAAAAAACTAATAATAAATTCACAATTGATTTCTTAACAATTTCTTAGGCAAGAAACCAAAATGTAAGGTCTCTATACTTTTGCATAAAATTAAAAAATTAATAAAGAATTTTCTATTTTTAATATTATCCAACTAACTATTATATCCCACTAACCTGAACATCAAGGAAAGCAGTAGCAGGAATATCATAGAATCTACCAAATACTGCAAAACAAAAAATATTGAATTACATTCTATGCCCATTATAAAATATGTGCCAGTCAAAGAAAAAAATATTGAAAAGCTTTACTTGAGTGATCTAGAAAAATATAATTTAGATAAAGCACCAAAACTATTTAATTCATTCTCTCAATCAAAATGTAATTCATGTTATTTCAAGAGCCTTTTTTGAAAATTATTTTTTTAGAATAACTTTCAAATGTCACTTATCAAAGTTTATCCAGTCATAAAAATATCAACAAAAGTAATTCATCTCTTATGTTAGAAAACAGTAACATGAAATTCTAAAAAAGAAAAATGCACACCTTTGTATTCATACAAATGGCTATCAGCCATTTGTTTTCTCCATATTTTGAATGTATCTTTGTCAATAACACACTCCCAATCATCCATGTAATGCGAGTCATTCCCATTTCCATTGCCTGTGTTATTTGTCTCTGAAATTTTATCTTTGGAAGAGCTTTTCTGTTTCCTGGTGTATTCATTCAGATTTTCAATATGGTGCATATCTGCAACACAGCTAGAAAGAAAATATGGTAATCAAGTTACAAAACAACCAAAAACTAATAAAAGAAATAACAAAGGAAAATGTACAAACATTGCTAAATTGACAGCTCATGTTAAGGTATGCTGTGCAGGTTTTAAATTTTCTAAGTCTAGGTATCCTTCAAAGCTACTATTCTTTCCAAATTCAGGCTTTAATACTATAAAATCCCTCAAATAAAAGTACTTTAAAGGAAGACATGGCATTTTTCAATGATTAGACACTATTTAAGAACTAAAGTCTTAAATTCAAAATGGAATACAACATCAAATCCAAGTGCAAGAACAGGTCGAGAAATTTGTGACAGGTGGGGGGAGGATTCATTTTTCCCCCCAAGGAAAATTAGTTTCGATTAACTTTGGCAGGCAAACCCCATATAGAGTACCTTTAACAAAACAAGTAATGGGCATTCCTTATATGTTAACTGTTACACAATCTTGAATGTTGTATAACCTCCCTGAACTGACAACAAATACTTAATTTTCATATTCTGCAGTTGAAATATCCCTTATATTTGAACTGAGCAACAGTAAGGGTGGTGACTGAGTAAACTCACTTTTGTAGTTCATCGTCTGAAATATTTTGTTTTGCTGCAAACCCTGCTCCACTCAAGAGTACACCTCGCCGCCCCCTCGTCTTCAAATTCCGTACAAAGTTTTTCATCACTTCTTTAGCCAGTTTTTCATCATATAATCTATTATATGATGTCAATATCTGACAACCTCTCTTAGCCCGGTGTATGACAACAGCATTACATTGCTTTACAAATATTCCTCCTATGACTTCTAACTGCTGACTGCATCTGTTTACCAGTGACCTACAACAAGCCCCCAGAAACGTGCTCGTCTTTGACCGTTCATTTTGGCCAAATTTCCTGGAACATTTTCCAATATCAATGACTATTTCAGGCCGAAGTATATTCCTAAACATTATGGATATCATAAAGAACGAGTTCTAGGCAATTAAACTAAAATAATTCGTAGAGATCAATCAGTGGCACCTACAGCCATGTGCCATGTTGCCTAATGCCGTACTGTGACCTTCATCACCTTCCAACGTGACGTAATAGATGAAAAATTCAAGACAGGCCATTATACTGTTTTTGGTGTTACACTATTTAAGTCCAAAATGATAAATGAGCAGTGTAATTGTTGTAATTATCTTTTATATAAACGCAAGATATAAATATGCATGTATTTTTACCTGTCTATCATTATTCATATCCGGTTAGTATTTCATCCTCTTGGCAGGCTTGATAGATGGTCTCGAAAAGTCTCGCTAACAAGTCCGAGATTAAACTTGTGTACTTAGCAACAATATTCATAGTCTGAGTGAAGAAGTGAATGTTATCGAATAATTTTTACCTTTCATATTATGTTTTTATTTAGTTTTTAAGGTTGGAAGAACCCTTATTACACATGGAGTCAATAGGTTCTCTCGTGCTTTCGTAAGTATAATAAAATGTTTGTGGTTTGAAATCATTTCACATTTTCAGCGAAGCCGTAGTAGGTTGTAAGGTCTAGCATTCAATTTTTACATTTCCATTATGGTTGAATTCTGTTTAGCCTCATATAACCTTTAATAGTACTCTTGTAATCAGATACATGCTTAAGATTATTATACGACTGCAGTATTTAATAATGCACTATCTTATAAATCATCACAATACATAACAATTGTTTGCCTTTGCCTTGTTTGCATACCAGTGTGAGCCAGCAAAAGTGAAGGCCACTCTTATTGATCAAATAATATTTCATTCATGATTTTCTCTGATTATTTTTTAATTTAATTATTATTAAAAAAAGGAGAAATATTGATTCACCTGACACACATACCAGTACTATACATTTTATGACTATTTATGTAATGAAACTACATGTACAGTACTGTAGATCTAACTCAAAACATGTATACTAGTTAGTACCATGTACATGTACATATACATGCTGGTACATATTACTACATTTTTCCTGAACTATTTTTACAATAAAATTTTCTACTATCTAAAATATTTGAAGGAGGTTACTAGATTGCATGTTTTTTTCCAAGAAAAGGAAAAAGTAACTGTGAACTCAAGTTTGTTATAATAGATTTAGACATTGTTATTGTATCAGCATATTATACTTTTCTGCTCTGCAGTTGGCCTAACTTTCATTTTTCTCATTTTTATTTTGTAGGTGGGCTAAAGGCTATGATGGCAACAACACTCATTTCATAGACAAGAGCACCATTTGCTTTGCCTGTGGCCATAATGTAACTTTTGTGAAAGAAAATGGAGAGGAGATGGTGTTCCCCAGTCCAGGAGAAGGTGTCGGTACCCTGGCTGTTCACAGTGTCAACAAAGTGTTTGCTTTCTCTGATCTGTCACTGCCACCAAAGGTTTTTGTGTACAGTTTTCCAGGTTTGGAACAGAAAGCTGTTTTACAAGGTAATTAAGAAACTTTATAGTGAATCTTACGAATAAGTTTGTTGAAGTTTTTGGTTTTAAAATGTGAATTGTAAATGTCCTTCCTTTGTTTTATGACCTATACTGGAGTTATATGTAATGTGACTAAAAAAGGGTCTGACTGTTTTGGAATATCTTATGGTAAATTTGCAGCTGAAGATATTTTGATTTTGCAGTGCAATGATTCTGTTATTTCTGTGATATCTTCTTTGAAACAACTATAAAGAATCTATATATTAAATATGGATAGTGAAGTTATGATTTTGCTTTCAGATGGTGCCCAGTTGGAATATTCAGCCATTGCTTTCTCAGCTAGTGATTACCTAGCTACTGTCTCTGGTTTACCTGAATTTGAACTTGCAGTATGGTAAAAAAATTAATGGATATCATTTTCTTGTTGTATTGGATAAGATATATATGTAAATCATTTAATTTTTCAGTTTTNGATATCTTCTTTGAAACAACTATAAAAAATCTATATATTAAATATGGATAGTGAAGTTATGATTTTGCTTTCAGGTGGTGCCCAGTTGGAATATTCAGCCATTGCTTTCTCAGCTAGTGATTACCTAGCTACTGTCTCTGGTTTACCTGAATTTGAACTTGCAGTATGGTAAAAAAAATTAATGGATATCATTTTCTTGTTGTATTGGATAAGATATATATGTAAATGATTAAATTTCTCAGTTTTGTTTACCTTAACAAGATTTTATTTTCTACAAGATGAAGCCCCTGCATATAAAAAATGTCATATACCCTTAAAGCCTATAAACTATATCATTACACTGCTTTAAAACATGTGAATGAGAACATAGAGACAAGTTTATCAGTATAATATTCTTATAATTACAGGGATTACATTAAGGGAAACAAGCTTTGCACTGTAAGTTTACCACATATCACCCCTACTGGTGTGTCTATCAACCCAGCCAAGTGGAGACAGATATGTGTCACCACAGACAATGCTCTTACACTTTACCACGTTGAACAAAGTGATGAGCATTATTTGATGAAGCCAAGGTAAATTTTTTCATATTTATTTCTTCTCCTTGTTCCTTTTGTCATCGGCAGTGCTTACCATGTCTATTCGGCTTATAAGCATAATGACCAGTCTCAGAGCAACAACATCTATCAGTGTTTGACAGTCCTGTTTTTTTAAATAACTTTAACATTGCAAAAAGGTCTTTTGCATATTGCATAATGGTAAAAAAGTAATGAATGACATGTATATTCACTAAATATGCATCTTTCAGACATACAGTTACCATACACTTACAAAACAACTTTTTTAGTAAAACTAATTTGCCAGTAGAAGATTCAATGGCAACAATAGAGGAAGAAGGCCGCATGCCTACTAGAGCATCCACACGTTTGACCAAAATGACTGTGGAACTGCCTAAGGCTGCTGTAGCTGGATTGGTGGGAGAAATGGCTGAGAGATGGGATGATTTACAGGATCATAGGCCAAGGGTGGTCCCCAAAAGTCACTGTTGGACACCAGTTGGGGATTTATATGTTGGATGTGAAGGTGGACAACTTCTGAAGGTTAGTGCCACTGGAACTGTTTTATAAAAGAAAAATATTGTAATTTTTTAGTTTTTTTATTGCAAAAAGCTTCTTTAAACTTGCAGGTCTGAAAGTCAGTTTAAAAACAGTTTTGAAATGAACCTACTAAACTGAGATTTTCAACTGGTTGCATCTGTTTTTTATTACAATGTTTGTTAATTGTTTCATATTTGTATTGCAGGTTGATGGAGAAACCCATGTAGCCAAAGTCATGTATACTCCTGGACCAAAAGCTGCAGCCCCTCCATCTCGAGAACCAAGCCAGTCTTCATTGAAGCTGACCAAAAAAGTTTCCATGGCAGATATGGATTGTATGTTGACCTACCTATGGTTGCCTGAATACCTAACATTTACTATACTGAGTCTGCCTATATTAAGACAAAAAATGCTACACATTTGCATATGCACCTCTCTAAAGAATCAAGCCTCATTACTTTTCAATTAAATATTAAAAATTAACATATTTTAGATTTATAGAATGTATGTTTTATTGTATTTTATTTTAAGTTACTTTTTTATAAAAACCTATTGAAACTGACTATAATTATGATTTAATTGCTGTTATCTTTCAGTGAATAGTGCCATGATGAACATTGTCCCAGAAGGAGCATTCAGGACCATGGCTCTGCACAAGACTGGGCTGTTTGCTGGAGGATTGGTAGGTTTCTTTTTTTTCTTCTTCTTCTTTTATAATTATTATTTTATATATATTTATATATTATTTATTTATTTTATTTTTTTTTTATTTTTATTACTTTTTTTTGAGGACATATCATTTATCTCAGAAGTATTTGCTTGCAATTTTTTTATATCATCATAACTGCAGAAATTTATCAATATGTAAAAAGTCTTGATTGTATTTTGAAATTTAAAGAACTAGGAATGGAGAAAGATATCCAGTACATATTAACTTTAGGTGACCTTTACTCTTTCATGGATCTAGAGGGGTGATTATTTTAGGCATTATTTTACTTTGTTGAAAGGAAGCTTTACCTCAAATACTACCAATTAATATCATACCCCAAATGACTTACTGGAGGTGAAAATAAGCCGTTAAAACACTTGTTTTATTTATTTTTTAATATCTTGCAGGATGGTACACTGAGAAAACTTGAGGTTAAAGGAGATAATGTAAAAGTGGTGGAAACCACACCTGTTGGTCTGCCTATATCCTCTATGAGCTTCTCATCAACCTTTAACAAGTTGGCTTTGGGTAGTTCAAGGGTGAGCAATAAATATATTTATGTTGTCATAAATAATGAATACAAATAGATTTTAATGTTTTGCATGTAGATTCTTCAGTATTTAGCTTTTGTAAAATGTGTTAATTTGAATAATTCAGCATTATGAAATAACATTAAGTATTCAAGTAAGCAAAGGGATAACATTTTTGATGAACAAGTATCGGTATAATGTGCTCAGTCATTTCGCACAATTGATTTTTGCAGGGAGCTCTCCATGTGTATGACTTGGAAAATCCAGGCAGTACCAAAGAGATCTTTGATATTCACCATGGAAACTTTGTAGCAGTTGACAGCCTGGCTGGATGTGACCACTGTGTGGTAATGAGAAATTACCATTTTATTTATTTAATTATTTTTTTTTTATATGAATTATTTGAAAACACTGAAATCAGAATTTATATCTTTTTAATGTGGTTGAATTTTGCAGCTACAGCAGCATTTGTTTGGAAAAGGAAAAAAACTGAAACAATTAAAACAGCATTTATGTTACGTAAATTTTTTTTTTCAAAAAGCATATAAATTAGCATAATTTTGAGCATCCAACATTATGTCATACATAAATAAACCAATACTCTGATAAAGCCTATTATCATTTATTAGCATTATAAGTTTTGATTTGATAATTGTTATTTCGTGTATGTTATGTGCTTTCTATAACGTGGAAGCCAAATTATCGTTGCAAATGGATAAGACTATTATAAAACCATTTTCCAGTCTGTGCGTGAAGATGGTGAATTACAAGTGTGGCGTGTTGATACTTCCCAGATGGAAGGTTTTATTCCCATTGGACAAATGGTATGTGCTAATCATTTTCAGTTCATTTCAGTGCTATGCAGTACATTAAGACATAGCAAATAACCAAATAACCTTTTTGATTGAATTTTTAAAGTAGAAAAATAATAAAATGTAGTTTTTATTTGGAAGACATCATTAAGAAGTCACTGCTTATGTTTGTCACCTGTTCCTATCATCAGAAAAATTCCTTATTGTATATTTCATATCAGGCTACCAGTTTAGCTTGCAGTCCATTGCTCCACATGGCAGTGGTTGGAACAGAGCTGGGATACCTATTCTTCATAGACCTTAATGATACAAAGAACCCAAGGCCTGTTTACCAATATAGAATACATACAGGACCAGTCAACCACATTGTGTAAGTGAAAATTCATATTGATATTTGTTTTGTAAATATTTGTTTATATGGTTTGATTAAAGGCTGTATTGCTTTTTAATAACATTTATCAGTAATCACAACAATTGGCATCAAGCTGAATTACAACAGTTACTGTTTCTATAAGACTGAATTGTTTTCTTCTTATGTGCATCACCATGCTTTTTGCCTCTTTCTTTATGATTGTATATTTTACTGAAGACATGATAATACATCTTTAACATGTATGATATATTTTTTGGCTCTTTTAATATTTTATTTGTATTTCTGTTTATTTCAGCTTTGATAAAAATGGTCGGTTCATCTTCACAGCATCAGATGATGGGAATGTGTTTGTCATTGATAGCAGAGCTTCCAAGAATTTTGAGGTTGTGGGGCACACTGGTAAGCTGTTTTATTACCGCTACAACAAATGTATCCTTTGTGCTTATTTTTCACCATTAATTTATTTTTGCACTGTTATGACAATTATAACATGCTGTTCTCTTTTTATCTATTGAATCAAATTATTTTTTACTTTTTTTGTGTGTGTGTTACTTGTGTTAGCAAACCTGCCACATACTTACTATGCATTCTTGGTCTTTAGGCTACATTGGTAAATCAAAGAAACTTGATTTGTTTCAGAAAAATTTAAATCCCACATAAAATTATTTAATTAATACTGTAAGATAAACATATTACAATTAAGAGAGGAAGAAGTACAGCTCTGTACATAGTTTACAAAAGTCTTTTTTAATGTTTTATGCAGCTGTGGCAGGAGATGTACAGAGTATATCCATGTTCAGTTCTGAGGGTTCTAGAGACATCAAGGTGGTCGTCACTTCCAACAACACTGGACACAAGAGACTGGGAGCTACTATTGCAGTTGTATTTGACATCACTGACAAGTTGACCAGAGGTAAGTGTGGTTTCAAATTCTGCTCATCTCTGCTTTGTTAAAAATGGGAGACATGGAATGAATATACTAAACAAAAGAAAGGAAAAAAACCATTGTGTCTCCTATACATTGTCACTCTTGATAGAAATAGCAATTTTATCAACGATTAAATAGATCTTGCAGTTTTAAAATATATATACATGTATTAGACATTTAGATGGATAATGAGAAAGACCACTGGTTAAAAGTATCACTTATTATCTATAGAGTATCTCCACAAACATGACATGACATTGATTTTGGGTAATAATTTTTTTTCAGACTTTAAATTAGCGCATGCCAGTCTGAAGAAGAACTTTAGAGATGATGCCATCAACAAGATGGTGTTGACTTTGACAGTGCCCTCCTATGGTGCAGCCATAACTAATGGTGGGGTCATGTATACTATCTCACAGACCAACAAGATGATACACAAGATGATCCTGCCTGAAGAACGTCCACCGGTATGTAGCTTGGATGACACAATAAATTTCCTCAGTGAAGGTTTTGACTAATTTATTTTATGTACTGTGTTATTAAGAATGCATATATACCATGGTGTTTTTTTATGATAAATGTGTTTTCTAAGGCTTTGATTTTTTTTCTGTCAGAACTAACTTCAGATATTTTCATATGTCATCTTTTGTAAGAATCAACATTTTTTTTTTGGTGGATGTTGATTATTAAACTATAGAATTATGAAGACTTCATATTATTGTAATAACAGAGAGATGAGGCTGTCTTGAGTCATGTCGGGGAATATCCAGGCCACCAGTTGCCAGGAGGAAGGCTCATTATGTCACCACACAACAAATGGGTGGCATCTTATGGCCCTGATGGAAAAATTTACATAAGAACAGTCGGAGATATGGTAAGTGCAACTGCAAGCATTCTTGTTGAATTAACAGTGTTTATTGCTTACATGTCTCATTTGCTCCTTTCTTATAAAATGAATTATTGTGGTCAAGCATATCCAACATTTCAAATTTTTATCCTTTTAAACTTATGCAGCATCATTTTAGGTAAAACATTTATGAATTATTATTCTGATTAATTATAATGTTTGTTTTTTTTTTTATCTTCTGTAGATTCAAAGAAAAATGATGTCCATCATCTGTGAATCCTGGAGCATTTATGGCAATACTTTGCAACATCATGGTTTTCACTGTAAACATTTGGTTTTCTTTTATATATGTATATGTGCTTTTTGATTTCAGGACCACCCTCTGCAGCTGTCCCCCCATGACTACCGGCATGGTGGAGTGAGGCACATGACTTTCTCTGGAGACAGTCAGATGTTGTATACTGTGGGATACGATGGAATTATGGCTTGTTATAAGTGGAGGTAAGGGAGATAGAATGTTGGCATTTTGATAAGTGTAAAAAGGTCAGGCGAAGTGTGCTTGGAAGTCTGTGATACAAAAATTTGCAATGGTTTGAAATTAATATGTTAGCTTTTCAGAATATAAGCAATTAAGAATGAAGCAATTTACAATGATAATTTGTATTCAGCAATTCCATTAATCTATTAAGCAAATTTGAAACTGCATCAAGAGTCCAGACACTTTCATGTCTACCAACATTTGGTGCTTATGTTGTAAATATCATCAGGTATGTGAAAACCCCAACTGCTCAACTACTCTCCTTTCTGTCAACTGCATTGCTTATGTATAATGATAAAATTTCTTTTAGGCTAACCCAAAGTGGTCAGGCCAAAGCAAAATCAGCCATTGAATCAGCCAGGGCTATCAGAACCAATAATATGCAGACCCAGCAGACTGAGGATGCTATGCTGCAGAGTATGAAGGAGTGGTCACCATCCAGTGAGTCAAGGCCTGTCACCACTGCTCCTAAGGAGGAAACAGTAAGTAACAAACCATTTTCAGTACAAATAGCACATAGATATTTGCCTTTAGAAATTGAGCATGAACTACTAAAAAGGCTTTCTGTTTGAATTGTTTTATAGTTTGTCTGGTAAATTTGTGTGTTATACATGTATGTCTCTATTATTTTGTTTTTCTTACTATGTGACTTTTTTGTAGTTACTTGCTTCTGTTTTGTTTTGTTTATTCATTTTTTCTCCTAAACTGGATTTTTTATTTACCGCAAGTCATTGAGAATAATTTGACTAAATTAATCACCAGTTTACCAGATTTAGCATTTTTTTTTTGACAATTTCTGAGGTAGGATGGGCATCTGATTGTAATACCTGCTATAATTGATCTTCAGGAACAACTGGAAAAGGAGCAGTCAACTGAGGAAGTCTATACCACCCCTACCCCAGTTCCAGGTCATGATAGCACCTGGTTACAGGCACAAGAGCTTATGGTAAGCTGTTAGGCATCTTTTAGAATGTAGTTATATATATAGCAGGGAATATAGTTATACATAGCAGGGAAATCTGAGTAAAGCAAGCCAAAAATAAGAAAGAGGATTTTGTTGATTTGATTTAGTATGAGAGATCATAATACAAGGTATTAGTGTCATGGATATCTTAATTTTAATTTTCTTATTTTTATATATGAAAGTAAAAGTAGAAAAAAATACATCTTGTTCATATCAGAATATTGTTCATCATCTGATTAATATATCACTTCAAGTTTAACATTTTTGGCTTATATATTTCTGCCTTATGAAGACTTTTTATATTTTATTTATAGTCAATCAAAGAGGAAGACAAGGAATATGCAGAGGTCAAAAAGCAACTGAGGCTGGAAATCAAAGACATGAGAAAAACAGTGAGTTTATTATACAGTATCATTGTGAAAATGGATTATCCTTAGACATAATACTGTTATATTGCTAGGAGATCAGCATGAACTACTAATTTTTTAAAAGGTTACCAAAATTTTTGGTAATAAACATTAATTATTACCTTTTTTCATAAATCTAGATTCAAAAGATGATGCAAGAGAATGAGGGTCTTCCAGATACTGAGAAACTTGGTAGACATGAGTTTGATCTTGATATTGATGAGCAGATCCATCTGCAACAGGAGGCAGATAATGAAGTAGCAAGGGTAAGCAGTTACATTGACTGTTTCCTTAATCAAAATACAGCATGGAATATGCAGTGTGACAGTTTTATTTCTAACGCACAAATACAATACTCATATCAAAAATACTCAGTGCATACTGCAATTGCAAAAAGGTATAATAATGCATTATGCCACTTGGCACTTGGTGTTATCATTGTGTGTTTGAATTATATTTTATCAGATCCGTGAAGAGATAGAGTTTGAGGACTTGGCCAAGCGGTACGTGACCCATATCATCAAGACAGAGTGCTGGGATGAGATGGTTGTCAAGGGAAGAAGCATTGAGGTAAAGGAAAAAAATAGAAATGTCATGTCAACAGACAAACAAACAAAAAAATTAAGAATAAAAATCCCAACAGAACTGCACCTGACTGACTGGCTAGTACAGCCAGAAATATTACAGATATTTTAGGGACCATTCCCAGCCCCTATCATATTAACTGAAGCTGGTAAGGGGTTATTAATTAAATATTGTTTAGCAGCTTCAGTAGGCATGCCAGACATCTAAGCAGCTTAAGCTCAAAGCAATTAAGCAAGAAACCCCTTGGAGATGGATCGATCCTGTTAGATCGATCTTAGCATGGGAAACCAGTCTTATACCATTAAATGATATCAGACATCTAGTCAACTGGCTGACTGGCAAAATTGGTTTGACAGGCAAACAGGTTGCAGCTTGTTTTTTCTTTTTGATTAAAATGATATCAGAATTAATAATGCCTAGATTGAATTATAATTAATGAAAAACTATGATATCCTTTTTTGTTGTTAATCTCCCTAGATAAAAAGAACAACATCAATACATTTTCCCATTGTTTCAGGCATTTATATCCTCTTATGAAGTCAGTAACTTCCCAATGAAAAAGCGCTCAAAGCGTGAGCTAGATGAACTTGACAAGGTAACCGCAAGAAGAGCTGTAGAGATTGCAGAGGTTCAGTCAAGAAGAGAACTGACTGAGGTTTCACAGAAAACAGCTGTGAGTACATAGCCATTGTTCTTGCTTTAAAAAACAAAACTAACCTACTTTTCACAGAATGACACACAAACTAGATTTTATTTGACTTAAATCCTTCACTCACAAGTAGCCCTACATTGATTGATACTTTCTTTGTAATGATATTATGAAGAAGTTAAGATACTAACATTTACATAATGCTATGATTACTAAAACAGATATCTAATGCAATAACTTGTTCAGCTTAGTTTCATCTTGGATCAATTATAACGGGTCCAAGGTTCCATACTAATAGAATTGCATCACAGTGCTTGCTGGCAATTTACTAACTTGTAGAAATGCAATTTTCACACACCAGACTTTCAGTCAGATGTTAAAGGAATCTGCCAATGAGACTGCACAGGTATTTTGTGTCACCTGCTTATTTCATTGACATCGCTTTTTCACTGTGTGTGCTAGAGTGTGTATGTGTCAGATTTTTAAAAAATCATTCACTGACATTAATATTTTTTTCCGTTTCTTTATTATATTTATTTCTTGTAGTTGAATTTCATAAGTATGAAAATTTGCTGCTAACCCTTTTTTACCAACTCTTTTTTATTTATTATATATATATATATATATATTTTTTAATATACATGATATCATCAAGTATCATTTACCTATGCCTGCTTATGCAGCTTATATTGTTGTCAGTGCTTGTATTAGTGATTTAGGACCATTGGTTTGGGTCATATTCCTTGCTTCATGTGGAAACAATGCAACTGTTACAGTAGTTATATTGCCTATGCAAACTCTATAGAGTTTTACTGCTTTGGGCTTAAAGAAAGTTATACAATTCAATAAAATAAGTGATAAGACTGATACCCACTGTGAACAAAGTTTAAAGACCTGATGCATTTTGTAGAAATGAACAAACTTATGAATTTTATAATCAAACTTTTATTATTACAAATCTTCTTTCAATTATTTTAATTAATACTATTTATGAATATCATGATCTTCTATCTAGGATATCTTGCTTCATTTTCCTTAGGTGAAAAAGGTTTGATGCCAAGGAAGTATATTAATATATTATGCATCTTATTTTACTTGCAATGAAATTTAAAGGGACCATTTGGTTTTCAGGGGACTGAAGATGAGCTTAATGAGACAGATGATGTTGAAGCTCAGTCAAAAGATGACAGTGCTACAACTGGCAGTTTGAGTAAGTGTTGATTGTCTTTCCCTCTTTCCCTGGTCGCTTACACAACTGATCTGTGGTTTTACATGATTAAAAAAGATTTGACATAAAAAATAATTAATTGCAAATTAGTGTTTCCTTAAAAAATTGAATAGAAAAAATATTATTCTTCTCATAATTGATTGATCTTTGAAATCTTTTAAAATGTTTTTCATCTTCTTAACCAATCAGGTGCAAAGTATGGAGGTGGCAGCAAAATGCTGTACAGCCAGTTTGAACTCCATACTAGAGAGCAAAAACAAGCTCAGATCATCCTTTTGCAGGTAAGTTCAGTAAAATTACATATAATGTCATATTGAAGTGTTTTACTTTTAAAATACTTGGTTTTGTTCATCTGGCATATCATTAACCATATTGATAAGTCTTAAATCCCCTTGTCATATCCATTTGTCATATATGTAGTTTAAATTGCCACAACACCTTTTTGATTAACATATTTTTATTTCTACACAGAAAACAAAAACACTTTAGCATAAATATTTTCTTGAAATTCTAGGATGTAATTCACAGAATTAAGTTAGCCTTTAACAAAGAATTTGATGAAACCTACCAGAAAAAGGAACAGGAGGTTGCTAAGATTAGAGACCGCAACAAGAGGATCAGAAAGATCTTGGATGACTTGGACATGGTGGAAACAGTCACAGACTTCTCAATGAGTATCTTGGAGAAGCCTGAGAGACTGCTTGTGGTAGAAGACAGTGAGGTCAGTTGCTTTTTCTCAATCTCAACAAATTTTTTGCGAAAAGACTACTAAACTTTTTTTAAGTGCAATGCTTTTCATTTTAATTTGCTTAACTTTTTATGGTGTTCATTAATATTATTTTTCCTTTTCTCACCTTGCGGCAAGAAACTATTGTTTTACCTGTTTCCTATTGTTAAACTTAGCTGATAATGCAAAATAAGGTTATACTGTTTTGTTTTTTATTCTTACCCGTGGACTTTATCTCTGTAGGTTAAAGTAGAGAAGTACTACACCCCACAACAGAGGAAGAAACTTGAAGAGGAAGCTAGGATAGAGGAAGAGAGAAGGGCAAGGGAGAAAGGAGACAATGCCAGGGAGAGAGCTTTAGATATGATGATGGGAGGTGTCCTGGAGATCAAGAAGGAGGATGAACTGAAAAAGGTAAATTAATAACAAATATTATTTGTTACAGGTACAACTTACTAAATTTTTAGTGTAAGATTTATTATCTTCTCAAGCTATTCACACATCACACATCATGATGCACACAAATAACAAGACAAACACAAAATTTTGGTTTGTAAATTGGCCAATCCATGTCACTTTTGTTTAAAGCAAAACCCTCAAGATTGATTCCTTTAAATCTTAGTTATTATAATAATCAATAAAGCTATTATTTGCAAACAATAATTAGTATGATGCAACATTAATTGTTACGATTAGACCAAATAATAATAATATCAAAATCACATTTTTCCGGATTGCAATGTCTATTTTTTATGATACATAGTGTAATGGCCATGGTTTATTTCATGGATTCATATCAGAAAGATAACTATCATGTCTTCAAATTAGTCTTATTTTAAGAAAAAATTGCAAATTTTATTAACATTTATAACAATATATGCATAGATAAATAGATAGATACAATACAGATAAAAAATAACTTTTTTCACTTTGCTCTCCTAGGATGTTCCAATTCCAGCTTTTATTCAAACCAAACCAGAGGATGACTGGACAGAGGAGGAGCAGAAAATTGCCAAGGAATATGAGAAGAAAGTGAAGGAACTTCAGGAAGAGAGGGAAAAGTTTAGAAAGGTGTGTGTAGCAGAAACTTAAAAGGAATATATCAGATGAGTAATGTATTTCATATTATAAAATGAAGTTCATCACTTTGTATATTTGAGCCAGTCATTGATCCAGAGATTTATAGAAAGGAGTCACACTATTTGATTGATGGAATGAAGTTATTAAGCTGTTAGATAACTTGATTAAAAATATACTAATTCTGCCATTTAAAATATGGTGCATCATTAATATGTTTTAGCAACTTGAGATGGAGCTCAAGAAACTGCAGACTTTGAATCAGGACACAGAAGAGAACTTTGATGAGGCACTAAAACAGCTGTTTGTCAGGAGGGTCAAGACTGACATGGTGATATATCAGGTATGAAAATGTTCATACAAATTTTTCATTCGGTTTACAGGTTGTGAATGATACTTTCACTATGCCTACATCTTCTGAATATACCCTTGTTATTTCTTTCAAATAATTTTTTTTTAGCATAACTATACTTAAATGGCTTAAATTTTTAAAAAACATCCACAACACTTTTTATATCATTAATGTCTTTTTATTATCTGAGTAGAAAAAAGACAAAATTTGATTATAAGGTTAAGTGCTCACATTATCACATACAATTTTAGGAAGAGTTGAAGATATTGCGTCTCCAGTACTCTCTGTTGATTGAGGAAGAGCTTGAAACAAGAGACAAGGAGCTCTGCAGATTGCTGGAACATAAGAAAATGTTGAAAGTAAGTTTATCTATGATTCACCACAGTAGTGTAACCAAAATTAAGTATGAAACTGTATTTTCTTACTGTCAGTTTGCAGAACTGTACCATATGCCAAAGAATTCATGTATGCTTCTAATGTTTTGTTTTGTGAAAAGCAGACTTTACTTGCAAATGTATTCAAATTTTACAAATTGAATAAACTCTAAAGGAATTAAATAAGTATAATACATATTCCCTTGCATTACATGTTGGCTTGAAAGCTCACATTAATACTTATTAATAAGATACTTCATAATTTTTTCCACAGACTCTCTCTGCCCAGACTGTTGCTGAAGCCAGAAAGCATGTGGATGAGTTCAGAGAAAAATATGACATCCTTGTGGCTGAAGACAAAGTGATAGATAAAGTCTTCAAGAGAGAATTCAATGATGTGCCAGCTGTTCAGTTGGATCAGCTTTACAAACTGTTCAGGAGACGACCAAGGTATGCACATTGTATAGTGCCACCTCCTTAATTCAGTTGTTTCAGTAGCCTGTCATCTAATTGGTAATTCAAACTACATGCAATACTTAAAAATTTCCTGAGATTGTCTATATATTTTAGTTTTATAATTTGATTTTGCTTTCAGGGGTGGAAGAGTTAACTTGAAGGACAGGGAAACACCTATTTATGACCCAAAATCTGGCAATCCTTTTGCTGACCGCCCATCAACAGCCAGGCAGAATGCCATGAACAAAGTTTCCATGGAATCAGCTCTCCAAGAACTGGACAAGGAGTCCAATATGCCAGAAGGAGTGCAGCTGTATGTTTGGGAGAGATTGTGCAGATACAGGAGGCAGAAAATTGACAGTGAGCAACTGGTATGACGTCACTTTTGAAATGATAATCTTTGCGTAACAACATACTGGTGCATACAGTTAAAGGGATAGTAACTGTTCGTTTCGGCCAAAAAATGAATTTTCCTGGAGCAACAATTTTCCCATACTTACCAATGGTTAATGAATCCATTTTTACATTCAAAGTTAGTCCCTGTTTTTTTTTTTTTTTTTTTTCTAAAAAGTTTGGTTTTTTGTTAAAATCTTTTAAGAGATTTTAACAGAGTATGGCCATCATTGGAGGTCACGTGGTCTAAAGACAAGCTCAGATATCAGAATAATAGCTATAACTGCCATTTTTGTGGTAAAACAGAATATGTTATATTTTTATGAGTTATTCACAATGTTTTTATTGTGACTTATAAATCTCATATGAAGAGTTATTATCCCTTTAACACCAGCCTCATTCATTTAAAATGTCTTTTGAAGAATAGATGAGAAATCAGCATTTTATGAAATCTTTTCTTTAATCAGGCTTTTTTACATGATATGTAAATATTCTAAATATAATTGTATTTTTATAGGTCAAACAAAAGGCACTTGTTTTGGCCGAGATGGAAAATGGTTTTCTGCGTCGCAGATTAGATGAAGATGAACAGCTGAAGAGAGACATTGAGGAAATCACCATTGCCATTGAAAAGTATGGCTTATATAAATCTTGTAACATCTTAAAATGTAATAGCAACAGGGAAGCATACATTTGTGTATTTTTTAAAATGACTTCCTCACATAGTGCTGGAGCAGGAGCTTCTGACTTTAAAGTGAAACCCTGTATAGTGTACATCAACATCTAAGTATAGTGAACTTCTTGAGGAACACAGGTGTCATGTTGAGTTTAATTCAGGGTCACCTCTCCACACAGTTTTTTGAAGAAGGATGTAGAATACTGCAGTTTATTACAGTTAGTGTAGCAAAAAAAAATTACAAAATAATTTAGATATTATACCATTGACAATGGTCATTAGAGTTGTTCCATTTTGTAATCTCTAGACTGAAGGAAGATGTCATTCAGTTTAATACCAACCTTGAAGCCCAGCTGGTCCTGAAGCAGGGTCAAGTTGAAGTGGATCCAGGGAATTTCATCCATGATTTCAGAGACAGCATCCTTATCCACAGGTCTGTGGTGGAGGAACTCAATGGGAAGATTAAGGTATTGGGATGCAGTGTTTTGCATAGTTTTTCTCTTTTGCTGGGACTCTCAACCAACACTTATATTGACATTATGTGGTGTACTATATATTTTCTCTCAAAAATACTTTGAATATAATCATTGAAATAAGCACTACTTTTTATTTTCTTTTTAGCAACTGGGAGAGGGCAAAATAGCCAGTATGGTTGATAGCAAGGACTTTAGAAAAGGCATTATACAGTTGGAGTGGTAAGTTAATTGTATTTTCCTGACTGTTGTTCGGCAATTGTTGCTTTTTTATTTCAATGGGATATAGCCCTTATCTTTTTTTCTGTAGAAAGTTTGTAATAAAAATGTTTGGTGGCAGAAAACTGTAGAATTTTGCTTTTTGCATTTCAGGGAACACAAGAAAAACATCATGCAAATTGAAGATTTACAACGAAAAATGAGAGACATTAACATGATGAAAGTTACAAGACAAATACAGTCGGTATGCATGAGCCTCATTTTATTAGTGACAAAACAGTTTTATTTTTGAGTGGCAAATCAAATCAAACAATGTTTTCACAAAACTGTTGTTTTTCTAGAAAAAAAGATGGATTTTTAAATCATCTATTGAACCCAAGTTAAACTATTAATGTTTTGTACTTATAAAAGCTTAATATTTTAAAATAAAATTGTAATGTTTTGCTTTCTAGTTCCTGAATGAAGAAGATCATGAAGCAAAGAGAGCACAGGAGGCAGCTGTTTTAGAACAAACAATCATGATGCAGAAAAAAGTAAGCCATCATAAAAAACATATTTTTTGCTGTTTGGCTTCTATAAAGTTAATACAAAACTAAACTGAGTAAGTAAAAGGTTCTTAACTCATTGTGCCCAAATGCATAGAAACAATGAAAACTGTGAGAGTTTTACTCTTACTATTCTCTTCTTTCCAGCATCATGAGAAAAATGTGGAAGAGCACAAAAAGATTGTGAAAGACCTGAAGAAAGCTATCCAACAGAGAGAGGAGGAGAATAAATCACTTGAAAGAGATTTGGAAGAATTGAATGTCTCTGTAAATGAGAGGAGTCACATTAACGATGTCAATGGTAAGCTAAGAAATATTGTATATGGTTAAAAGGTATCATTTTTGTAGAAAATAATGAAATGTTTTTTACATCCAATATCTTATCATTAGCAAAACATTACCTTGTTAAAAGATTTAAAAGATTGTTAAAAGATCTAAAAGAGTTTAAAGATTTTGTAGATAATTTTCATTACCTGATCTAAGGCAAATATTGTTTTATTTTTTCTGGACTTAAATAACAAGCAGTTGCTGTCAATATATTTAGCCATTAATAAAAATAAATTCCGTAATGCATGACCAGTGCAACTGATAATATAAATGCCCTTACTTAATTCTTCTTTTCAGCTGACAAAACAGGAGATGGTGGGCGTGACCGTCGCTACCAGGAGATTGTCCAGCGTCGTAAGTTAGTGGACCTGGCCAAAGCTCAGGCTCAAGAGGTGGCTGTGCTCAGAGCTGAGGTTGAGAGGCTCAGGATGAGAACATTCCCTGCTCTGGTGCAGGTGGAGCACTAATAGGTTGAATGTGAGGGGCTATTCATGGTGAAAAGACTTGTGGGAAGCTACAACTTGAAACTACTAGAAATACTGTTTTGGTGAATTTTGACAAGTTTTATCACTGTAGACTTAATTGAATTACTATTTACAGTACAGAAAAAAAACTTTTGTGACCACTGCAAACAGGCTTCCTTCTTGGCCTTGCATTTTATTAGCTACTAAAACAACTTAAGTGTACATATTCCGTCCAAAATCTGTGCATATAAATGTTTGCAGCCACTTATCCATGTTGTGTATGGGCAAAGAATAAAGTTAGGTGTATGTCAGATTCACAAATAAATTGCACATTTTGGCTTACTTTCAAAGAGTAATTACTGCAGTTCAATATTATAATATGTTCCATCATACATTACTGAAGAAAAAAACAAATGTGAACTGTGTAAGAGCCTCACAGCAACTTCTAAGAAAAAAATATATATTACATAATGGATTATTTGTTTGTAACATTCTTGAATCTTTTTGCATATAATCCTTTCCTGTGATATTGTGTAAATATTCTGAAGATTGTGTAGTATGTTTAATAAAATAATCATAACAACGAAAAACCCTTTTAAAAATGTTTTTGCTATCACTGAAATAATAAAAGACATCTTTTAATAATTTATTATAAAATTCTTTAAATTCCTTTTCACATGAACAACAAATAACAAATATATTGAGTTTTTTGTTTCTGCTTCATCTGTTCTTGTGCTTAGTGAAAAGTAATTCAAATTGCAATCAGTTTTTTCTATGATTTTACCCAAATGTAAAAAAAAAGTAAATACATCTACTTACTAATAACTGTACTAAACAACTGCATTATAAGTGATATTCAGATAATATAAAGAAACAAGTATGTTTTTTTAACAATCTATACAAATCTCATGCTATTACACAAAACTGGACAATAAAAAGATCCTAAACATAAACCACATAATTATGTTAACAATCATATCTGAATAAGTTACATTTGGTCTCCATACTTTTCAGTAACTAATTGGTTTTTACATGTATTCACACTGTTCATCGAGCACAGAATTATTTAATTTGTCATATAAATGTAGATGCACATGCAAGTAGTCCAATTTTGAATAGCATTTGGCTTTCAATGTCAAATACAAATATTATATTTAAATAAGTAAGCTTATCAGGAATATCCTTTATCAGTGTCAGTAATTTTACGTAAACCAATTACAATATCCTTTACTCCTTATTAAGTGAGCAATAGACTGATTGCATTTATGTTTCAAACAGCAAATTTCCAATTTTTATTATTCTACATGTATCATAGATCAGGACCGACAGTTCATGCACTTGAAGGTTTAAGAATAAGTCGACTTGTCCTAATATCTGATCAGAGCAAAATCAAGTATTAGACATTTCAAAATCTATTAGTTATTAAGTGATTTAACTGCCACTGCTATACCAACTGTCACTGCTGCTGCCAAGACTGCTCCCCCAGTTATCAAAAGATTTTTAGATACCTAGAAATGCAATTATAATTGATTATTTGGTAGTATAATACAGTTTTACTCATACTACTTTGAACCATTATATTACTTAAATTATAATTTAAACATAAAGAACACCACAACTATAATTATGATCACATCTATGATTTTGCTAAAGTGTGCATTTAATGGAAAAGTAAACACTTTTTTTAGGATTTTTGGTAACCATGTGTCATAAACATTAAGCTCATTACACAAAAAAAAACATTAATCATAAAAAATTCAAAGTTAAGAGCTTTTTACCCATGACTCTTTCTTTTTTCCATTTCTATCCTCTTTCAGACCAAACATCTTTCGGTACATTTGTTGTTCTTTGTTATCATCTGCTTTCTTCCTCTCGACTAATTTTTTCAGCTCTTGGTGAATAAGCTTAAGACAAAAAAAATTCAAGGTAATAATGGCAATGCTACTAAGTAACATTTATGGTTTAGAAAAAATTAAGACAAAGCTGACATGTGCATTACGTCGCTCTCGACTTAATATTATGACAAACTGCCTTAAACAAGTTAAAATGAAATGTTTAAAGATGTGTTATTTACTTACGATGTTATCAACACCAAATCACTTAAGTCTGCAGAGCTTTTTCTAACAACTGTTGAGAAATGATTTGCTGATGATTTGCAGATTAAGGTGAAATTCTATATACATGTATCTCCTTATATTTCTATCATTTACTCACTTTTGACTCGGGTTCTAGCTGTAAAGCCCTCCTCAAAGATGTGATAGCATTACCTAATTGGCGGTTGCCTTCAAATGCCTTAAAAAAGAACAACTATCTCTTTTGCAAACAAATTCCCAAAAAATGGCCATAAAATAAATGATTTTATATATGCATTATTGTTTTGGTCTTCTATTTCAACAACTGAAACAATTCAACATCATCAATTGCCTCTACAAATGCTTATCATTTATCTGTTGAAAATGTTATGCAACACTACATTCAAAAGTTTACTGCACAAAATATTTTATTTTGTCTGTGCTGCAACTGTTTACCTTGCCTTTTCTAAACAGAGCCTTGACATTGTTTGGCTGCTGTTTGAGCACTGCATTACAAGACTTGAGAACAGCATCATAGGCTTCAACCTGTAAAATAATGTTCAAAAATGACAAACATTACCCTCATTGAGATAAAGCAAATTTTTTGCCTAAAAACAAAGCACAGCACATTTAATCAAAATGAAGACCCATTACTTCACTTTTATATTAATCTTTACAATATTTTCTAACAGTACATACTGGTAAACAAGTGAATAATCTTTTACATAAAAAAAGACAAATCAAAGGACAAATTAAGTTAGTAAACTAGTCATATACAAACTCTTACCTTGAGTTGGCAAGCAGCCAGGTTATTATACACCTTCAACCTCATGTCCAGAATCTTCTGTCTCATACTATTCTCTCCTTCCCCAACATTATGACTGTTGTCTAATATCTTTAGCGCCCTTCCATGAAACATTGTAATGTATTCAAGGATTATAAAAAATGTGACAACATGCAATAATACAAAAAATGTATGTATCCTGAATGATTTTGTGGATAAAAGCTGTTAAATTTCAAATTTTGGAAAAGTATCCACCCTTATATTAAAATTTTATCATAATCATAACATTCTACCATGGAAATTTAAACATTTTCATACTTTGTATAAACATTGATTGCACTTGAATAATCTTGTCTGGAGTACCAATAGTTCCCTTTGTCTTTCTTAAACTCTCTGGAAAGAAATACACAAAAGGCAATTTCAAAATTTACTGCATCATCTTAAACACAAGGCTAACAATTAAAGGTGCAAAATACATCCTTTTATTATATTACCTTAACATTTAGTTCTTGATAAGGCATTAAAATTGCTTCCTTTTTAATATCTTGGCAATAACCAAATAATTCTTCACGAATATGCAATAACATCCAAATCTCAGTAGAACAGGGATGAGACCAGTCCTCACTGAAAAAGTAGGAAAAATGGCTTGGGGTCCAGGGTACACTATTCACAAGAATGACCCAAATAACCCTGAAAAGTCAGAATTTCGACAAAAATGGGAAAAGTCTCATCAGTGGTACTGTAGAATGATAGGAGGACCATAGTCTTACCCATGCTCTAATCTTTCTGACATTGACAATTTTTCAAAGTCTAATGGTTCTTCTATTCTAACCAGTTCTACTTCATAGGTTAATTGTGCATTTGGTGGAATGTCTGGATCTCTGAAGTATAAAAAACAAAAATAGGTATCAAACTGTAAATAATTTCCCCTCAAACCCCAAATCCTAACAAAATGCAGAATGCACTTAATCAACCCTCATACAGAATACATTTGTGACAGACAAAGGTTCCCTGTATCACAGATTAGTTGAAGATAAAGGGAGAAAAGTATCTATTTTATAGAATTCCACACCAACCTTCCCATGGAACCATATGCAAATCTGGCATCTGTGACTATTTCTGCCACCTCTCCCCTTTCCATTAAAGAAAGTGCCAAATCCATTGCTAAAACATACACATTAAAGGAAAGCAAAAAATTAGCAAACATTCAAACTTTGTCAAGAAAAAAATAACTTGCACAAAGAAATGCACAATATGTGCCCAAAATGCATGCACATACACATAAGCTTCATGAACTACATATTATGTTCTCAAGTAAATAAAACTTCTAACATGTATAATATAGTTGTGACAAAAAATGGCAGCTGGTTGTAAAATCTATAATCATCATAGAATCAAAGGAACTGGTATTACTTTTTTGTCAAAAAAATAACTACCATCAAAATACAAACTTTTCTATCATATACACTGCATTTTACCTCTCAGATATTCTTTAGAAACAACTAAGGATTCAATAAAAAAATGAAAGATCAAAGATCAAATACATGCCACTTTATCGACTTCAAAAAAGTAGGTAAAAAAATAACTGGTAATGTGCCTGTTATTATAACAGTGGCTGAGGTTATACATAAATGTAACTTTTATCATAAATGTATCATCTACCACAAATAACCTGACTGTATTTTCTACATAAGTAATGGCTCTACCTTGTACAACATCACAGTCTCCCAGTGTGATCATAAGCTGGGTCTCTGAGTCCACCACTGTGCCATCCTCTGTGTGGGCACTAAATGAGATGACTGGCCTCTGACCTCTCTGGGGGCGAGAAGACAAACCATCTCCTTTTTTCAGGACCTAAAATGTAATAAAATATATGTTCAATATAACACAATAATGTTATTTGATATTGCTGCTTTTACTCCTTCCATTATTTAAACATAAAAAATAAAGACGGTTTACTTACTACCTCAATATGATTTACTATTTTAACTCTTGCTACCTGACATTTACCAAAAACATTAAAGTCTAACTGATAAGCTTCAGCAACAATAATATAAGTAAATCAATTGCAGCAACTGTTATGATTTTTATTTTGTATTATTGTATTTGTATGTAATTGCAAACCTTTTTCTTAAGCAATCCATTGCCAAGTATATCCATCCATCCATCATGTTCTTCTTTTCTTTCTTCACCCTCTTCTTCTGTTTCTGTTTTAGTGGCATCACCACCACCATCTTTAATGATTTGCAATAATTATATCAATTATAAAAAACTGTACAATAGAGATATCAGCTATTATTTATCTGGTAATCAAAGGTGTGAGCTAGTGAATTAATGCATGCTGGATGCAGTGCGTCATCGTTATTTTAATAATTAGATTATTAAAATAATCTAAAACAATAATTTCATGCTTTGATATTCAATCATTTCACTAAATCAGAATAATTATTATCTTTTTGACTCATTTTCTTTTGAAAATCATTATCAATCATAAACATAATCAGTAAAGCTGACAAGACAAAGCAGTGATTTTTCCTACCCCTCACCCATTTATCTTTCCCAAAAGTATCTCTGAAAACATTCCATTCAGGTCCAATATAAAATTATGTATGGTATCTTTATTATCACATTTATTGTGTCATATGTTGATACATTTTGCATTTGCTGAGAAAAACTTTACCTTCTGTAGCACCATTTTGCTTGACTGACACCTCCTTTGGATACATTAAATCCTCTTCCTTGGCTACCTGTGATGTTTCCTCATCCCCACAACCACCATTAAGAACAGGCTTATTAACAGTCTCCTCATTATCTTCATTTGAGCTAATATTCTTGGAAATGGGTATACTGGAACTCTGGTCTTCCTCATTAATCCCACTCTTTTCATATTCATTTCCTTCTATTGCCACTTCATCATTAGTTGAAGAGTTATTCTTTGTTGATTCATATTCATCAGAAGCAGGTGCATCTTGCTTTTCACTGTTGTTTTCCTTGAGCTTTTTATTGCTGGAAAGTTCCTGGGTCTGTGGTTCTAATGTGGACATGATTGTTTACAGTTGTCTGCGGCTTCAAATTGTTACTGCTGTTTACTGTATGAGATGCATTATTTCTTCCATTTCTTAAATGAAAAGCAAATGGGTTTACATATACACTGGACATGTAAATAAAAGCACAAATTTATAATGCCACTTACAGTTAATACAAAAATTCACGTTAGCACTCCCAGGCCTACCCAACTACCAGACTCGGCACCGAAATTCACCGGTAGATCGGACCACACTACCTGTTTTCAAGGTATGTGTCAGTACGCATTTCACAGTATCATACCCCGAACAAATTTTGAGTGGTGATGCAATACTTTCCAACCCGGCTGAGAATCATCACTATCACATCGCGTACTAGGCAAGAGCAGTGTCGCGTCTGATACTTTGAAGTGTGTATTGACGCACACCTTGAAAATGGGTAGTGTGGTCTGATCTACCGGTGAAACTGGGATCATTCTGGTAGTTGGGTAGGCCTGACTCCCATTGTATGGTCTATTATAACTACTAGCACTGTTATGCACGTAGATAAATCATACCTTACTCACGGGTGTGCCTAAATTGTGGCAATAATACCGGCCAAGAAGGGCCACTCGCCCACAACTTAAAGGGATAATAACTCTTCCTATGAAATCTGTATTTCACAATAAAAACATTGTGAATGACTCATAAAAATATAATATATTCTGTTTTCCCACAAAAACGGCTGTTATAGCTATTATTCTGATATCTGAGCTTGTCTTTAGACCACGTGACCTCCATTGATGGCTATACTCTGTTAAAATCTCTTAAGAGATTTTAACAAAAAACCAAACTTTTTAGAAAAAAACCAGGGACTAACTTTGAATGTAAAAATGGATTCATTAACCATTGGTAAGTATGGGAAAATTGTTGTTTACTCCAGGAAAATTCATTTTTTGGCCGAAACGAAGAGTTATTATCAACTTAACGATAAACAAATTGTGCAGATTTACTTAGTTGTATCAACAACATTAGTTACTTAGCAATATGTTTCACTTTTATATCACCCCATTTTGTTGGGATTGACCAATTACTTTGTTTAATTGCAACTGGACTCATTTTTTTCTAGTGTATTATGCTGTATTGCACAATTTAGGCACACCACCTCACTCACAACTCTGTCAATTGGAAAACTAGTTTGCCTTCCAGTAGTGTGCAAGTTCAGGAGATGAGAGGTTAAATAAAGATTTTAGAGCTGCCACACCATTGTGCATGCACAAGCTGGTTGTCATTTTACAGTTTTCTAATCCATCGCCTTTATCTTTGATGCGTTAGCACAACAGTAAATACATGTATCAGAGATCATATTTAACTTTACAGTCAGAAATAAATTGTGTACTAAGTTATGCTGAGGCTATTTGTGTAAAACTACATGTACTAGAACTCATGGTTTAAAAAAAAAAAGAACAACCCTCTCCTTTCATTTTCCCTCAAGGCCAGTGTGGCATGAATCATTCGGAGTGAGATCCATCCATTCTGATCATGCGCACAAAGCGCAGGCAAATCTGAGAGACTTCAGGTGCGTACAGTCCATCTCTATCAACTTAAATAAACTTACTGTACACCGATGAGAACATACTGCAAATTCAAACATAATCTATAGAAATATATATTCATATCTTATAGTTGTTCACCTCTACTGTGATATCTCTCAGCAGTGACCATATCAACACAATAGCCAAGAAAAATCAATACAATAATACATGTAGTAGGCCAATAGCTGAACGACGGCCCGTCCACGGTACAGTACATGTAGGTTCATCTATGCGTCGAACTGTAATTTGACGCTGATTCTCTATCAAAATTATCAATTAAAAATTCTGTATGAACACATGAATTTTACCTAGAAATATCCTAATCAAAGTAAATATATAATGAGGTAGGAAACGAACAAGCCACATCAATGCACATGTGAATAACAACGGATCATTCACGGAATGGTTCATACACGTGTCTGCTGCGTGTACAATCTGTCAGGACAGATGGTTCATGCAGTACAGACCGTACACGTTACACTGGCTTTGGACTTATTAATGTGCTGCTTAAGAGATAATCTGTCATGATGTGTAATACCGTCGTCAACGCAGTGTCGTGGTCACTGAGCAATGTGACAGCTCCGTCGATGGGAAAACTGGTTGGCCTCACAGTAATGTGCGTGTTGAGGAGATGAGATGAAAAATTAAATTTTGAGAGCTGCTACACTGCGGCTGGTTCGGCAACTGGTCCTCATTTCCCACTTTTTGGGGCCGTTGCTTTCATGCGTTAGCACAACCAGTACATATTAAAATCGGCAATAAGTGTGCTAACGCATGAATTTTCGTGCTACTACTGTACTCAGTAGTAGTAGTCCGTGATTTACTCGTGAGTAAGTTAAGTAGAATCCGCCTGGCGTCATTGATAATTGTATCACTTGAATAGATATCTAGTGAGCAAAGAGAGCTTCGGTAATTTGTGTTAATATTATGAATAACTGCCAGATAAAATCAGATTTATGTGATAAATCTACCCTTTCGTTCTTACCTATCGCCTGAAGTTTCGCTTCTTGTCTGTTGCCATAAATCGGTACTGTTTCAGACGGGAGAGGGAGATGTCGTGTTTTATTTCAACGTTTTAACATTTTACTTAATAAGTGTTTTATTGATGTCTTTGAATTAAATTAATTAACTAGTGTAATTTGCAATTTACAAATGTTGTTTGAAAACATTTTTGTTGTATGTATGTTTCATCAAAGAAAAACGATGATCCCCTGGTGGGGCATTGTGTTGGGTGAGCAAATGCTCGCCACAATCATAAAGCACAGCAGCTATGGGAATGGGTAGTTTTGCTTAAAAGATGTAATTTTGAATTGCAGACTTTTACTGCAACTGAAATTCTGCATGTTAAAATGCAACACAGCACTTAAGATAGCATTTTTCACAAAACACATTTTATTGACATGCACTCAAAGCACTGTAAGCAGGATTTACCTTCTATGGTATCGTACTAGCTTGGCTTTCTTAAAATATTTCTTCAATATTTTCTTAGACTTCATTTATAACTTAGGAACACCCTTGTACAAACTTCAATCCGTGTGTAACATGTTTAACATTGTTACATGTACTATAAAATCTGTAAACAGTCACGATCGTGCTGCTTTTTTTCTTTTTGCTTAAGTCTGTGCAACACCTTTACACTTCACACTACAATCTTTAATACACAAGAGCAACATGATATGAAGAGATGACAATAAACAAAAAGTTGAGCTTAATGTCAGACACCATATACATAATTAACAATCTGACCTGAAGTTGACTTGGAAGAGATGGTGTCCTGAACATCAGAGTTCAAAACTTTAATATTATTGTAGTCATCACTGATTGGAAGGTTGCTTTTTCCCTCATAATTACATAAAATCACCTATCACTATTTCATTTTAACTTCAGCAAAATTAGTAGGATAATTTAAATCTATTCGCAACATATATTAAAATACTGATTGATTGAACTCGGAAAGTTTGCATATCCAGTACATCTCCAAATATGCATTAGTGAAGTTACTAGTACTTGTACTAATGCATAGACTTATATACAAGTATATAATACTGCTTCTAACTGCCTTCAAATTTAATAATCCTGCACTTTAGAAATCTAAAGGCTCAGCTTCATGCTACACAAACACAGGAAAGATGACTTTATAAATAACAATGTGTACTAATCAAAACATTTCATAGCCTTTGAACAGTCTATCAAAAGCTAACAGCAACCATATCTCAGTGAAATATTCTGCATTTGCACATTAACATTTACTTAACACAATATATTGTGAGCAACAAAGTGTGGTACTCTTGAATTAATGGAGCAAACTAACACTACAAGTGAGATTCAGATATCAAATGAAAAGGCTTAGCTTGGACTAGCATATCAGTTCCGCTAAAATATCTATGATTAAACTTGGTACCAGATTTTTTTTTTAATATATGAATAATTTGTGCCAATCTAATATTATTCTAATGAAAATTTATTTTGATACCACAAAAAATAAGCAAGCATGTCCTATGAAAACGCCACTGTTTTACAGCAGTACCAGATTTTTTAAAAATATTTGAATAATTTGTGCCAATCTAATATTATTCTAATGAAAATTTATTTTGATACCACAAAAAATAAGCAAGCATGACCTATGAAAATGCTACTGTTTTACAGTAGTGCAACAATGTGATGAGCAGTTCAAACTATGACCACAAAACCTTTATTTTCAGCAAATGACAATATTTAGACCACTAAAAACTTACTTTGACTCAAATTTAACAGCCTGATGAACATTATTCCAGCTATTATATGTAATGGTTAGGTGAAACTTAAGTCAGTCAGAAAAAAAAATCACTTTTCCCATAAGAAACATTTCATCCTTGTGTAGGATATATATTCCTTTAATGAAAAAGGAGTTTACATATTTTGAGTTATGACAGTAAAATTACAGTGTCAGTGACATTTTTGTAAAAGATATACCCCTCAAGTAAAGGAATCCTGATACAAGAATATACTATACTAATGCAGAAATATGCTTCACATATTCCAGTGAGGGAACATACTAGTAAAGGAAATAAAACAGGAATGTTCTATCAGCTTGGGACAGGAAGAGGTTCAAAATCTGACTGGTGGGACTCTATTCGATTTAGCAGCTTGTTTGCAACCGGACAGAACTCCTCCTCCCATACATCTCTCAGGAATGCCAGCATAGCCTCCTCTACTCCTGCTGTATCACTGGAATCCAGGGCAGTCTCCTCATCTGAAATGTCATAATCATAATATTGAATTTGAACACTTATAGTAAATATAAGAGTTGAAGTTCATTTCATTTTTTTTCTTTTTCTCTTCAGCACAACTATCAATATTAGTAAAATATCACAATGAAAGGTTCACTCCATGGGTTTGAAAATCCCCCAAATGCTTATTTTTGCCACCCACACCTTTTTTATAAAACCTTACATACACCTAATGATTTCACCCCTTAAATATTTTTCTGATGTTGATATTTCCATTGGAGCTTATAAGAAAATGGCTGCTGTTATAATGACTGGCCAGTCATTTAAAGCTAAAATCAACCTTTATAAATTTTATCTAAGGTCGAATCCAAGTGCACTAGAGAGGATAGATAAGTGATTCATGAAAACAAGAAAATTGCTTATTTTTTCCCCGTAAAAATCCATTGTGGCAGGTAAATCTCATGAAGACTACCTTTAATAGGAGATGTTAGTTGTTCCCAAATGACTACATGCTGAATCAGCTACCAACATTTAGTTTTGAATTTATCACTCTAACTAGTAAATATGCATTATCTGTGAATGAGCATGTAAACCTGCATGCATACTCGTTCCAACGCATGTACTTACCCAGGTAGTCAATTAGGAGATCTGCCAGCTCCTGTGCTTCTTTCTCTCCATAGCAGTCTGTAGAGCTGGTGATCCTGGCACTGTAGTTCCACAGGATCTGACACACCATACTGCCCAGCTGCCAGTCACTGCGACCAAAGTCACGCAACACATCTATCAGCCTGAAAGTTCAATAAATAGTACATGACTTATAGGCTATAAACCATTTCAACAAACTGTGTTTTAAATCCATGATTTTTAAAGAAAATATATAAGTATAATGCAATTTCCTCAACGTATCTTATTATCATCTTCAAAGTTTATTTATAAAATAAGATTTGAGTGAAATAATGCATAATCAAAACAAGAAAGATCTATATACTTTGAAATCCCTCCTTCTTCCTTGAGAATGTGTCTCTTGTTTTCATCAGCCATGAGGTTGATAAGGACACCACATGCAGTGTAGACTACCTCTCGGCTACCAGAATCCAGCAATGCCACCATCATTTCTGGCACTGAATAAAATAAAGGTTCATTATATGAATTCCTGATAAAGTATTAATTCAGCCCACAAACACAGTAGACTGCATGACATGAAGTCAATAAGGAAACACATCTTACTATCTCACTGGCAATGCATTAAATACTGTCACTATATAGAAAAAGCTATACCACTACCCTATAAAGGACCAATGTTAAGTTATGCAAAATTTCTATCTGAAGGCTTTTTTGAAATGGTGTTACAGTATATTAATGTAAACTTTCAAGCAACCTCTTTAATATACCTTATTTATCCTAACAGTAATACCCCCTCTCGATCTACAACTTACCCTTATTAGCAGCTAGGAAGTCCCGGACAGCCTTGTGTCTTGTGAGGTTCCCATACACTCTGGAAGCTTCTACAAAACCCTCCATATGCTGTACATTGAGCAGTTTCAAAAAACCTGCAAAACAATTTCCAGAATGAGCAAAAATGGTAGTTGGATCACTTATGATAATTATCAAACACAAGGTGAAATACTTTCAGTCTGATGAAGGCCTAGGTCTAGGCTGGCTGTAAGCTAATGGTATGAAAGTATTTTGGCTTGTGTTTGATAATTATCATATATACGTAGTTTCCAGAATGTGTGAAGATTTGATGTTCGCTGCACTAAAACTTTAAAACATTCTTGATAAAAATCTTCTGTGATTATATTGTTATTAGACACTTTTTCTTTTTGATATTTGATCTGAGAATTTTTAGTTACAGCTTAAAATACTACACTGTTTATTTTAAAAAAGGTAAATATATTTTTACAGAGCAACTCGTCACACTTCATTTGTATCAAACTTAAAAAAAACTTGTAATAATACTAACTTTCTGTGACCTGCTGCTGTTTCTTAACCACAGCACTGCCTGGCACATGATAAAATGAAAGATTGTTGATTGTTGCTACCGAATTAAGTACTAGCTCTTCACTTGTTGACATGTCCTTTGTATCTGAAAGTCAAGTAAAGACATCTCAGGTATTACACCTTTTATTAATGCTCCATATCAGTGTATATTTGAAATTGGCAGGAGCAGCACAGGAAAGAAAAGCAATTATTCTGTTCTCCTGCCTCCCCTCATCACCACTGGGGAGTATTATATGACATGTGATGTGGCAGACTGTAAGGAAACAGAGGGAATACACTTGCTGCCTATTTGCCAAGCATTAAGAGGGGGATATTTCATGAACAATGTTTAACTCCTTTGTAACTCTATAAATTCTTATATGAGTAAAAACAATGCACACTTAATTAAATATACAGATGATAGCAAACCACTATTTTTTTAATTGTTTAAAATAAATACTTATTTTTCAAATTATTTACAATCTTAAACATATGCCTACCTATAATGTGTAGAAGCCATTCTACACATTTTTCATTGGTGGCCAGTTGTTTTCCTACTTCTTCATTTATGGACAGATTGGCTATTACACGGACCACTTTGATCATTATGTCTTCCACAGTATCTGGATGTTTAGAGCCAGTGCCACTTTCCTTGACTTCTTCCTTGTGTTTTGAGAAAGACTAAAATGAAAAATCTTGAAAATGGAACTCTGGTAGGTGTCTAATATTCAAGTCAGAAAATATGTGATAAAACCAAAACTTCCATGTCCATGTGATAATATTTACACCACTCACAACTTTTCCTTAAAAAGTAGCAGAGGCAATTTCAAAACATTGTAAAGTAAGGGTGCAATACAGCCGACTAATAATCAATAAATGAAATGTTATGAACTGAGCAATATTTACCTTCATGTCCAATTCTAAGTAAGTTTTGAAAATATTCAAGATGGTTTTGAAAGCATTTTCTTCTTGAAAAAAGCGTAGCCTAGCATCATCACTCTTGGCCGTCAGGTTGCCTATCACAAAGGTCAGGCGTACTATAAGATCCTGGTAATTAAAATAAAAGAGTTAAATCTTTTTTAAATGCAACAATTAAGAAAGCATTTCTTACAACTAGAACCTGGGATGCAACACCCTTTCATACTAATGCAAACATAACAAAAAGTAAAACAATTTTTAATCAATCTTCTTCTTCTCTTCATTTGCAATATTACATGAGTTGCATCACATACACCATATTAAATAAAATCTCAAATAAAGAGAAAAGGCCAATAAGCAATAATATTAAAAGATATAGCATAAAATAGAAACACAAATGCAGCTGAAACAATTCAATGTGTATGTAGTACCTGTTTTTGGATGTACTGATTGAGCAAATATAGGAAAGACTTGTATGTGGACGGAATACTGTTCAATGCGTTGCAGCAGTCTGAATGCAGGGTCACTTTGCTAAAAGAAATAAAAAAATAAATAAATAAAAACTCTCTGCAATTTTAGCCCATGGTTAAACAATATATTCTTTCAACAAGGATATAAAAGAAATGTGATGGAATTTTACACTTCATTAATTTATGATATAAAAAGAATTTAGTGAATATTCTAAAAGGGTGCTTTACCTTCTGCAGTATTCACTCAACATTAACAAGTGACTTACCTAAAAATTCTGATAATATTGTGTACCACTTCACTGTCAGCACTATACAGCTGTGTAGATCTCTCCATCTCTTCTATAACATGGCTAGAGACCATGTCCTCTCTGTTTTCCTCATTATCAACTAAGTTTCTGAGTCCTGCTGTGAGCTGAACTAGAACATTGCCCATTTTTTCTTTACTGTCAGCAGTCTAAAATAAAAAAAATCAACTGTATAGAGCTGAACCATTAACAATCTTTGCACTTGGATGCTGTAGATATAACATTTATGAATCTATGACCACTTTATTTGCTTATACAATTTATCATAGGGAGGATACCAACATTAGTTATTGGTACATTCCATGGGTTTGAAAATCCCCCAAATGCTTATTTTGGCCATCCACAACTTTTTATAAAACCTTACATACACCTCAAAAATGATTTTACCCCTTAAATTTTTTTTTTTTTTTTTTTTTTTTGGAACATACCTGATGTTGATATTTCCTTTGGAGATTATAGGAAAATGGTCGTAAATTTTTCAAAGGTTGAATCCAAGTGCAGAGGGATAGATTAAATTAAATGATTAAATTGTTAAATTAATAGATTAAATTAAATGATTAAATTGAGAAAATTGCTTAATTTCCCAGGAAAATTGATTTTCATGGAGTGTACCTTTAACTGAATGCATGGAAGAAAAAAATGATGAAAGATACTATTAGTTTGATATATCCAGACTTCTTGTTGCTCAAAATTCCACAAACAAAAGTGCATTTATGTTGTTAAATGGATGTCTACTCACAGCTGTGTTGATGGCCTTTAACAGCTTTCCATAAGCCTCCACAGCCCTGTGTCTGGTGAGATGCTGGCCTACAGTGGTATTTCCTGAGAGAAACTTGAGAGCACCAAGAAGATAGACTAGTGCATCCTGTGAAGTGGACAGATCTGTAGTGCACATGGTATCCAAAAGGGGAGCTGTAAATATTAAGGAAAAGTACATAGTTCAAACTCTACTCAAAGAGACAGTAAGTCAAATGTGGAAGGTGTAAACATATTAAAATTATATTAACCACCTAAAGTTCTGAATTTAAGTTTAAAAACAGGGGGCATTCAGTTATATTTGCATGCAGAAAGCAGTGCCAACAATTAAATGAGTTCAGATCAGTTACATAATTGAAAGTGACATTTTTAGAAATTTAAAAAATATTGAAGCAGTTACGACAAAGCAAAAAAGATTTAAGTATTATTTTACCGATCATTTCCTCTTCAATAAAAAGCATGTCATTGCTTTCTTCCCTGCTGATTTTAAATATCAGTTTGCAAACGCTTGTCAGATTGTTGCCTGTGATTTTCAACTGAAAATAAAAAAGCATATGTATTTATAATTAAATATGTCTCCCTAAACAATCTACCTCTGAATTGGTTTATTTAACACACTGAAAGCTATCAACATCAAAAAGGTCTCATTTTCAACTATCCATAGCATGAAATATTAACTTTATTTATCATTTTTTTATTACCTACTATGTGTGTCTTTTACAATATATTCTATTGGGTAAATTAAGGGGAAAATTTAGTATAAATACCCCCAATATGAGTTTGGCTAGCCTAACTCTCAGCACTGGAGACTCAGAATCAAGAAGTTTAAAGATGGTTTTCAGTATAGCAGACCGTCTTTTGCAAGCCCTGCCCAACATGTTGCCTTGTTCCAGTGTACAGTACAACATACTACACAGGTTGCTCAACTCAGTGGCATCTTTTTCTATAACGAAGAAAAACATTATTCACATCGTGTAGTAAACAAATGTTTAAATATTGTGCCATTAAAATGGAGTAAACGTTAAATAATAATGAAGTTCAGTATATTCAGTATAACATAATTCAAAATTTTTGAAAATTTTCTAATATTCCATCAAAATGAATTTAAAACTTATAAAAAAAATCTCCATGCATTATCCAATTGTGTAAAAAATATAAAGATGTACAAACCTTTTCTCAGAGCAGCCATTTGCTCTAAGATTGGTGCAATGTTTTTGTTGAAAAATTGAGATTCTGCTGGAGTTTCTTCTTCACGTTTACCACCACTCCCTGTGAAAAAAAAAACATGCACACGTTTTTAATCCTCTGTACTTTTTCAATCTCCAAGTGAACTGTAGGTACATAAACACCACATTCCAACCTTAAAATTGTCTTAAACAGCAATAATGAAAACTGTGCCAAAAACATTTATATTCTATACCTGGTTTACCACCACTTGAAGGCCTTCTAGAAGATCCACCACTTTTGACACGGAGTTCATTGTCACTTCCAATCTGGCTGCTGTAATTTACATTTAACATTTCAAAATTTTGTGTTTATCAATAACACTCAATTTAACAATAAACTTTTCAATATCCAACTTAAGATGGCAATAAAGAACACTTGCAACCTTTTCTTCTAATTTATATCAGAAATATTTCAAGTTGCCATAGAAAGATTAACAACAATGAATCTAATACACATCTAGGAAACCAAATGGGAAGAAAGATTTTAGTTCTATTATTACCTAATAGAGGTAGTAGTAACAGCACTAGGAGGTCTGTGAACACTCTCACTCCCATCCCCCACTCCTCTCTCTTCTAAGAGCTGCCCTACTCTCTCCTTTGGTCCACTGTGGACTCTCCTGGTCAGCACATCTGGAGCTACTTCTTCTTTGCCACTTGATGACACTAGAATGCATAAGCGCAATGTTTATTCCTTTCCATGTCTTTGCCAGCTATAACAACGATTCTATTCTCTAATGTGTACTACCTTTTATAGGTAGGGCTGCATTTCTAAGAGACCATTCCCACAGATATTTGGATCGATCTATCTCCCTGGGGAGTCTCACTAAATTGCTATCAAACTAACCGGCTTAAACATCTGTCATGCCTAGTAAAGCTGTTAGCGGGTAATTATCTTTACCTCTAGCTGATTTGGTAGGCGTGACAGACATTTAAGCCTCTTGAGCTGATAGCAATTTAGCGTGAACCCCCAGGGATCATTCTAAGTATGGGAACCTAGTCTAAGTCTTGACTACCAATATGCTATCAGTGTGAAATTTTTTTTCCTTTTTTAAAAATAAAAATGCAGGTTCTGCATAAACTTACTGTGTGTTTAACATACCATCTATTGCAAACTTTATATGATTACCACAATCAAATGGTGTTTATGTCCAATATCAGCATGACTATGCAGCATCAATCAGTATACTCGTAACATTCAACTTTACAGATTATGCATACATACCATCTTGCAGAGATCCTGATCGTGTTTTCAGGGATATTTCTTCTGAACTGCTCTCTACGCTTAGTGAATGAAGCAGTCTTCCTCTGGAACCTGTTCTGCGGATTGGTCTGTTAGGATCTACTGGGGGCCTGGGTACTGGAGGACTGACAACACCAGCTGGGGGTGTCTTTGGTTTCTAAATATCAGAATGACAAACAAAGTTTTGAAATAACAGGCAATTCTGTTAAAATTTCAGTGAAAAGAGTTTTCAAATCAAAATTTGAACAACTGTAACACAGGGTATAAATCTGATCACTAGTTAGAGCTAAAATAAATGAATAAATACGACCTATTAATACTAAGAGAAGGGTATTACCACCTCATTGTCACCTGCAGCCTCCATCATCATGGTTTGAAAAAAACAACCTTCATATTATGGGATAGAATTTTTTGTGATCCTATGAAATTGGCTATTGTGATAGGTGTGACAATGTGTTCACAATGTAAAAACAATGAATAGGTCACAGGCCAGTGTTAACATAATTTAAGGCATTGATTTTTTTTTTTTTTTTTTTTTTTTTGTTGTTGTTGTTGCTGTTTTGTTTCGCGTTTGTTTGTTTGTTTGTTTGTTTTTATGTGTGTGTAAATTCTGTCATATATACCCATGCTATTACATCGAACAGTAACCAACTCAAAGTACATCTTTATCTACAAACATACATGGCCGAGTGGTGTAAGTCTTGCAGTGCCAGAAACGGGTCTTGTTCCTGAAACAGGTCTCGTTCCTGATGTTGGTCTGGATTCACTACCATCAAAGTGGTGAGAGCCAAGACTAAAACAATTAAAAACAATTTAGAAAATGAGAAAGACATAAAACTGCAAGCTAGAATTCCAGACTCAACTAAATTCATTTTATGCTGAGGCAAATCAGAAAACAATCTTACATTTAACTTTTTGGCGATTTATGATCTGAAACAATATTTTCCCATATGCATTAAAGGTTGTGTTAAGATTTTTCTTATTTCTTTGTACTTCTTATCCAAGTGAATGAACATCTTGAAAACATCCCATATGTACTGTATTAACCCATTATTTCCTCATTTTAGTACATTTGACAACTCATAACTTACCTAAATGCACTTGGAGGTCTATTTTGAGGATCTCTGTTACTTGCGCTTCCAAATAAAGTTCTTTCTTCAGGTTTTGGAGTAAACGGACGGTTAGTTTTTACAGTGCGCAGAGAGGACCGAGCCTCATTGACTATTTTGGCACTGGTTTTTACATGTTCAGGTGTTTCATAAAATGCCCTCTCCCTTTCAGGTTTAGGTCTTCTTGGAGGTGATGGCTTGTGTTCCATGAGCTAGGATCATCTGGCTTCATTTATTATAAAATGATTAATCTGAAAATGCATTTTAGACTGTTACTGTACTACAGATAATGGTTTGTAGTCACTTCACAAGTAATTAATATGATTGTCACAAATGGGTACTAGTACAGTAGTGTTACAGAAAACCAATATTAATCGGAGAAGTAAAACTATGTGATGCTTACTCAAAATATAAAATATCACCAGATATCATCTAGTACAACAGAGTGCTTGCATTAGTATCTAGGCATCATATCATCATATCTACAACAGGTATGGTCTACACAATAGGAATATCTTACACTAAATTTCAAATTATAAACTCAAATGTCAAGAGGAAATTTATAAAGCATATAACAGTACATGTACATGTTGCAATCAATCATAAGAAGGCACACAGCCAAAGTCATAATAGAAACGATTACGCACATTAGCTTAGAAAATATCCATACAAGAGTTCACACTTTCACGTCTTATGTCCGTGTAGAACTGTCATTGTCAATGTCACCTGTCAATATGAGAAAAATCAGTGTGGTTGCATGAGACAAATCAAAGAATGCAGCGAAATGTTTGTTTTAGCTGTCAACACAATAAAGGTCACAATTATACTGGGACGATCAAAGTGCATACATGTCTGAACTTTAACATTGGACAAATCCTGGATAAACATAGTAGAAAAATTCTAACTTACCAAAAGCACATTAAAATTGACCTGGCTACCAACATATCAACAAGCATTTTAGCGCATGCTCAGTGTTGAGCAGGTGTCTCAGCAAGTGATAGCCACCGATGCTAGTTATGCTGACTCTAACCAGTAATGTGGTGATGATGGCTGCGGCATGGGGTTGATTGATTAGTAAGCCTCAAAGACAATCCTTGAATCAAAAGTGAGATTAAGCAGGTGAGGCGCTTTTGCAGTGAACAGTGGTCATGTTGTAGCACCCAACTGTAAAAAAATGGTGTTTAATTAGTAGAAGATGATGATATTACCGCTGTGCAATGAACAAGCGAAGTCCACATTTAGAAGCTTTTCTGTCTTCCCTTCACTCAGTGCTTCACTTGGGATCAACTTAGTGTTTCGAGTTATTAGTTATCAAACTAATTCTTTAATTTTATTTTTTGTTATTAGTCATTTGAAAAAGTGATGAAAATGTATTAATTGACTAACGTAATTATTTTTTCCCCAGTACATCTTTAATGCTGGTTCGAATACTACATGGATGTAGTACTTTGCATGGTATACCATTATACATTATTTTGATGCATTGCTAATCAATTCGTAAAAGACATTTCAAACTTTTTGCTCACAGATTGCTCATATCATTTTGTTGGAGCAACTGATATTTTGATATTTCATAGCTTTTTATTGTTTAAATTGTTGTTCAAATTTAGACAAACCAAATGAGGTGCCTGACTATACCAGTCTGCCACTTTGACCTGTGAGGCTTTTTGTGTTATGATATCTCAAAATGTTATTCACATTCCAATCTATAGTCATGCATGCAATTCCATATCTTGAACTTGAAGGTTTTGCTCTGAGACTCTGAGAAAATTTGGATTTTATTTTCGTGGGTGATTGAAGCCATATGACCATATTAATTTATTAAATTATTTTCTCAATTTCAGTTTATTTTCTGGCTAGCAGAATTTTGGAAAATTGTAATCTGAAAGGCTTCTATTTCAAACATAATGGATTTTAATTATTTTTATATGTACCGTCTTTNCATATGATAATTATCAAACACAAGGTGAAATACTTTCAGTCTGATGAAGGCCTAGGTCCAGGCTGGCTGTAAGCTAATGGTATGAAAGTATTTTGGCTTGTGTTTGATAATTATCATATATACGTAGTTTCCAGAATGTGTGAAGATTTGATGTTCGCTGCACTAAAACTTTAAAACATTCTTGATAAAAATCTTCTGTGATTATATTGTTATTAGCAGGGGCGGATTTAGGCCGTCTTCTGGGTCTTCTGGAAGACGGTCAGATTTTCAAGTTTACATTGTCAGCCATCTAATGTTTTCTGTCGGAAGACGGTCAAAAATGGAAGATGGATCAACAATGATAATTTGGAAGACTGTCAGAAAATATCTCTGGATCCGCCCCTGATTAGACACTTTTTCTTTTTGATATTTGATCTGAGAATTTTTAGTTACAGCTTAAAATACTACACTATTTATTTTAAAAAAGCTAAATATATTTTTACAGAGCAACTCGTCACACTTCATTTGTATCAAACTTAAAAAAACTTGTAATAATACTAACTTTCTGTGACCTGCTGCTGTTTCTTAACCACAGCACTGCCTGGCACATGATAAAATGAAAGATTGTTGATTGTTGCTACCGAATTAAGTACTAGCTCTTCACTTGTTGACATGTCCTTTGTATCTGAAAGTCAAGTAAAGACATCTCAGGTATTACACCTTTTATTAATGCTCCATATCAGTGTATATATGAAATGGGCAGGAGCAGCACAGGAAAGAAAAGCAATTATTCTGTTCTCCTGCCTCCCCTCATCACCACTGCGGAGTATTATATGACATGTGATGTGGCTGACTGTAAGGAAACAGAGGGAATACACTTGCTGCCTATTTGCCAAGCATTAAGAGGGGGATAATTCATGAACAATGTTTAACTCCTTTGTAACTCTATAAATTCTTATATGAGTAAAAACAATGCACACTTAATTAAATATACAGATGATAGCAAACCAATATTTTTTTAATTGTTTAAAATAAATACTTATTTTTCAAATTATTTACAATCTTAAACATATGCCTACCTATAATGTGTAGAAGCCATTCTACACATTTTTCATTGGTGGCCAGTTGTTTTCCTACTTCTTCATTTATGGACAAATTGGCTATTACACGGACCACTTTGATCATTATGTCTTCCACAGTATCTGGATGTTTAGAGCCAGTGCCACTTTCCTTGACTTCTTCCTTGTGTTTTGAGAAAGACTAAAATGAAAAATCTTGAAAATGGAACTCTGGTAGGTGTCTAATATTCAAGTCAGAAAATATGTGATCAAACCAAAACTTCCATGTCCATGTGATAATATTTACACCACTCACAACTTTTCCTTAAAAAGTAGCAGAGGCAATTTCAAAACATTGTAAAGTAAGGGTGCAATACAGCCGACTAATAATCAATAAATGAAATGTTATGAACTGAGCAATATTTACCTTCATGTCCAATTCTAAGTAAGTTTTGAAAATATTCAAGATGGTTTTGAAAGCATTTTCTTCTTGAAAAAAGCGTAGCCTAGCATCATCACTCTTGGCCGTCAGGTTGCCTATCACAAAGGTCAGGCGTACTATAAGATCCTGGTAATTAAAATAAAAGAGTTAAATCTTTTTTAAATGCAACAATTAAGAAAGCATTTCTTACAACTAGAACCTGGGATGCAACACCCTTTTATACTAATGCAAACATAACAAAAAGTAAAACAATTTTTAATCAATCTTCTTCTTCTCTTCATTTGCAATATTACATGAGTTGCATCACATACACCATATTAAATAAAATCTCAAATAAAGAGAAAAGGCCAATAAGCAATAATATTAAAAGATATAGCATAAAATAGAAACACAAATGCAGTTGAAACAATTCAATGTGCATGTAGTACCTGTTTTTGGATGTACTGATTGAGCAAATATAGGAAAGACTTGTATGTGGACGGAATACTGTTCAATGCGTTGCAGCAGTCTGAATGCAGGGTCACTTTGCTAAAAGAAATAAAAAAATAAATAAATAAATAACTCTCTGCAATTTTAGCCCATGGTTAAACAATACATTTCTTTCAACAAGGATATTAAAGAAATGTGATGGAATTTTACACTTCATTAATTTATGATATAAAGAGTTAGTGAATATTCTATAAGGGTGCTTTGTCTTCTGTAGTATTCACTCAACATTAACAAGTGACTTACCTAAAAATTCTGATAATATTGTGTACCACTTCACTGTCAGCACTATACAGCTGTGTAGATCTCTCCATCTCTTCTATAACATGACTAGAGACCATGTTCTCTCTGTTTTCCTCATTATCAACTAAGTTTCTGAGTCCTGCTGTGAGCTGAACTAGAACATTGCCCATTTTTTCTTTACTGTCAGCAGTCTAAAATAAAAAAAATCAACTGTATAGAGCTGAACCATTAACAATCTTTGCACTTGGATGCTGTAGATATAACATTTATGAATCCATGGCCACTTTATATGCTTATGCAATTTATCATAGGGAGGATACCAACATTAGTTATTGGTACATTCCATAGGTTTGAAAATCCCCCAAATGCTTATTTTGGCCATCCACAACTTTTTATAAAACCTTACATACACCTCAAAAATGATTTTACCCCTTAAATATTTTTTTTCTTTTCTTTTTTTTTTTTTTTTTGGAGCATACCTGATGTTGATATTTCCTTTGGAGATTATAGGAAAATGGTCGTAAATTTTTCAAAGGTTGAATCCAAGTGCAGAGGGATAGATAAATGATTAAATTGAGAAAATTGCTTAATTTCCAAGAAAAATCGATTTTCATGGAGTGTACCTGTAACTGAATGCATAGAAGACAAAAACTGATGAAAGATACTATTAGTTTGATATATCCAGACTTCTTGTTGCTCAAAATTCCACAAACAAAAGTGCATTTATGTTGTTAAATGGATGTCTACTCACAGCTGTGTTGATGGCCTTTAACAGCTTTCCATAAGCCTCCACAGCCCTGTGTTTGGTGAGATGCTGGCCTACAGTGGTATTTCCTGAGAGAAACTTGAGAGCACCAAGAAGATAGACTAGTGCATCCTGTGAAGTGGACAGATCTGTAGTGCACATGGTATCCAAAAGGGGAGCTGTAAATATTAAGGAAAAGTACATAGTTCAAACTCTACTCAAAGAGACAGTAAGTCAAATGTGGAAGGTGTAAACATTAAAATTATATTAACCACCTAAAGTTCTGAATTTAAGTTTAAAAACAGGGGGCATTCAGTTATATTTGCATGCAGAAACCGTTTGACATGTCACAGTCTGCAGGCATATGAGAAAATTTTTTATATTAATAATAAGCAGTGCCAACAATTAAATGAGTTCAGATCAGTTACATAATTGAAAGTGACATTTTTAGAAATTAAAAAAATATTGAAGCAGTTACGACAAAGCAAAAAAAATTTAAGTATTATTTTACCGATCATTTCCTCTTCAATAAAAAGCATGTCATTGCTTTCTTCCCTGCTGATTTTAAATATCAGTTTGCAAACGCTTGTCAGATTGTTGCCTGTGATTTTCAACTGAAAATAAAAAAGCATACGTATTTATAATTAAATATGTCTCCCTAAACAATCTACCTCTGAATTGGTTTATTTAACACACTGAAAGCTATCAACATCAAAAAGGTCTCATTTTCAACTATCCATAGCATGAAATATTAACTTTATTTATCATTTTTTATTACCTACTATGTGTGTCTTTTACAATATATTCTATTGGGTAAATTAAGGGGAAAATTTAGTATAAATACCCCCAATATGAGTTTGGCTAGCCTAACTCTCAGCACTGGAGACTCAGAATCAAGAAGTTTAAAGATGGTTTTCAGTATAGCAGACCGTCTTTTGCAAGCCCTGCCCAACATGTTGCCTTGTTCCAGTGTACAGTACAGCATACTACACAGGTTGCTCAACTCAGTGGCATCTTTTTCTATAACGAAGAAAAACATTATTCACATAGTGTAGTAAACAAATGTTTAAATATTGTGCCATTAAAATGGAGTAAACGTTAAAATAATAATGAAGTTCAGTATATTCAGTATAACATAATTCAAAATTTTTGAAAATTTTCTAATATTCCATCAAAATGAATTTAAAACTTATAAAAAAAATCTCCATGCATTATCCAATTGTGTAAAATATATAAAGATGTACAAACCTTTTCTCAGAGCAGCCATTTGCTCTAAGATTGGTGCAATGTTTTTGTTGAAAAATTGAGATTCTGCTGGAGTTTCTTCTTCACGTTTACCACCACTCCCTGTGAAAAAAAAACATACACACATTTTTAATCCTCTGTACTTTTTCAATCTCCAAGTGAACTGTAGGTACATAAACACCACATTCCAACCTTAAAATTGTCTTAAACAGCAATAATGAAAACTGTGCCAAAAACATTTACATTCTATACCTGGTTTACCACCACTTGAAGGCCTTCTAGAAGATCCACCACTTTTGACACGGAGTTCATTGTCACTTCCAATCTGGCTGCTGTAATTTACATTTAACATTTCAAAATTTTGTGTTTATCAATAACACTCAATTTAACAATAAACTTTTCAATATCCAACTTAAGATGGCAATAAAGAACACTTCCAAACCTTTTCTTCTAATTTATATCAGAAATATTTCAAGTTGCCAGAGAAAGATTAACAACAATGAATCTAATACACATCTAGGAAACCAAATGGGAAGAAAGATTTTAGTTCTATTATTACCTAACAGAAGTAGTAGTAACAGCACTAGGAGGTCTGTGAACACTCTCACTCCCATCCCCCACTCCTCTCTCTTCTAAGAGCTGCCCTACTCTCTCCTTTGGTCCACTGTGGACTCTCCTGGTCAGCACATCTGGAGCTACTTCTTCTTTGCCACTTGATGACACTAGAATGCATAAGCGCAATGTTTATTCCTTTCCATGTCTTTGCCAGCTATAACAACGATTCTATTCTCTAATGTGTACTACCTTTTATAGGTAGGGCTGCATTTCTAAGAGACCATTCCCACAGATATTTGGATCGATCTATCTCCCTGGGAAGTCTCACTAAATTGCTATCAAACTAACCGGCTTAAACATCTGTCACGCCTAGTAAAGCTGTTAGCGGGTAATTATCTTTACCTCTAGCTGATTTGGTAGGGCCTAGGCGTGACAGACATTTAAGCCTCTTGAGCTGATAGCAATTTAGCGTGAACCCCCAGGGATTGTTCTAAGTATGGGAACCCAGTCTAAGTCTTGACTGCCAATATGCTATCAGTGTGAAATTTTTTTTTCCTTTTTTGAAAATAAAAAATGCAGGTTCTGCATAAACTTACTGTGTGTTTAACATACCATCTATTGCAAACTTTATATGACTACCACAATCAAATGGTATTTATGTCCAATATCAGCATGACTATGCAGCATCAATCAGTATACTCGTAATATTCAACTTTACAGATTATGCATACATACCATCTTGCAGAGATCCTGATCGTGTTTTCAGGGATATTTCTTCTGAACTGCTCTCTACGCTTAGTGAATGAAGCAGTCTTCCTCTGGAACCTGTTCTGCGGATTGGTCTGTTAGGATCTACTGGGGGCCTGGGTACTGGAGGACTGACAACACCAGCTGGGGGTGTCTTTGGTTTCTAAATATCAGAATGACAAACAAAGTTTTGAAATAACAGGCAATTCTGTTAAAATTTCAGTGAAAAGAGTTTTCAAATCAAAATTTGAACAACTGTAACACAGGATATAAATCTGATCACTAGTTAGAGCTAAAATAAATGAATAAATACGACCTATGAATACTAAGAGAAGGGTATTACCACCTCATTGTCACCTGCAGCCTCCATCATCATGGTTTGAAAAAAACAACCTTCATATTATGGGATAGAATTTTTTGTGATCCTATGAAATTGGCTATTGTGATAGGTGTGACAATGGGTTCACAATGTAAAAACAATGAATAGGTCACAGGCCAGTGTTAACATAATTTAAGGCATTGCTTTTTTTTTGTTGTTGTTGTTGTTGCTGTTTTGTTTCGTGTTTGTTTGTTTGTTTGTTTTTATGTGTGTGTAAATTCTGTCATATATACCCATGCTATTACATCGAACAGTAAGCAACTCAAAGTACATCTTAATCTACAAACATACATGGCCGAGTGGTGTAAGTCTTGCAGTGCCAGAAACAGGTCTCGTTCCTGATGTTGGTCTGGATTCACTACCATCAAAGTGGTGAGAGCCAAGACTAAAACAATTAAAAGCAATTTAGAAAATGAGAAAGACATAAAACTGCAAGCTAGAATTCCAGATTCAACTAAATTCATTTTATGCTGAGGCAAATCAGAAAACTATCTTACATTTAACTTTTTGGCGATTTATGATCTGAAACAATATTTTCCCATATGCATTAAAGGTTGTGTTAAGATTTTTCTTATTTCTTTGTACTTCTTATCCAAGTGAATGAACATCTTGAAAACATCCCATATGCACTGTATTAACCCATTATTTCCTCATTTTAGTACATTTGACAACTCATAACTTACCTAAATGCACTTGGAGGTCTATTTTGAGGATCTCTGTTACTTGCGCTTCCAAATAAAGTTCTTTCTTCAGGTTTTGGAGTAAACGGACGGTTAGTTTTTACGGTGCGCAGAGAGGACCGAGCCTCATTGACTATTTTGGCACTGGTTTTTACATGTTCAGGTGTTTCATAAAATGCCCTCTCCCTTTCAGGTTTAGGTCTTCTTGGAGGTGATGGCTTGTGTTCCATGAGCTAGGATCATCTGGCTTCATTTATTATAAAAAGATTAATCTGAAAATGCACTTTAGACTGTTACTGTACTACAGATAATGGTTTGTAGTCATTTCACAAGTAATTAATATGATTGTCGCAAATGGGTACTAGTACAGTAGTGTTACAGAAAACTAATATTAATCGGAGAAGTAAAACTATGTGATGCTTACTCAAAATATAAAATATCACCAGATATCATCTAGTACAACAGAGTGCTTGCATTAGTATCTAGGCATCATATCATCATATCTACAACAGGTATGGTCTACACAATATGAATATCTTACACTAAATTTCAAATTATAAACTCAAATGTCAAGAGGAAATTTATAAAGCATATATAACAGTACATGTTGCAATCAATCATAAGAAGGCACACCGCCAAAGTCATAATAGAAACGATTACGCACATTAGCTTAGAAAATATCCATACAAGAGTTCACACTTTCACGTCTTATGTCCGTGTAGAACTGTCATTGTCAATGTCACCTGTCAATATGAGAAAAATCAGTGTGGTTGAGACAAATCAAAGAATGCAGCGAAATGTTTGTTTTAGCTGTCAACACAATAAAGGTCACAATTACACTGGGACGATCAAAGTGCATACATGTCTGAACTTTAACATTGGACAAATCCTGGATAAACATAGTAGAAAAAATTCTAACTTACCAAAAGCACATTAAAATTGACCTGGCTACCAACATATCAACAAGCATTTTAGCGCATGCTCAGTGTTGAGCAGGTGTCTCAGCAAGTGATAGGATAGCCACCGATGCTAGTTATGCTGACTCTAACCAGTAATGTGGTGATGATGGCTGCGGCATGGGGTTGATTGATTAGTAAGCCTCAAAGACAAACCTTGAATCAAAAGTGAGATTAAGCAGGTGAGGCGCTTTTGCAGTGAACAGTGGTCATGTTGTAGCACCCAACTGTAAAAAAATGGTGTTTAATGAGTAGAAGATGATGATATTACCGCTGTGCAATGAACAAGCGAAGTCCACATTTAGAAGCTTTTCTGTCTTCCCTTCACTCAGTGCTTCACTTGGGATCAACTTAGTGTTTCGAGTTATTAGTTATCAAACTAATTCTTTACGCCTACTGCTTCAGAATTTAATTAAGATTATGAATTACTGAAATTGGGATTTTTCTTAACTTTTATTTTATTTTTTGTTATTATTCATTTGAAAAAGTGATGAAAATGTATTAATTGACTAACGTAATTCTTTTTTTTTTTCCCTGTACATCTTTAATGCTGGTTCGAATACTATGGATGTAGTACTTTGCATGGTATACCATTAGACATTATTTTGATGCATTGCTAATCAATTTGTAAAAGACATATCAAACTTTTTGCTCACAGATTGCTCATATCATTTTGTTGGAGCAACGTTCTGATATTTTGATATTTCATAGCTTTTTATTGTTTAAATTGTTGTTCAAATTTAGACAAACCAAATGAGGTGCCTGACTATACCAGTCTGTCACTTTGACCTGTGAGGCTTTTTGTGTTATGATATCTCAAAATGTTATTCACATTCCAATCTATGGTCATGCATGCAATTCCATATCTTGAACTTGAAGAGTTTTGCTCTGAGACTCTGAGAAAATTTGGATTTTATTTTCGTGGGTGATTGAAGTCATATGACCATATTTATTAAATTATTTTCTCAATTTCAGTTTATTTTCTGGCTAGCAGAATTTTGGAAAATTGTAATATGAAAGGCTTCTATTTCAAACATAATGGATTTTAATTATTTTTACATGTACCGTTTTTATTTTTGGACTTTTTTATTATCGATGAGAAATGTTCCTTCTTGTAATTACAGCAATGGCAGTTCTTGGTCTACAGCTGGTGTTCAGTATGGTGATGGCTAGTGTTCTACAGAAGCTGACGCCGCATTTTTCTTTTGGGCGTTGGCTTCTGTGTGGAAGACTAGTGAGATACCTTCATCCAACAGATGATGAACTAAAAACTCTTGCAGGTACACCTAAGGATGTGGGGAAAGGTGAATATTTGAAATCACAATTTTGTATTAACTGCAAATATTTCTATATTATTATTATTTTATTTGTTACTAATTTTAAGGAATGGTATGTATATATCTTGTCATCATATACTTAAGTTAACAGTGTCAAAAGCAAGAAAGATATTTAAGGTGCTAGTGGTGTGAACCTATTGACAGAAATATATGTTTTCTTTCTAGGGAGAAGCAAAAAGAATGACCACAGGAGAGGGGCACCACAGAAATACGAACCTTTCACAGTTCCAAGAAACTTGGACATTCAACTGGACACTGCAGTTGTCAGTGACATAGATGTCATGTCTCTTCATTATTACACAGAATACCAGTGGCTGGTGGACTTTTCTCTTTGCTCCGCCTTTATCTACATCCTCACTGAGATTTACTATGCAATATTACAACCAGATCAGGAATTTAACCTCAGTGTGTGCTGGTGTATCATGGTGACTTTGTTCTCTCTGAAGATATTGTACTCCCTCACTGCTATGTATTTTCGCACTGATGACTCTGGGGAGAGGATGCTATGTATAACTTTTGGTTTCTTTTTCCTTGTGGCAGCTATGGGAGTGCTTATTGTTGATGAAGACAGACTTGAGTTTGGTTTGAACCCAGCATATAAGAACTTTTCTGGCAGCGCCACTGAATTTATGAAATCCCAAGGGATTGTATCAAGAGGACCCATTTCCCAGATTGTTTTCAAGATTATCATTGCATGCTGTTGTGCGATTTTGGGAGCTTTCCTTACTTTTCCAGGATTGAGATATGCAAAGACCCACTCTGATGCACTTAAATATTCAAAGGAGAGTCCATTCAAGCTAATGCTGTTGCATCTTAATTTTATCATGCCACTCCTGATTGTATTGTTGTGGGTTAAACCTATTGCCAGAGATTTCTTTACAGAAATGAAACACAGGAGTATGGACAGACCGTTACTGACTCCTGAAGTTTTTGAAACTACAAGAATGTTGATCATTATTGCTTTTTGTCTTTTACGCATTACCCTCTTGTCAGCACATTTGCAATCCCATCTGAATATTGCATATGAAAGAATCACAAATTTGAAAAAGGAATCGGGTAGAATCAGTAATATTGATCTCCAGAGAATGGTCACTAGGGTTTTTTATTACCTGTGTGTTGTGGCTTTACAGTATGTCGTGCCAGTGGTGTTGTTACTCTTCTGTGTTTTCTTAATGAAGACACTTGGAGATCTTTCGTGGGATAGCTTTCTAGACATTGACTGGTCACTTAAAACCCCTATTAACAGCAGCTCTGGGCCCAGTGTTTCTACCACTCCTGATACTGATGGCACATCTAATGCAGCTGTTCACATTGCTTTGGCTCTTTCTGATTTGAGAAAAGTTTTCACCCCATTGTTTTTTAGAGGTGTCATGGCATTTTTCTGCTGGTGGCTTTGTCTTGTGAACTTCACAACAAGTTCATTTGGGCTGATTTACTACTCATACTTCACAAATTAAAGATGTGCTAAAGTGTTATGATTGCTTTGTTGTAGGATCTTTATTATACATCTTCATATGTGAGATTTTTTGTACAATTCTAATTTAAAAAGAGATTGCATAAACCTATTATTTATAAACTTTAAAGAATGAAGTTTTCATTTCCTTTTGCAAGCTTAGTTTTATCTTTAAATACACCAGCAAGCACTTTAAATTCCAAGAACACACACTTCAACAATTTATACATTTGCATTTCCTATGCATGTTACCCTATTTTAAACGAGTGAAAACTTAGTAAATTCAATTATTTTAAGGTGATATCCAACCTAGGTGCTTACTTATTGTTCACTTCAGGGATTGTGATTTTCAGATTAAAATAAAAATTAGTTTAAACCGATTTGTATTTCTGTATTTCAAGTGTTTGTGTTCACATTACCTGCTTACATCCAGTCAAATATAAAATTTTAAAAAATGAGTAATAGCCATTTATTTCCATAAGCTTAACTTTATTAAGCACCTCTTTTCTTTGTGGTATGGTAAGATTCTGCTACAATGGCAAAAATTTAAAGACAAAGAATATTGAACATCTAGTAAAAATAAAAAGGTACTAAATTTTGCAATGCCACCCATCTCATTACTCTAAAATACTGATGAATCCTACACAAATATCAACTATGACAAATGTGACATACTGGCAGTCACTGTATGGTTTACATTGTGCATCTTTTATTGAAAAGCTAAAAATATGGAACTATTTCAAATCTTGTGTTTACTCTCCATTCATTTCCACCTTGTAAATACTGGTAACCAGCACCTGCAGCTATATTCAATTTAATGATTCACAACATAAAATGAATCTATGTCAGCATATTGTCACATTCTGTGTACAAAATGAGAAGGAATTATGAGGACCTTCCTTTCATAAAGTCTATTTTATCACAGTTTGTGTATGCGTATCTGCAAGTATAACTTGCTGCAAAAAGGGCCTCAAAAACATATTCCATGTAATAGGTCAGTAGCAAGTGTTACGAGGACTGTAACAAAGGATATGTAACTCTTTCCTCAAACTTAGATAATAACTGTTCTCTTTTTTGTTCCACATGCCCTAAAAATGTTTTTATTCTTTTTTCTCGCTGCATGGAATATTCATTCACTTGATGCTGTGTAATGCTCTCTTCTTCAGTTTTTAAAAGTTCCACTCTACAACATTCTACATCTGACTGACGTTGAGACATTTCTCGTTTCACTTTGTTGTCCTGAATGGCATTCTTTCATGAAATTATAAGAAATGTGACATTTTATGCTAAAAATTCACAATGGAATATATCCAGCAATCAACTTATTCTCATTTTTAATAAGCCATTTGTTAAACACTTTTCCTTCCACTGATACAATGCATTAAACATGCTAAAAAAACTTTTATAAAATGGGGACTGATTGTAAATATTTTAATTTCAAAAAGGAATTCTACAAGACTGTTCAAATGTGACACAACAATAACTTTTCAACTAACCTGTATAACTTGGTAGTTTCTTTGGTACTGTAATATTCCAGCATAAAGATGCCAAATGCTAAATTCTGGCCAAAGAACTCTTACAAATGACAAACAAGAATAGGTAGTCTGAAATATTTTAAAAGAAAATAAATCAATTTTAAATTAGCTACTTTTGTCCAAAGCAGCTGTCTCCATTGCACATTTAATTTGTTGAATTATTATATTAAAGGTTCCTTGTTTGTATGATTAACATCTCTTTTTAGCCCAGCATCAGAAAGCATCTATCTGAGGGTTTTCTTGAAAGTTTGATAATGTAATATTGCCAAATTTGGAGTAAAGTAAACCCAATCCATACTAAAAGTAATCCACAATGACACATGATCAAGGCCAAAATTTTTGACTGAAAGTGTACTTGTCTGGTGATACTTTATATGCTTTTTTGTGTATTATTTCACATATAAAAAGTCCTACCTGCCACAGCAGAAAATCACTAAGTCTGACTTCTCCTGAGGTCCTCACCAATATATCTGGGTGTGGTGACTTCCTTGTATAAAGACACTTCTCCATAACAGACTCTGATATATCACTAAAAGGAAAATATATATTCAAGATTTTACTTCCTTGCTAATACTTTTTATATATTTGTTATGCTTCCAAAACCACTTTTTTATCATTGTTTTTTTAATTTTCACACAGACCAATCAGACCTATGTCAAGATGCTAGCTATAAACTTAAAGGTCTTGTCAATATTTTCCCCTTATTAGTGCATTTTACAGCAAGAACACAGTACAAAAGCACTATCCTCTTTCATTTGCTATGGAACTGCATTAATGTTGAAATATTTTCAGACTGTCTTCTCACCTCTCTCTTATCAGACCGAGATCAACCCCCTCAGCTATATCCCTCATTGCACTGCAGATTTCTTCTCGAGCTGTATAAGCAAAACACACATTCAACACTGCCCTGCAATGGAATAATAAAATATATATGTCACTGAAATTAAACACAAATGAAGTTAAAATGTGGCATGATTTTTTATGCCACTCAAATACGTGTTATTGGATTTCAAGCCTCAAGTTAACTAAAGAGTGCTGAATAAATGCTTTTTTCCCTCCTTTGTTCTTGCAGCACTGCAAATTTTCAAAGATGTAATAGGTAGATCATAAAATGATATAACAGAGTTTCCTCAACCCGTGGGATACGATGGCTAGATTGTTACATATACATAAACATAGCCAGCATCCTTATATCTCTTTTCATGTTCCAGTAAGTGTTCTGGTACGCTAGCCTTTCCCACCATATAAGAACCTTAGTGTACATATGAAATCTTAGTGTACCTAGATCAATTTTATCCAAAAATGACCTTTCCTGGCAAAAATGTTGGTTGTTCAAAGCCTGCAAACCACCTCTGGCTTCATGCCCGTTAAACCAAAACTAACATACGTCTTGCACCCTCTTAAACAGTTGTAACAGTTACCTGAATTGCACATGCACTTAAACTATTGTAATAAACTGTATAAGGCATATAAATGAGCAAAAACTGCCTTAAATAACTATTTATGATATTCTTCAGCCCTGGCTAGACAGGAGCACTTGTATTCTGCAGACTAGATCTGACAACAGGATATGAACCAATGACGTATTAATCTAGCCAGCATATTCCACTGGCAGACCAGCAATGGAAACTCTCTAATGTCTGTAGCTCATCAGTTACCTTTAAGATCTAGTTTAAGGCTCAAAGTCCCAGTTGGAGCATATACATATGTTGCATATACTTGTTTACTCTCTATAAATCCAAAAACTTTTTGGCCAACAGACAGTTTTAATTTATAATTTTTTTTATTAATTCATTGTTTTCTTTATGCAAGAATGCAAATAAAATGTTTTTAAATAAACTGAAATATACAATACAATAAAATTAAACAATTTGTCTGATTCAGTTCCAATTCAAACACAATCATCCAACAGGTATGAACACTGAATGCAGTAGAGCAGGTACGGCACAACAATCGCACCTGGTAAAATAGCATAAAAGGCAATGGGTACTCCCACTCCATTATGATTGGTTAGTTATTTTTAACTCTGCCATACATGGTAATAAGCATATTCAAGTCACTTAAACATGTCACATTATATATATCTCATAATCATATTGATGTAAAATTACATAAGAATTTAGTAAATATCTAAAAGTTTTTATTATTATATTGATAAAGAAAATTTAAAGTAGTGAGGAATTTTGCAATCTTCCCACTTCTTGTGCATTGGCGTCAAACCCAACTTGATAGAAAAAATTTTAAAAGACACAATAAATACTGGAATATATCATCTCTCATCTCGAGGTCCGGGATCACTGGGTTATCCGCTTGAACGTTTACAGACTTAATTCAATAGAATGCCACTTCCAGTGGTGATTTTGACCTCATTTTGTTGTTTTCATCCACATGTGCAGGACTGCATTATTCATTTTGTATGACCCACACAAAAACTGGCTTTCATTAATCAGAATTTTGAAGACTTATTTTAAATAAGTTGATATTATTTCAAAGGCAGTCAAGTTACAATGAAAAACAAAAGCAAAATAAGAAAAAGAAGGAAACAAAATAAATGTGTACATTATAAAACATTTACTTACCTGTTATTATTTTTGGTCATATTCATTGCGTCTGCAACTATCTGCTGAATATCATGTGGCAGTAAAGACAAGTTGCCAAGGACACGGATACAGACTCCATGTTTATTAAGTAACTCTCTGAATTGTAAAACAACATAAGATAAAAACAGCATTTAGTGAAAAGAAAACTACAAAACCTCATTCACATCTAAATAATATTTTACGAGTACGTCAAGTTTCATTTTAAATATATAAAATGTTGAATGATGAGTTTCTGTTGCATATGATATCAAATGCTTAGACAGGTACATAAAATAAACAGCAAGACTAGTGCATGTACAGACATCATATCAATAATGTAAAAAGTTAGATGATGTTACCGGTTATTATGGCACAGAAAAATATTTTGAAATTTTCAGCAATATTTACCTTTCTGTAACAGCTTAATAATTATGTGTTCATTAAAGTAAACCAAGCGTAGTGATACTGATTACTTGTTTTGTTTATTTCTTCTTTGAATGTAGATTATATAATTCAAGGAAGAAGCCTGGACTTTCATTTTTCTTTTCTTACAAACCCAAACTAGTTGCTGCTTTTCTGTTTCACTCAGTATATCTAAGTGCAACATACTGTATTGTTCAACTGTTTATGGCTCTTGTAGCATATCAAAAGTGAATATCATAAGGGTTTGTAACATCCTTTGGATTTGTCCTCTTAACTTATTAAAAGATATTTTAACTAACGTTAGCAGGATTCATATCAGTGCACAAGAGAAGACTTGGTTGACATTTAGAACAATAAAATTTATTGAATAAGAATATGGGTGAGACTTCACTACAATAGGATTGATTGTAATGAAGAGGGCTGGATTATTAAGCTGGCTTTTACAAATATCCCAGTAGTCTAAGATTTAAATCAGAGCAAAATATATTTGGTTTGGCAGTTGTGGACAAATGATGCAGACATTTTAGAAAAATACCACAAAAATGACATCTTTTTCCCCAAAATATTTCATGAGCAAAAATCTTAATAAACACTTTTCAATATCATTTTCATTTTATCTTGACATGTAAATGCTTACTTTTCTTCCATAAGCTTAGTAAATTTAAGCCGGGCAAGTTCCATTAACCCATCAACTTCCTCTTTGGAACGTTTAAAGTTTTCAATGCTGAATGCATACACTGTGACTTCTGAAATTCCTATATTATTGCACCATTCTAATGTCTGAAAAAATATTTAAAAGGTTTTTAAATATGAGAAAGTAGATAGCTGCAATGTTTCTTTCTGAATATTCATTTCTTCACGCTTCCAATGATAATAATACTAAATAAACAAAGTTCTTTAAAAATCATTTGAATTTACATGATTCAATTAGCTATTAATATTAGGTAAGTACATATGAGAAATATAAATACATGCTGGGTCCAGTGCTTAAATCTATGGATGGATAATTACTCTTCAGCTGAAGTTACACATTAAAAAAAGAAGAGTAAAAAATTCACCTCTGCTAGTTTGTCAAATCCCATGAGGTGTCCTTGTGCCCTATCGATACTTCTTTTACTTGCAAACCTGCGGTTTCCATCCATTATAAATGCAACATGTTTTGGAATTGGACCTGTCTTAAGCACAGCCTGACAAAACTTGTGAATCCAACTCTGTTCACTCTCTCTTATCCAAGTTGTCATATCTGCAAATATAAGAATGATTAAATGAGCTAAGCCCAACAGTATATTTTAATTGTGAACTTAAATCTATGGCCGCATTCATATCGAGTTGAGCCATGGCTCTACAAAGCCACGACCTAAATATGGCGGACGTACATGAAAGGAAAACCGCCTAATCTTTTAATAGTCTCTCCGCCTCTCACACGCCTCCCCATATGTTGTCCCAATGGAGCCGAGATTTAATGACTGTACCCCCGAAGGGACGACACATGGGGGATTCTAAACTAACTGATGCAATCATTTTGTACTGCAAATTATTCAGTGAGTTTGGTTTTACATTGGAGAAAAAAAAAATAAAACCCTGAGTGTTAGGGCCCTGTAAAGCTAGCTTACTCATTATACCTTCTCATGTGTTGGCTTTACAGTGCCCCTAAAGAATAGCAGCAATGTTGAGTATCCGTCAATCAAAGGAACTGCTCTGCAGTGAATCTGCAGTTGAATGTCATAAGTCCAAAATGAAACATAAAACAGATTTAATTTTGCTTTAAATATTTTATTTTATTTACTATATTCAAGGTATTAATTGAAAAATAAATAATATATTTTAAAAAGAAAAAGACATTCCATATGTTTTTGTATTTTATTGCTTATCAATAAAACATTTGCACATGAAGATATAAACACAATACACGTGCTTGCCAAGTGCCAAGTTTGACAGCTACACTGTATGTCTGATACCACTATAAGGACTGCGCAATGGCTACACCAAAAATCAGTTTTTAAAGCAGAAAGGGCTTGTGTTGTGGCAGTGATTTTCAATTGCCAGGTATTCTTAGTTCAAATAACAAACTCTGCTTCAGCCACTTTGCTTCTTTGTTCTTTGTCTCGTCTGCACGAGATGACGTCAGCGCAAGGCAGGAAAGGCAGCTCCAGGCAGGCAGAGCTGTAACATACGAGACATGTGACTTCCAAATATGGAAGCATCCCATGCAAAATTTTGCCGAACAAGCCCCCACAATGCCGCTGGTTGCTAGAGTCGGTATTGCTGATGAGGGTCATATATGAAATCAAAATTGAGCAGGCAATACCGAAATTTAGAACCTGGGGTAAAAAATTACAGAATCATATCCCCTTAATGGAAATATTGTTTGAAATTAATGAACAATGCTACTTCTACACATTTCTGTTATCAGGTTCATAATTTTAGTGAAAAATTCACTGTGATTATAAAAATGGGAAATCAATCAATTTTTTAATTAATGAAAACTGGTTATGTTACCCCCTTTTCCGATCCCAAACCCACCAACCCACGTACCCAGTATCTTCCTGTTATTGTTATAAATGATAATATTGGCTTTAATCCCTGTGTCAAATTTTAATGATAATGGAGTGACATTGCCACCGTAAACATATAAACTAGTTTATAAGTTTAAATTTCAGACTCTCCTTTTTTAAACTTAAAACTGGTTTAGTTTAAATTGTTTATATAATTATTATTTGCCCGGCTACAAATGCACTTCAGCATCCATCATTTCTATCAAACTGGCTTACAAGTAGATTTAAAGGTAATTTATTTAAACATAACTCATAAGCTAAATCTATTCATCATTTTGTATGATAACGAGTAATATTTTGAAAAGAATGAACTGATATCAATAAATAAAATTACCTGTTTCACTCTTCCAACTTCGACATACAATCTGCTCACACGTTTACACTACCGACAAGGTCTGACGTCAGGTGACCTATATAAACGTACCTTATATTCCTACGCCTGATGCAACAAATAACAAATCTTAATTCTTGAAGTATCTAAAATAATTACAAAATATGTTTAAATTAGAAAAAATATTTTCATATTAACTCGTAAAACGGACATTAGGGTACGAGTTGTCTTCTTTTAGGAGGGCACCTGTCAAAAAAAAGTTCTTTGTCCTCGGTGTGCTGTGTGAATTGGTCATACAAAATGGTCAATGGCGTATTGAAAATAGCGCACATTTGCGGCGATAGGCCGATCAATTTAGTCTTAGAAAGTAGTTAATTTATCTATTTGGGCGCGGTCAAACATCTTACGATCATGCCTCGGGAAAGCACCAAGGAGAGAAAAGTATCACAATTTGACGCAGGTAAGCAGAAAAGATTTCTGAGGCATTTGAAGTGAGGTCTTCTTTGACGATACCGAACTCACTATCGGCTTTTATGTTTCAGAGTTGTACTTCCTGATCGCAAGATTTCTGGCATCTGGACCATGTCACAGGGCCGCTGAAGTAAGTGTCATTCTAATTGTCGATTTTACTATAGTGTAAGATTTTCCAGTCGTAACGATCTTCTTTCTTTTTCAGGCTCTCAAGCAAGAACTACAGGAACACAAGGTAGGCATTCGTTTGACTCGACAGTATCATCAAGTCAAAATAACCGCGTCGACAATAATTGCGAAGTATAATGTTTATAAAATTAGTTTTTTCATTATTTAAGAATTGATTTTCTGTCGCGTTAGGATATTTTGGCAAAAAATATGACCAACATCACAATGGAACCATTTCTTCTATTTTCAGCTTTTGCCTAAAAGAATAGATTGGGAAGGTCGTGAGCATCCTAGGAGTTTTGAAAACTTGGTAAGAGCACGTGGAGCGTTTGTTTTCATGTGAATTTGTGATCGTACTAAAATATTTCTCAAATGCTTCAAAAAATCAAAATTTTCAATTTTGACACCCTTGGTAAGACGTTGTGATATCTTGTGTAAAATATACGTTACAACTGACACCACTGATTGCATTTCCAAGAAAATAACAAAAGAAAACCTGAAATATTCCTACAGAATTAACATATGAAGCAATTTGCTTGCCCAAGTAATGATGTCAGGCCGCTATGCCACTTTAACCAATAAGGATCGAGTATTTGAAAGGTGACCTGCCCTACCTGATGTTATGCTGGCTATTTTTAGCAGAGCAAGCTGATTGGTCAATGGCTGCATGGTCAAGGTCATTGTATCATATCAACAAAAGGGAGTGTTTGTTGCTACTTAGCTGTTTGAAAACTACTTCAACTCCACGAAATGTTTTGTTTCAACCTTTTTTCATTGTTGAACTGAATATTGCATTATTGAAGCTGTTTTCTTGCAATAAAAATTGATGGCATCTGTTATTTAGCTACTTACAATTTTTTCTTTCTACAATTTTTCTATGATTTAGATTGAAACAAATAAGCATATACCTGCTGATCATTTAAAGAGAGTCTGTCTTCGCCTTGGTCCTTTGCTGGACAAAGAAGTCCCACCCAATGTATATGGAGTCCAATCCTTACTTGGGGCAGGCAGACAATCATTTCTCAGAACAAAAGAAGGTGAGAAAAAATCATTTGTTTGGATTAAAATATAACAGATGGTATTTAGGTAATAAGTCGGTTATTATTAGTACAGTGTTCTGTGGTTTGGCATGAAAAATATATATATGGTAAAGAAATGCAGATTTAAAATTTCTGAGTTCTTATTTTTTCAGATGTACAAAAAGTCAAATGGACCAATCAAACCCATGCTGTTTTACACCACATGCAGCCATTGCTCCCACCAAAGAAATTGGCAAATATACCCTCTCTGCGTAAGCCTTTTTTCTTATCCTGCAATTTGCAATGAAAATCCAGGATCAGGACAAATAATAATCTTCTTTTTAAATTTTTTTTCCTCTTAAAGAGTCAGGAATTTTGAAGTTGTTTGTCAAATGAGTACTTGTTGACCTAACGTGAATTTTCTTCATAGTTTTGACCAAAATCTCTTATACAATTGTCACAAAAATTATCACTGTATTGATTTCTTTTTTTTTTCTTTTTTTATTTGGATTTCAGCAACAATTGTATCTGGTTTACAAATGTGTGGAGTGGTCCGCCATGAACATGCAGTGCCAGACAAGTTATATAGCAAATTTAATATGTACAGTCGTATATTGGGGCATCTGTCTGCTGTCTACTGTGTGGCATTTGACAGGACTGGTGACTTTATATTTACTGTAAGAAATAGGAAAGTTTTAAGTTTACTTTAGTACACTTAATTTTATTCATAATGAGGAGGAATCCTTCATGTTGTTTGATCTTGGACCTGCTAAAGTACAGTTTTATATGTGTAAACTATTTTGCAAATTTTGAAATTACTAGTGCCTGGGTGTTATTTTAGTGGGGCTTTAGGATATTTCACATTTTAAAATGAAATTTTTTTCAAAGGGTGCTGATGACAGTCTGGTGAAAATATGGAGTGCAGTAAGTGGACGCCTTTTAGGAACACTCAGGGGACATTCTGCAGAAATCACAGACATGGCAGTCAATTATGAGAATACACTGATAGCAGCAGGTTGCTGTGATAAACTGATCAGAGTCTGGTGTCTGAAAACCACTGCACCTGTGGCTGTGTTGCATGGGCATACTGGCATGGTCACATCACTACAGGTTGGAAAATTTCAATTGTAGAGTACTAAAAAACCAATCTGTAATAAATGTGCATGCCTAGCAATGGTGTGTGATCTTTGCTATAGAACCTTAACATCATTTAAATGGTGCTTTGTAGTGAAATGCGAGTACGTTCTCTTGGTTTGTTTGTTAAATAATACACTGTCGTTCTCTAGTGAAATATGCCTTGAATACCTCTGGCTAATGAATGAGGTGTTCTGGTAATTATATTGCTCATGTGAGAATGTATAATCTCACACATACATATTGATTGGAGTTGTTTGAAAAGGTAATACAATTTGCAAAAGTGGATCACATTAACACCTAAGGAGTAAACAGTTTTTTAACACAAAAGTTATAGTGTCATTTATTCTGTTGAAAAGTTGCGATTTGATATTAACATATTACTTCTATTTTGACCCTTTCAGTTCTGCCCCATGCCTAGGGGTGATATGAGGTACCTTGTCTCTACAGGCGCAGATGGAAATGTTTGTTTTTGGAGCTGGAATGTACAGACAAATGTGTTCAAGTATGTACTTATAGGGTCAATAAAATACTTTTCAAATACACTTTTAAAAAGCTGCTCCTCCAACTTAAGTGTTAGTAAAATTCCCATGAACACCCTTGCAGTATGAATGATTATCTAGCATGAAATTTTGATGGTGCTGCCTATATGAGTACCCAACATTTTGTTTTTTAAAGTTATGAAGCAAGCATATATTCTCTGTAGCACATATTAACTACTTCTACTGGTTTCTTTAAAACTAGAATTAAGTAAACGTGCCAGGACATACATATACATCACTTGATCAATCAGCCTCAGAATAAAAACTTCACATTCAAATTTCTGGTATTTTCTGGTATTGACTTATCTGTCCCTCCAGCTTGTAAAAGTCAAACTGACGTAGTAATCTATTGCGCATTATTGCTCTTCATTTATTCACAGGAGCTGTTGAAAACAACATTTGGTTAGGTTTTATGATCAAAATTTGACTTCAAATGCATCTTTAAATTTTAGTTTGAAACCTGCAAAGTTTACAGAAAGATCTCGTGCTGGTGCACAAATGCTGTGTTCTTCATTTAGTCCAGGTAAGTAGTAATTATATGTTATTTTCAGATATAGGGATGAGATTTTTTTTTTTTTAATGATTTCCTACTTTTTGAAAGCCAAAAAATTTAATTGGCCTAGGTGGACCCCATGCCGTATTTTTTTAAATTTTTTTACTAAATGGTAGTCTCATTCCTGCAATATTGATTTGAGTCTAGAAATCACATGTTGAAAATAAGTGTTGGAATTGCAAATAATAAAATAGGAATTTTTATGACCAGGTGGTGCATTCCTTGCAACAGGGAGTACAGACCATGTTGTTAGGGTGTACTGTATAGCAGGAGCTGCCCCAGAGAAAATCTGTGAACTGGAGTCACATACAGTAAGTTTTATAGCTGTTAAGGTTGCAATGATAGTGTAACTTTCAGTGTTCAGTGAACTTTTTTAAATTAAAAATGCTGATGACTAGAGTGCATTTTAAGTGTCAGTAAAAGCATAGCTATTTTGTTTTATTTATCTTTAACAGGCAAATGTCACACTAGTACAGTGGAAAATTAATGCCACCAAACATGTTAGTTTTGTTTACTATATATCAGAACATACATCTTTTAGGACAGGGTAGATAGTATTCAGTACAACAACAGGGGTGACCGGTTTGTGAGTGGTAGCAGAGATGGCACTGCCAGGATTTGGAGGTTTAATAGTCAAGAATGGAAGGCCATGGTGCTCAATATGAATACAAAATTGCCTGGGTGAGTTGAATTATGTAATTGATTTGTCTAGAAATAACATAATTGATATGGGCCATCTGGCATTGAAAACAAATATAATGGAATTATTATATTTATTGTTTGAAAGAGTCATGTTCTCACTTAATAGGCATTGTATATGGTTAACACACAAATGATTTCAAAATTTGACCATTTTAGAATCAGGTTGAATATTTGATTTGAAAATTAAGAAAAGGAAAGCATAGCATTTATGTTAAATTTTTAATGTACTTATTTCATCGAAGAATGTTGTGATTGATCAAAACCAACCCAACTAGATAAATTGTTGCAATTTTTATAAGATAGTTTTCTGTCTGTAGAACTCAAACGGCTGACTCTGGGAGTGGAGAAGACTCAAAAAATAACAAACATAAGGTCACAATGGTGGATTGGAATATTGATGACTCTCTGGTAGTCACAGCAGTCAATGACTACTCGCTTAAAGTCTGGGACTCACACACAGGGAAATTAGTGAATGTACTACTGGTAGGTGTAAAACATTGGGATATCTGGCCCTAGAAGAGAAGAATTATAGACCTAGTAATATGTAAATAATATTTTCAATGTACCATGATCCTTTTTATAATGGTTTGTCTCAAACAGGTCTCCCTAATTTTGTTGTAACTATGGCTTGGTGTTTTTCAGAAGTATTTTTAATTAGTGTTTAAGTTGAATATCGTAGCAAAAAGGTGCCATCAGTGATTATGTAGTTATTCAGCAGATGAAAAGAAACACTCGACACAGTATATTTAACTTTTTTTTTTTTTCGATGATTTTTTTTTCAGAGATGCTGTTTATATTGATATATATATTTATAACAAACATTTTAAACAGATGTACACAAACAAGGTGATTGTTTTAATCCAGGGTCATGAAGATGAAGTGTTTGTCTTAGAACACAATCCCACTGATCCACGCATTATGCTGAGTGCTGGCCATGATGGAAACCTCTTTGTATGGAATCTGCACACTGGAGCCAAACTGAAAAGTTTTTTCAACTTGGTAAGTTTTTGTGAAATGGCATTTGATAAAGGTTAGTCTCCACTTCTCGGTGAATTTTCATGAAATGGCATTTGATAAAGGTTACTCTCAGCTTCTCAGAACATGTATGACATGAAGTATCAACTTTTCAATTTCCAGATTCAGGGCCAGGGTCATGGAGCTGTGTTTGATTGCAAGTGGTCCCCTTATGGCATGGGTTTTGCTGCTACAGATTCACATGGTCATATACTTCAGTTTGGTCATGGGTCCAGTGAAAAACATAAACAGGTTTGTCTCTCTTATAAATAGGGCTATAATTTGTTCAAACATAAACACCAAGTAAAACACAATCAGTGATAGATATAAGTTTGCAAGCTTGATGCTTATTTTTGTGTCAATTGTAACAGTTAAATGAAAGATTAATCTGAAAATTTTGCCACATTTTGAGATAAAAAATTTTATGTGATAGAGATTTGGTTGGAAATAAACAATGTGTCACAATATCAGACCAATTTCAATTGAATTTTTCAGTGCCCAGAAGAGATGTTCTTTCATACAGATTACAGGCCTCTCATAAGGGATGCCAACAGCTATGTATTAGATGAGCAGACCCAGCAGCCACCTCACCTTATGCCACCTCCATTCCTGGTAGACATAGATGGCAATCCACACCCACCTAGCTTCCAGAGACTGGTTCCAGGGAGACAGAATATGTCTGAAGGACAGCTTATTCCAGCTATGGGTGTCACACCTAATGGTGGGTTGCGGAAAAATTATTATTTTGTAGTCTCGATTCATTCATGCAGTGAACTTTTTTCTTGAGGGAAATGTAGCATAAGCCATTGTGCATATAACCTGCTTCAAAGTCCTTGGTTGATATAGTCATTATTATTTTTTTTAAGATGCAAGGAATATTAGTATTTACATATAAAATGACTGAAAAACAAACAACAATTTTGGTAATTTGAACAATGATGTGAAGATTTCATTTTTAATTATTCATTTTCTAAAAGCACAAGGTTTTAGAAAATTACAATACTTCCATGTTTCTAGGTGACCGTGAGGTTCTAGACATACAAGAACAGGCTGAAAGTGAAGAACAAGGAGATGGAGAGGTGAATCCACTGGATGCAGCAGTGTCAAGAATGCAGAGGGATTTCACCCGGAGAATGGGAAGTGAATCTGAGGGGACACCCAGCAGGAGACCCTCCAGGTCTCAAGGTAACCCAGAGCTTTGACTGTATTCAGTTTGGAAATTTTTAAAAACAGTGTGCACATGTTTAAAAATATAGGTTTGATGAGTGTGTGTGGGGTCTTCTGGAATTATCCAGTCTATACTGACTAACAAAATCAAAGAAATGTGAATAAATCAAAGTATTTTATTTTTTGACATGGTATTACACAAGTAGCTAACCAACTAGTTGCAACTTAAGTTTTTGCAGCACAAATTTAGGTAATCTTAAATTATGTTATTCTCATTTATAAAGAATTACATTTTTTTCTCCTCTTAGATGCATCCTCTCCAGGCAGAAGTAGAGGTCCCAGGAGAAGTGGGCAGACAGAGGGTGTCAGGCAATCCATAGGCAATGTCCCAGTGTCCCAGCAAGCCACACAACATGACCTGGCAGCATGTAGCAAGAGGGTGGTGGTCAGGGAACTGGCCTCTCCATTACGCAGGTCAGTTGAAATAAGTTTGAACTTGTAATTGAAGATCTATATTTGCTGTTGTCATTTAGACATGCAGGTAACCGTATGTGACATTGAATCATCAGATTTTGTCTGATTTTGTTCCTGAATGTTTTATTTATGCCTTAAATTATGTTTCTGTATTTGGTCTGGTTGTAGTGTTTACCTTTATTTGCTGTCTTGTTATGACTGCTAAATGCTGTTTTTGAACTATAGGAGTGATGAGACCAAGAGATTGGCTATGGCCGATGAAGAAATAAAGAAATATGTCATCGAAAGAAAAAAGAAACCCGTTTTGTTGGATGGGGTAAGTGAACCAATTTTAAAATGAGAGGTGTTGATATCAATTTATTAGTAAGTAACGTTTTCCCAGAGTTGCTAATGAAACATACAAAATATGAAACTGTTTGGTGTTTGTATTTAGGGTGAATCTAGTGACAGTGGCAGCTATGTGAGAACGAGGAAGAAGGGTGGCCCAAAACATGGATACAGGACCAGGGCAACACACAACAACTTGGAAGAAACTGGGGTTAACCGCCTGACAACAAGAGCACTTTATGATACTGAAGTGGAGGCAAGTATATGAATCATTTAGTATTTTTATAGCATTAGAACATGTTTGTTATATCTGCAATGAAAAGCAGTAAAAGTAATAGAGTCATTTTGAAGTAAATCAGCAAATGTTAAGAGACAATTTAATATTCATTCATTGCAACTCTTCTTATTTTAGGAGGATGAGGAGAGTGGAGCTGAGACAATAATTGACAGTGATGCAGACAATTTGTGGAATAGTGATAACAGTGAAAGGTAGTATATATTGATATAAGAATGAGAGAAATCCAAATAAACAAATTGGGTGCACATTCAGTCTTGCATATATTTGTTTGCACAATTTTCTATATTGTTGCTTGTTTCAGAACTTGGTTTTATTACATGAATTTTACTGCAGTAACAAATGAGCAAGGCTTTTAAAGCAATTATCTTGCCAGTGAAAATTGCAGTTTTGAGATGAACTCAAACACATTTAATTGCAGTGATTCCAGTGACTATTCAGATTGGACAGCGAGTGCTGGATTAAACTTGCAACCACCAAAAAGAACTTCACAGAGGCAGCCTAAGAAGAAGGTGCTAAGCTCTTCAGCTGATGAAGGAGCAGAAGAGGAAGTCACAAGTAAAAAGAAAAAAGGAAAGAAACCACCACCAAGGAAAAAGATAGTTAGACAGGTAGATACACAGCTTAGAGTTAATTATGTCTAAATTCAGCTTCAGTTTTTTGTCCTAATATAATAATGAGGACAATATGCATATACTTTTTATCATTAATCTTTTTGAAAAATGTTTTTAGGCTCAACAAAAACTTATGAGAGAGCAGCCAGAAATATCTGAGCTACCTGAGCAGTTCCGTCCTCCTGACTGGCTGACTGACACTATTCCTAGGAAGGCGCCCTATGTACCACAGATTGGGGATGAAGTCATCTACTTCAGACAAGGACATGAGCTGTATGTCAAGGCAGTGAAATCTACAAAAGCATATGACATAGATCCAAGGAAGAACCTTCCCTGGCACAAGAATCCACAAATCAGGGTAAAATACCTATTCTGTTGTTTAAGTATCAATCGGTGTTTTTGATTTGAACCTATGCCTGCCTAAAAATCAAAACCAGTGCAGTGTCAGATGTAGCAGTGTGTAATCAGGTATATTATCTCACCTGACCAAATAAGATTGCATTCATTATGTGGAATAATTAAATTTGAGAGAACATGAGGCCACAAGCAAAAGGATAAGATCAATACCCATCCTTAATACTTTTCACTTATTTTCTTTCAATTTAGGAACAAGAACTAGTACGGATCATTGGTTTGAGGTATGAAATATGCCCACCTAGGCTGTGTTGCCTGAAGCTAGCATACATAGACCCAGAGACAGGGAAACAGACAGGGGGATCCTTTACAATCAAGTAAGATTTTAAACACTGTTATTAGAACTAGTTTCATATATTAATTGGTTATGACAGATAAGAAAAATAAAATAGCTCTGATTTATATGTTAAATCTGGCAATATCTCTGTAAGTATTTATTCTTTGCATTTAAAGGGAAAACAAGTTGTGTGAAAAGACAATGTATGATTATTTTACATTGGTGACGGATGTGTATTTTCAGTAACCTCCCATTTGATCACATTTCAGATACCATGATATGCCTGATGTGATTGATTTCTATGTGCTCAGACAGAACTATGATGTTGCAATGTCAAGGAACTGGAAGCCAGGTAAACTATTAGTATGAAAAATGAGTTCTTGTGCAATTTAAGTTGCAAATTTATGTCATTGTACCATGAACCAAAGTATCCATCAAATATGCCTCTTTCAGGACCTCCAATGTTGTGCTACCCACCTGTTACACTGATAGTAGTAAATGTTGGGGTGCAAACTAAATTTAAAAACTTTAAACTTTAAATTTGGTATTGCCAAGTAAAATGAAGCAGCTATTTAGATAGGTCAAATAAATTGTCTTTCCTGTGTGTTTCAGGTGACAGATTCCGCTCTATGATAGATGATGCATGGTGGATGGGAATCATCTTGTCTCAGGAACCATTCCAGTCACAGTATCCGGACAGCATGTTTCAGTGCTTTAATGTAAAGTAAGAAATGTTACTTTTTTTCGTTACTTACATCTATTTTTGAGGTTGAAGATTTAAATTATGTATATAAAATGGAAATGGTTTTTCAACACACTTGACCTGTATGCCATGACCTGGCATGATGAATGGCAAAATAGTCCTAAACCATTGCAACTGTGTTCAGTAGGTTGATTTCTATGTTATCATAACTGAGTGATGCAAATTGTTTTGCTTGTATTTCAGGTGGGACAACGGTGAACTTGAAAAAATGAGTCCATGGGACCTTGAACCAATAGATGACAGCAGAGTGCCAAACACAGCTGGTGGAAGTGTTGAGGTTTTACCTGATGAACTCAAATCTTTAATGTACACACCTAAGGAACATGAATGGCCAGCAGAGGGAAGAGATGTGGAGTGTGAGAGAATTGCCAGAGGACTTGAGCAGATTATGGAACTCTCTATTGCAGAGCCTTTCTTGGCCCCAGTTGATTTGAATAAATATCCTATTTATGGGATGATTATTGAATACCCTACAGACCTAAGCACTATTAAAGCCAGGGTGGAGAATCATTTCTACAGGTACACCTATGTGGGCTCACACTCATCTTATTGTATTGGTTATCAAGCAAGTAATTCCACATAAGGCAAATGGTCAAGAGCAAGAGCTTGCCCACATTTGTTCCAGCAAGTATGTTTTTTCTTGCTTCATAGTGCATGCATGTTTTCACATAGCTGTCCACATGCCTATAACATTATGACAGTTTTACAAGAAGAGTATGCACGAAAAATGTTATTTTTTTACATGTTACAGGAGAATAGCTGCAATCCAGTTTGATATCCGCTACATTGAAACCAATGCAAGGACATTTAACCAGCCAGGAAGTCTGATTGTCAGACAGAGCAAACTACTTACTGAACTGTGCTTGAAATTTATTGGGTAAATAACTATTTTCCCTTCAGTATAGTTATTTCACATGTTTTAAAACCTTTTTGCATAAAGCTTTGATTATACAAAGAATGTGGCATGTTTCCATTTTGTATGGTTTCATCATACTTTCAGTCTGTATAGCTTTCACCTATTAATTTTTCAAAGTTATGTGTGATAGCTGCACCGCATACTGGGTTATGGTAACTTCTTAGGTCAGAAAAGTATGGCAAGGTTTTTCATTACTTACTTGACTATAATGTGTCACCCAAATGATTTTAGGGATGTGGACTGTACAGATCCCCTGGTATTGTATAATCAGCTGGCAAAGGATGCAGACTTTGCACTACACCCAGGGAGAAGTGCAGCAGAAGACGGTGAGGAGGAGGAAGATGAAGTAGATGTAGAGAGTGATGATGATAGACCAGGACCAAGCAGGAAAAACAAAAGGGTAAGAATAGATGTGAGTTAAAACATGCTTTAGTGTTGTTCAAGGACAGGAAACAAGTTGTTCAGTGGACCTTTCCAAAGTTACAGTTTCTCATTTTTATGACCAAATTCTGGCTATAAATTCATTAAGATATTTTTAATGCCAACTTCAGTTTGGCCTGACAAAAGACAGACAGCATACAAATCAATCAATTATTGTACTAGGCAACATGGACCGAGAATGACTTTTTGGGCATTTAACTGAGGAATTAGAATAATGTTAATGAGGGATTGATCTGTTAAATTTTTAAATCACAGAACAGAACACAAACATGAATGCAGTTGCTTTTCTTGCTTCAGCCTGCTCGGCGAAACAAGTCATCAAACCTGGGATGGAAAGAACAGTGTGCTCAACTACTGGATGTTATTTATGACTGTGATGATTCTGAACCATTCCGACATCCAGTTGATCCTCTAGACTATGCTGTAAGTTTTCAAACTTTTATGCTGCTTGGGTGTTTTTAATTTTTATTAATCATAATAAAATTACTGTGCAAAACAATGTGCCTCAATATTATTTGAATAAAATTTTCATGTAGAATAGACAAATATATCTTGATTTATTCTCTTTTCAGGACTATGCTAATATAATAGATACTCCCATGGATCTGACTACAGTGAAGGAGCAGATGCAGTGTGGGAATTATGACAGTCCTCAAGAGTTTGCCAAAGATGTCAGGCTGGTCTTCAACAACTCTAAGCAGTATAACACAAACAAGAAATCAAGAGTAAGTGATAAACAATGTCATTTATTTTAAAGCAGTTTAAGAAATTATTTTGTAATCCACATAAATGTGTAGTATAGCATGTGATTGGTTAGTCTAGTTGGTTTAATAGTTGTTCAGTAGTATTAAATATGCTTTCCTCCTTAGATGTAACAACAGTCTTCACATGATCAGGGTTTATATAGGTATTTAAGGACAACATTCGATAGATTTGTGTGGCTATCAAAGTTATTGTCTTAATATTTAAGATCTATGCAATGACCCTGCGCTTGTCAGCCATGTTTGAAGATCAGATGAAGGAGATATTAGCAGGTAGAAAGAAGATTTACAGATCTGATCAGACATCAACAAGACCATCTGCTGAACAGAGGTAAGAATGAAATACAAAAATTGATTTTTTATGCTTTTATCTGCAGTGACAAAATTGTTTTGGTACACATACAAGTCCAGGAAAGCATGCCGTCTTGCAGTTTTGTTCTGTAGTAAGAGAAGTACAATTCCCCTCCTTTCTCTGTTTGATTCTTGTTTTAACAAATGGAAAGCAGGATGTTATTTTTTTGTCTTTTTGACTTCAGGCGTAGGCCTCCTCGTCCTCAACTTAGGGCTGACCCTGTCCATTCCCCAAAGAAAAATGTGGCTAGAACTTCCTCTGTTCAGAGGGACAGCAGCAGACCCTCTACTTCAGGTATAACAATTATTCATAATTCCAAACACTTACCACTTCCATTATTCTGTTTTTCAAAGTTTATGAATTTTCATTACTCAAAAATTGTTTTAAGAAATGCAAAAAATTCATTTCATTGTTATAGTTGGTACAATAATAGTTCATTTTTGCAAGAGTTATTTCAAAAATTTGGTTTTTGTAATATGTATATTTAAATAAGATAATATCTGAACCCTGCCATATCAATTTTTCTGAAGGTGCAGCCTTTTTTAATCGAGCCATTGACACAGCAGGCAGCAGTACTACACAAGTTGCAACTAGAACAAGAGCACAAACCTCAGGTAAACATAATGATTGTCTTTTCTGACAAAAAATATATAGTGCGATTAAAAGAAAAATGCTATGCTATGATTTATCCTTTACTATTAGTAAACATGTGAATTGTAACAGAACTTATTATCAATTTGTATATTACATCTGGGTCTTCAGTGATTCAGGAAAATTTAGATATTTATCATGGGAAAATTTTACATCACCAGATGTTTGTCTACAATTGTAAATGTCTTAAAGTTAGTAAGTTTTTAATCTTTCCTGTAGGTGTAACAACAGTCCCACCTCACAGAAAAAGGCCAAGAAGGTTAAGAATTGAAGATAATGATGAGGATGATGAGGAAGAAGATGAAGAGGAAGATGATGATGATCAGGATTCAGATTATGCAGAAAGACCTGCAAAACGGGCAGCTCCTAGTGCAAGTAGAAGAAGTAAGTTGCAAATTCCAATTTATTTTGTTAAAATTACTAAAAAAAATTGAATATGTTCATTGTAATCTTTCATTTTCACTTAATATTAGAAAATAAATTTCTGTCATTACTACAGCTCTGAACAAAATTATATTTATATGATGTGACACAGTTTATATTTACAGGTTTTAATAGAATAGTTGAAGGATTTATTGTAATGTGTCAAATATCTAAAAATGATTCAGAATGTTTTCCATAGTTGTGCATTGAATTTTTCCTTAACACTGTGTTGTTTGCTTCCAGGCACCCGTAAACCAATAAGCAATGGCACTGAAAAAAGACACGAAGGATCAAAGAGATATGGAACAAGAAAATCCACTGGTTCTTTGAAACCAAGCAAATACAAATTCTCTGACTCAGATAAGACAGATGAAGAGGTAGATGAAGCAGAAACAGAAATAGACGAAAGTAATAAAAACACAGACAATGGCTCAGCTTCAGATTCTGATAGTAAATCTGAAAAATCAGGATCCAATGATTCTAGCTCAAGTTCTAGCTCAGATTCTTCTAGCAGCTCATCTGAATCTAGCTCATCAGAAGAAAGTGTTAGTTCTGAACCTCCCAGGAAAAAAATTATGAGGCAGAATCCTAGAAAAACTGCTGTACCAAAAACAAATGGCCATAGTAACAAACAGAGATATACAAGTAATGGTCAAAATAGTAGGTCTAAACAATCCAGGGAGGGTGATAGTCGAAGATATAGTACTCGATACAGAGGCCAACGGACAGTGCATTACCAAGAAGACAGTGATTTTGAGTACACAGATGCAGCTGACACTGAAGACTTTGATGAGAATATAAGTGACACTGCTGGTGTAAGCAGGAGTGGCAGATTAAGAAAATTGACTCCTAAAATGAAAGCTAGTCTGTGGACATAGTATTTACGTTGGATATTGCCAGTGTCAGAGAGAGAAAAACCTTTGCAGACAAATTACTTTTTTCATACTGCCTTAGTTGAATGATCATGGGGAAATTATTAAAATAAATTTTTTGAATTCTTAAATTTTTCTTGCTGCCATATTTTCAAGCTTTGAAGTAAAAAAAAAAAGTGGCCAGCATTTTTCCATGAAAAAGTATATTTATATCCTCCAAGGGATGCTAGCCATCAGATGAGATGCAACATTGTGATGTAAAATTTTTCATAAAAATGGTTCCATGAAGTCATTTGTTTATAGTTATTCATGCTTCCAAGTGGAAAAATTGCAGAAAAGTTTTGAATTTTGTCACTGAGGGTGATAGTTACTTGTCAGATGCACGATATGGCAGGTTTTGCAATTATAATGAAGTTAAAACGTTTTTGTTCAACACAGTTTTTATTCACTTTTTCGATAGAAAATAAGCTCAGACTTCGTTAAAACATTCTACGACACCAAAATAATAATAGCCCTACTAATACTGAGACCAAACAAAGTTCTGAATACATCCACCTAGTCAGAAAAGGCTAATTCTCAATATCCTATGTGATAAATCGTGGAAAAAAAGGAATTCAATTATTTGGGGTACGCAAGACAAATTCTGCATCCATCAAAGACCTATATCTTTTATAAGAAAAAATCCCAAATAACCACTCAAACTTTTAACCTGTAAACTTGAATAATAAGGTATCAAGTCATTTTCTGATACAGAAAAATATTAACTTTATTAACAAATAAAACTAAACTAAAAAACAAGCAGTATCTGACAGGAGCATCTCGCTTTCTTATTTCAGAAATAGATTTTACACAATCCACCTTCAAATTGTTAACTGAAACATTTCATTAGGAATTAATAGTTTATTTCTCCTTGTTAATGTTCCGTTGTTTTCGCAAAAGATATAATACTTTATTTATAAGTATATATGTTCATACTTGAAGCATGAGCCAATTCATACAATATGCCACTTACAAACACAAAAAACAAACTTTCAAATTGCAAACACAAGATCCTTTTTTACAAAGCACCAAAAGATTGAATACTTAAAGGGTTACATGTCTTGTACATAAAATGCTGCTTAACACATCTGAGGTAACTTGAAATATAGCAATTTGACACCTCTAATGCAGAAGAGTTGCTTAAGAGATTGAACTCCTTACAAAATAAAACAAACAGAAATGTTAATAAGTACTACCAAACTAAAATGCAGGCAGTTAAATTAAATGTGCAATCTCAAAATGGCACAATAGAAGTAAATAAAATTTCTCTTTGTCAAAAAATAAACATGGAATGCTGAGATTCCTAAGCAGTAGACTAGACTTTAACATATAGTACATGTAAAGAAAGCAACACAAAAGGATGAGAATCTTTCCAGCATTAGACAATATTTGATAATAGACTTCAGTCTGAGATTTCCTCTCGAAAAGCTAGATTTGCCTGTAATGTGCAACTTGAATTTCCAGATGCTCAATCACATTATTAGAGATCGATTCACCCCAACAAACAACAGCAAAATAATCCTTTTACATGTCAATAAAGCACTGAATTTGTACAGTACAGTAAGTACTGTTGATGAATAAGGATAACAATAATAAATTTAACAATTTCACAAGGCTAAAATCTAACCCTAAAAATCTGATGAGTTCCAACCGAATTGTAAATTGAGTGGTGTTTTATACTTTGTAAATGGTAAAGGCACAATACAAACAGTAAATGACAGTGCTTGGAACAAAAGTAGTTCATAAATGTACTTGCAACAAAATCTTAATCAAATATCATCTTAAAAAGCTAATGAATGTGAACCACATAAGTAACACTGAAGCTCAACTGCTGACACATGAGTAGCCCAAGCTTCAAATTTATTATGAGCAGCTTTATTTTCAAATCACACACACTAACACCCACTGATAACCCTGACATTTTGTCTCTTTCAAACACATTGCGCTTAAAATTATATTTAAACTGAGTAACTACATATTTGGCTTATTTCATCCTAAATGTGCCTATGAAATATAACACAGGTGTTAAGCTTACTTATGCCCCGATTCGGACGATTTTTTGTGTGCTTTGTCAGGATCACCAAATCGGTGCATAAGCAAGCTCAGCACCTGTGACATATTTTTGGGCACATTTGGGGAAGAAAGCCAAGATATGTAGTTACTTGGTTACTCGGGTTTACATATTATTTCAAGTGAACTGTGTGTAAAAAGAGACAAAAATTCCAAAATAATCAACCAACTCAACGTAACTCCTTCTTGGGAGTTCAATCCCCCCCTGATGAAACCATACTAAACTAGAGATGCTCAGTCAAACAATAACTTTCTTGTGAACATATCCCCTAAAGACTTTAATCAGAGAAGAATTAAAATAATATTTCAAAATATTCATCCACCAACTGCATTTTATGAGTATAAAAAGCTTTTATATGTGACTGACTAGGACTCACCAGGACTCTGAAATATATATACACTCCCTATATACAAATAAACTTTAACCTTAACTATTTCTTTAAAAGTAGTCCTCAGCAAAACACTTCCATATTCAGCTTTGCATGACAAAGGTATATCCGTTCAGGACCAGAAGCAATAATATAAAATTACTAAAACAATCAGCATCTCATTTTGAAAACACCTGTTATCAATTAATCCCATTATGCTGACACTGGCATAGCTTCAAACAATGTTGTCTACAGATTGCAACAAATGTTCACTCCAAATCTATTACATACATCTTAAAAGAAAATACAAGCTAGTTCTCAATTTCATAATATCAAGTTTGGTCCTGTTTTGTTCTTTACTACTTATAACCCTTTTTCTTAAACAAGTCTCAGTTTCACCTATATTCTGAAGCTTTCACACTTCCCATCAATATGGCTGAGACGCAGGTAGACATCTGTTCCTATTCCCTGCATGCTTTCAATGGACAATTTTCCCCCAAGGTATTCAGCATAGGCCTTGGAAGCAGGTAAACCAAACCCAAACCTGAAAAAAAACCAAACACATACTCCTTACATTTAAGGTAGTCAGATTTACTATAATATTATAAATTGACAGAAAACATCAAATACTTCATATAGCTGATTAGTTCATCTTAACTTGAAATATAAAAAAAAACATCAAAATTTCAATCAGTTGTGCAAGCTGTCAATACCTCACTGTTTTTTTTTTTTTTTTTTTTTTTTTAATTGCACAAGACAAAAACTTGCAAATTTTGAGAAAATAATATGTAGGTGTTGGTATTAACCCTACCCTTACCCATGCATTGGTCCTGCTGCAGGTCCTTTAGAGCTCGGGTTCATGACTTCTCCAAACAGTCCACCATCCACCCTTTCATCCACCACACTGCCACTCGTGGTGAAGTGATACTCAAATACCTTGGAGGAGTGTTCATGAGGTATCCCTCCACCCCGGTCAGAGATCCTATATTATACAAGTTGAACAACGCATGGTTTGAATTCCTTCAAGTTCTTGTACTTCTTTGTCATTTAATTGCTTTATATAGATTCAACAAAATTATTCCAATGTTATGTTTGGTTATAATCATTTAACCAAATGAGTTCGAACAACATTTATTTTGAAAAAATAAATAAATTCACATAAATGTCTTAATGTTTGTGGGAGGTCTGATGAGTACTCATTTAAAAGTATCAAGAAAACTCACAAAATTACATGAAATCTGAAAAAAGGTTGAGCAGACTTGTTACCTTATGATAAAATCCACATCATTATTGGCTATGGTAACTACTATGTCTGGAAGACTGTTCGGGTTATCCAGATGGCTTTCAACAGTAGCTCTGCAAGAAGTGATGAAAAAATAACAATGAGTAATACCGACCTGTACTAAAACCACAAGAGGAGTGGAAAGGAGGAAGTACCGGTCCAAAGGCCTGGATGTCATAGAACACAAGAAATAGAAATAGAGCAAGAGGCAAACTGGAAAGGAAACAATTGACAGTACAGAGCAATGGAGATGAAGCCTTTGAAAAAAAATAAATGTTATAGTGCAATCCATATAAACGCAAGTGTCTCATCTTGTACGAGTGCCATCTTTTCCCTTAGTCATTAATGGCATCTTTTACTGTCATGTGTCACTGTAAACTAATCATTTACTATCCCACTTCTACCTTTCCCTGATGTAAATACAACCACATACTTAGTTGTCATTTGTCACATTTAATGCTGTTTGTCTCTTTAAAACTGTCAAATAGTGACAGCCATGCTACTGCTGGACATGTAATTAAGATGTTTGTAGTTTGTGCTGATTAAAACCATAATAAATAAAATGTACACATTACCATTTGAAAAACAATCTTTCAATCAATCACTTAGAAATTTTTACAGTTTACTCAAATTAGCTTGTTACCACCACTTCAACACACCTCATTCCATTCTTAAGCAGCTCTCCTAGGATATAATCTATAGGTTGTGCAATATATGGAAAGGTTGCATTTAGATGTCCGTTCACTTTCACGTTGGGTGCTTTGCCATACTTATATTCACATAGACCTCTGGAAAAAAAAAGAAAATTCAGTAAATACACAAAACAACTTTTTCATTTTTACAAGGCACATATCCTAACACTTTTGCTTGTCAAAAAAATTCATATCTCAATAAAAATTCCATTTAGGTTTTCTAAACAGTACACATATCCTATTTTATATTCATATAGGAAATGTGTGCTGGATTTCAAGTGAAAAACAGTTGTTTTTTTTTTTTTTTTTTTTTTTTTTTTTTTTTTATTTAGCAATCTTGGTGAGCTCCTCTCCATACTTATTTGAAATGAAATCTTATGTGATCATCACAGTAAGTGTGAAAAGAAATTATAAAAATAACTTTAGGTCACCTTTTGAACTACATGTATGTTGAAGTTCACAACATATGATTCACTGATAAAACCGTGTTCAGCTACACATGTGAGTTCACATATTAATGCTTTTTTAAACAACGTTATGCTTGTTCACTGCATGAAATAGAATCTGTGTCATTGTAATAAAGCTCAAGGTGAAATCCTCACAAACACATCTTATGAGTCCAATAAGGTGAACTCTTTTTCAAATTAGGTGGTTCAAGGTCACAGTCTTTTTTCAATCCATCATGTTCACAGACTAGAGACAGACTGGCAACTGACAGAGACATCTGTCACAGTTCCTTACATTTAACTAAATACCCAGGTATTTTGAGGTCTTCAAAAAGCACATGAACCTTCAAATATAATAGGTTTCATTGACATAAAATGAAAACTGTAGGGGATGACCAGATAATTCAACCACATTTTTAAGTACTTTTACATTTTATAATTGACTTTTCAGTCAATTTGTAATAAATTGATCTAAGGGGGGATATTCAGGTACACAAAGACCTGATGTAGTCTGTGTGTGTACAAAGTTTCCTTGAAGCTAATAAAAACTGCAGAAAATGGCCAGACATGAATGCACCCATTGGGATGGACATACAAGCCAATTCCAGAGGAGGTAGGGAATACAAGAAGTCAACTGTGAATGTTTTTAGAAACCATGGGTCTACAACCTGTTTCAATGAACACAGACAATGCCAACACTCCCACACCAGACTGGGCTGGTTACATGGCCGAAAATGAATTGACCAATTTGAATCAAAAGGTACCAAATAAATACTGTAGTCTGTGCTCATTTTGAATCACATTACATCATCAATGCCAGCTAGTGACCTGAATGTAAAGAATATTAAGCCTTTGCCATTAATGAATAGAACAATGTTTGTTTGGTAAGTTATTTGACAAACTCAACCTTATTCTCTATTCAGGTAAATTATGCATGACTTAACAGTAACTTTGTGTTATAAATCCTTGCACTACACTAAAAAGGAGCCCACAAACTACATGTATAATGAAAATGAAATTGTATCTGCAAGTTAACATTTCAGGCACAATATTTCTTTTTTTTTTCATTAGAAAAAGGGTGTTCTAGATTTAGATTCACCTCGCAAAATCTGCTCTTCTTTCAATAAGTTTCCTTGGTTGAAAGTTAACACAGATGATGCCTTTGAAACCTGGCTGTAAAGGAAAAAAGGTTTAAGTATTTGGCATGCACATAAAATTATTGACAGCAATGAAACATTTAACCAAAATTGCCAAACCATTAAACATATATGTTATTTGCTACATTCTAATCTGGATATACAGTTTTAAATCTACATAAACAATTCACCTTATCTTTCTTGTCAACTCACCTTAATCAGTATAATCTGTGTGAAGGTGTACCATAAGTAAAACTATTACACCTTGTAGACATTGTTAGTTATTTTAAAGGGAGTGTAGCCAAATGTCATCAGCTTAATCTTTATTTTTTATCTCCTGCTCAAAGGTTTCAAGGCATATAAAATCTTTTTTTAAATAATGAAATCACTAACTGTATTCAAAATTACATTATTGTGGAACATGGTAATGTCAGTGATGCATGTAAACATTCACTGGGCTTGAGCTAAATGAAATAAAACTGGTCTTAAAAAACATTTCTTTTTATGTTTAAATTTTGGAGGGTATTTTGAAGTTTGTAACTCAATAAATCAATGATTGGTTAGTGTTAGGTATTGTTCAGGACTACAGGTAATATATAACTATTTCGAAATAAAAACATCTAGTTTACAGCTAGTTTATTTTAGCATTATCTCACCTTATCATCGTGTATGGCTAGGTGATGTTCTGCTAACATCCTAATTCCTAAACGGGATGTTAAGGTCCTATCAATGAATGTCTTGATCATTGCTTTATCCTTGAAAATAATTATTTGCATTTCGTAGTACAATACATACGTAAACAACAGATAATTTTTAAAAATTAACAACTGCATTTTGTTTATATTACAAATTATTAATTTAAAATAGGTATAGTACAAGTAGCCAATTTGATGGGATTCCTATCATAAAAGAAAAGGCAGGAAATTAAAGTAATGCAAATCCAACAGCAATTTTCTTTTACTGAAAAGACAATCAAAAATAATAAAAATCTTCTTCAAAGTTACCTCAATGTGTTTACTGCTTTCCTTGAATCCCTCAGCTAACATTGTGACAACATCCCTATAGTCATCTAACAGTTTCCTAAGCAATCTGCAATATCTGGCTTCATCCTCGAAATTTTTGATCTGAAAAAAAATCAAATATTAAAGACCTCTTCATTTCACTTTATGCAACCAGCAGTTACCCAATTAAGCTACTAAGAGGAGTTCATTATTTTAGGATTTTTTCCTTATCCTTTTAGATAATGCAGAAAAAAGCATTGTCATGTTGTAAAATGATCCTGTCACATCAAAAATGCACCAGGTAAACTTGCTCTTTTTAGCTGATGACAAAAGACTGCTTTCAAGTTGAACAGTTTTAATGCCAATTTAATCACAAAAGTGTAACAAGTCGGTGCCAGATTTTCTTGAAGGCTTACTTCTAATTTTCATCAATAAAAAGCAAAATTAATGCATTTATTTAAGATGTATTTGAAGTCAAATTATTGCAAAAAATTTTTTTTTCATTCTTTGTTAAGTTTAACTTAATTTTTCTCTGAAAAATTACCTTTGGTTGAGGGTATATAATAAAGTAAGTGTTGTTAATGTCCTCTGGTCAGTAATAAATAGATTAAACCATGAAATATGTATATCCAAGTCAAAAAACCAACCAGCCACTGACCCTGAACTCCCTCAACTAGTAATGATCCAAGGCCATGGTTTTAATAAAGCCAACTCCACTAAATATGTTGAAAAAACAAACTAGGTTGATGGATACCAAAACAAATTTTTTTTTTGTTTTCAATCATGCCAACAATAAATTATGCTTCTTTTTTCCTATCCCATACAATCAATTTTAAATGAAATATGTTCAATTGCTTCTTACTTTAACCTAATCAATTGAAATCAGACAAATTTATTGATTAAGGCTAACATTTTCTCAAATTTTCTCTTTTTCTTTAATCAGCATGTTATTTTGAGTCAAAGAAAAACATTTTAGTATTTAACCAACCTCTTTGTACATGCATTGTTATGATTCACTATGACAAAAAAGTTATATAACATCCATAATAAATTTATGGCAATGTGGTAACAGCATACAACCTTGAGAGAACAACTCACCTCAGGAAATTCTGTTAGCATCTGAAAAGCTTTGATGTACATTTCATGCTGGAAAGAAATAATTGGCAATAATATCATGACGAACGAAATGAAACTGTACAAGATAACATGACGAAAACAAATTCACTATTAATATTAAACTCATCAATATTTTTTTCCTTTCATATATTTCTTATATTACAAACATAACATTAGTATATTCACATGAAATATGGTGTACAGTACCTTCATGAAGTGCCTTAATATATGATTACTATTTCAATTATTAAAGTGAATTCTTGAAAAAAATTTACATGGCATAAAACATCTAGTACAGACCATACTGCTCTGATAGGTAAAATCAAAATGACTTACTACTGAAATAATTGTAGGGTTACAGCCCACAATGAATGGTAGGTTTCTGAAGGCTACAACACGATGAGCAATGCGGACTGGAAGTTCTTTATGGAGATACTGGGCACTGCGCTGAAATAATGGTTAATTTTATGACACATCAGAAAAGAAAATTATTGCATTACTGCATATAACACTTAGTTTTCTTTTCAGTTATAACAGATTTTGTACCTGGGGAGGGGACTTTATTTACAGATCATTTATACATCCTGAATTTGACAAAAAGAACTAATTTACTAACAGTGAAAGCATTTTTCAAGGAAACATTATATATAAAAAAAAAAAATGTCCCTAGAAGGTAAGACTTTTTTTCAGTATGCCATGACAACATTCAAACTTCAATAATATATTTGTTTGCAAAGCACTTCACTTCATTCCTACCATGTTTTGGTCTCTCAAACTTTTGCAATTTAAAGAATCTTTTTATTAAAAACCAATTCTGGGGTGGCAGGGATATTGTGATAAAGATTAAGAGATAAAAAAACTTAGATATGAAAAAAACATGAAAAATTCTAATGCTATTTTAAATGATGGGTAATGGCACTTCAAAAGTTTAGTGTTTACAACTACCCTGCTAAATACTTGTACAGGAACTCTTTGCACATATCTCCTGTTCTGTAAGTGTGCACTGTGAAACTTAAACCCCTTAGTTTAGACAATAAAACAAGCACTGGTTTAAAATCATTTGTCACATTCCCTATGGTACACATAGCAGACCACTTTAATTCTAAATATCTAGCTCACATATTCATCTATCACATAGTATCACTATGAGCTAGTTTTAAATGCTCACTCTTCTTAATTTTGGTTATACTTTCTTTTTGAAAATTAACTTTGACATTTTTTATACCAATTATTTAAATATTCTAAAATGGTTTCCTGTCTAGACAGATTTTCTCTACATATCTTATTTAAATGACTTGCTACAATGACACAATACAATATTTCACTTCTGATAGCACACATCATTTCCTTTTTAATACTGTCTAATCATAGAATCACAAATTTTGATAGCAATCTCAGTTTCTTGATGTCCTCAGATCCTCCTTAAGGCCAGAAAAATAATTACAGGTCTAACTACATCATCAAAGTTGGTTTACATAATATTACATAAAAGGCAGTCTTTAGTCCAGGTAGAGCCAAGTAATTAAGTCACAGACTGTGGTCAACCACATGGCTTTCAAAGGGACCAACCCAATGACAGCCTGTCATATATATATTGGTCAGCTGATAACAAAATCACAAAAGACCAGTCTTTGCACTTCTATACTGACCAACCTACAGCAATAAACTGTGTCTAGGAACCTACTAGTATACAGGCAATGTCCAATTTATATCCAAGGAGAGATAACTCTATACATCATCAGACCGACTCAGATTGCATTAATTTTTATTCACACTTGATACAAATTTAAATTTAAAAAAAAAATCTATACATTAAAGGATTTTCACCTTAAGGTATTTTAAGTCACTGCCTTAGAAAATTTACCCAAGTGCAATATTTTCAGCATTTTTGTCTTTCAGACACAAATAGTGGAACACAACTATCAAAGCAAACATCATGGCAATGACTGTTGCATGCAATGTTGCGGGCTATGTTTACTAATCAAAATCAAACTAGCATACGATACACATGGGTGAAAGTTGTAAAAACTGAAAAATACTGAGAATGTTACTAGCAAATTCTCATCAAATTTAGGCAAGAAAAAACAATCAAAATGAAGACTGAAAATCCTGAAATACGGCATGATCCTAAAAACATTTACCCACGCATATATCAAGCAACTGCTCCTAAGGCTTTGTTTCAAGGCAAATAAAACATCCCTTCCTGATATTGATTACCAAAATGCACACATGAATCTTTGTATGTATAATACAGCTTGCAAGTTAAACTAGTCTATATAGTAAGCACATTCACTTCGTACAATACAGATCAAATTCCATGTAATGTGAAAGACACTAACATCATTTCGCTAGTCTCAGGATTTGGATGTAAGCCATATAAAACAGTCTTTCTACATTGATTTCCGCTGAGTGCAGGTGACCCCATACCATAGGTTAGAAGTTCAAATGAGTCCACAGTGGACTCTTATCCCCTTTCCAAAAACATTTCTTTGTTTTGTTCTCGCTTATGTAGTTCTATGATATCTATAATCAGAAATTGATACTAGCAAGTCATAACCATAATCCTTTACAATAACAGACAGTTGAAAAAAGAGTGATCTTGGGAAGCCCACAAAAAATCCATTAATTCTTGTCCATACCACACAACCTTGCAGGTAACATGTGGTTCATGTGTGGCTATCAGCCTGAAATACTCCTAATATATGCACAGGCATCAGGCCATAGCTAATATTGCGGCAGACAATGAGATATGCAGTTATCTGTTCTTAATAATTAAAAATGTACATAACTGGTGGCTGTAACACAATACCAGTAACTGACCAGGCTGTACAATAATCTCCATCCATAATAAAAAGTTTTCATTTCACAGTCATAGCCATGTTTAATATTCTATATTACATAAAAAATATAAATAAACAAAGACTCTAAATACCAGGATGTGTAAGCCATCTGTGCTTTTGCCAGCATATAGCATTGTGGTGGGGACTAGGCGAACTGATGCCTGAAATGAAAAAATAAACAGATTTGAGACAAAAATTAGGGTAATAATAACAAAATGCAGGCAAACAAAAACCCCATTATTCATTTTTAATTCAAGCCATCAATATACAAAATGGATCAACAGTGCAATCAAAATCTGAAGATTATCAACTATGAATTTTGCCCAATTTCACAATACATACCATGGGGCTGATATCTAAACAAAAGGATTGCAGGGACCGACATAATGAATGAGACGGAGTGAATGCCACGTGCGAAAGATGGGCAGGAAATCAGCCAACTACTCGCAGAAAAACACTGACCCATGTCCCTGTCAATACACACGCAACCACAAACCATTCAAGTAAATGAAAATGATAGGACGGTGACCACAATTAGTCAGTATACGCGGGGAAAGTCCATTCTTTGATATCACCCCATGCGCGGTGACATCAGCGTGTTCTATTCAAAGTTAGGGGGTTTGGGTGGGGAACACGCACGATTTCCCTTTGTATGTATGACAAATAATGCACTGTTACCTCGCTCGCTGGTGCTCGGCATGCTATCGTGATATCGGGCTCGTGGACAGTGCATTATTTACTACTTACATCATGCACTGAACACAGTAATGGCATTGGATATCTGTATGTTCAATGACTGACATAATCTGTTACTGCATAGTTGAAATTGTTGAGGGCAAAATATGTGCAACTGACAAACTGAAGTACAATAAAAAAACAGCATCTTTAGCTAATAATGATCTGAAAATCAAAAGGTTCTACTGCTGTATTATTTTTGTTATTGGTCACCATCTGTTAGACCTTTTCTCCATCTCATTCTCCCTATCTGCTTTGTCAAGTCTGACCTGCTATGACCGGGAAGCAATGCGCAATGCACGTGGCGTTATTAATTACCTACCCAAGGCTAGAGCCCTTTCTACAATCTAAACCATGTGTACATTTTAATTTCCCCCCCCCCCCCCGAGATGTAAAATTAGGAAATCTTATTGAGCCTGTTAAAAAAATAAATGGCCATTGCAACTGCAGTATACTTCAGAGGTTTACAATAGCCTTTGCAATGCATAAGTATTATATACTTCCTAAACTATGTTCTCAATGAATTTTGTAGACTTATAGCTAATGTGTGCCAACTCTGTATGTACTCTTGCTGAATGCAATCTGATTAGATTCAGCAAGAGCCCTGTGGATTAAGTAGATCAACAAAATTCATTGTGAAAGGTTCTTACTAGTATGTCATTCAATCCTTCCCTGCCATTAGGAACATAAATTTCTGCACTAGACGTACAATGTACATCAAACCAATAAGCCAAACTATGGGGCACAAAATATATGCAGTTGATCATGTGTGTGAGAGCTGGTATCTGTGTGCAGGTAGGTACATGGGGGAAAAAAGCGAGGCGTGTCTTTGATGGAAAAAAGGCGACTTGTTCTCATTTACCCTTGGTTGGCCATTAGATAAATAAACAGATATTGTCATAAGGTGGTGGGGTGATGGAGAGAGAGGAGGAGGGGAGGCATTTCCCTTACTACTGTACTGTATGTCAACTAATTTACTTCAGTATTAACAGTTTGATCAATTTGCTCATCCATATTATTTGCTTTAATTACTTGAAATAATGTGCTATCATAAAAATAATACCTTCTGTGAGTTATAAAACAGGTATCTATTAAGAGGACTTTTACTATTATTATTATTATTATTATTATCACAAACCTTTTTTGCAGCGCTGTCAATGGCACTTTGATTGTAATATGAAGACATTGACTTCGTTCTTTCATTGGTTTTAAGGTGATCAGATTTAGTCCTACTCTGTAGATATATGGCATTAGGCACTGTGCTCGTCTGAACTAAAATCCGTGTTAACTTCGAAGTCATGATGTTATATCTTCGTTGTTCTTGTCTGACGCAGAGGGATCAGCTGATTTGAATTGAACGCACACTATATATACTGTAAGCACTCAACTTTCTCCGACTGTTACAAACACATCTGGTGTTTTAGTTTTAACGTCCATAGTCTTCAGAATATCTGTTCTGTTTATATCTCTTTTGTATGAGGTGTAGCACGTCCCCATACTGTCGAGCCCTACTATTACTTCACAAAGAACCAATTTTTTTTCTTCACACAGTCAGCCTGAACTCAAACTCGGTCACGCGAAAGAAGCATGTACCGAAGCAACCAATGGCAGATTAGAAAACATAGCAGAGAGCACCACTCCTTTGCCAATGAAATTCATTGAAACAATTTGCCAGACTCTTGACCTTTCACGGTAGACCTCACCTAAGTCTTCTCACATACGTGCTGGGCTGAACTTGTTTAACCCGCAGACCAGTGTCATGTTTTCTGCCTATAAGCCTCTTTTTCGATTACTTTGCTTTATACATTTACTTTATTTTGTGTTACAAACGAGGCACAGTCATTCAACACTTGTGTATCATCTTGTTGAAAATCCTCCTTTTGGCAGCCTCGATTTAAAAAAAAAGATATCAGCGGAAAAACGCTGGTACAGAGGCTGTTTATTTTATGGACCACATGATCATGGTGGTGGAGTTGATTATTTGTTGTCCGCGGAATCTTTTAATTGCAATATGAAGACTCGTGTTGCAGTTAAGGCATGTATTGTCTCTGCATTTTTCATTCTGGTTGTATTTATTAATACGGCATTGCAGCATTCATTAAAAACTTTTAAGAAGGTGGCAGTAAACGAAGAGCCACAACAGAGTCCAAACTTGAGAAAACTGCTGCAGCAAAACCAGGAACTAGCCGTGGTGCTAGCAGACGACAAAGATGTTGATGTAAGATTTGACAATATATATGTCGTACATTTATCAATTTTTTACCGTAATTCGTATGTTGGCATAGTTTGGTAAGTTTTTATTGATTTAACTGACGTTCAATGACAAGTCATTAATATTAACCCCAGTCTACAGATTTTGAACATTGAAGTTGATTTTGCAGTTATCTTACACTCAGAAGAGGGATGCGGGTAAACTTCCCTAGACCAATACAGCACTGAAAGTTTTCAGATTTGGAGTGATAAAATTTTTTAATGGTTCTTGTAGGGCATAAGTGAGGGAAAGCAATCAAAGTGTTTTCCGTTATTAGTCAATGGATACAACAGAAAAGGAAGTTTCATTTCTTCAAGGAAGAGAAAATATAGTCTTAATCACAACTTTCATTTTCTAGTTTAGCCTATAAGCTAGCAGTATTTTTGATTGACTTCATGACAAGCAGTAGCTAGGCCATGGGCATCATTATAAACCAAATATACCAATTCAAATGACATCTGAACTCTCAACTGTAGTGGCAGTAGTGCCTGCACATAACCCCATTCATACTAGCATCTTGGAGAAGGTGTGATGTTATCATAGTGAACCTTTCTAATGTGAATGCACTATTAATCCTTGATAGCAGTCCTAATAATCTTACCTCAGGACTAGGGTTCTGTGATGGTCAACTTCTTACCAATGTCTCGACCGTTGTTGCATGGTTGGCATTTGAAATGCATGGTGTACATATAACAGATGAGTTTTCAAATTTCCTGGGCTTTTGGACCTGCAAAATCCTACAGTATAGTGCATGTGTGAAAAATATTTTAACCTTTTGGCATTTACCTGGTCCAGGCATTCTTATTACTTTTTTTAAAGCTTGCTGGAGTCATCCATAGTTTTAAAATGCAGGTCAAGTTTTAGAAAATTTTCAAATTAGATTATTTATTTTACAAGGTATGTTGTATTTGTAGGTATGATCAGCAGGATACTATACATATGTAAATAAACTGCAGCCTCATTCTGTGTTCTTCTCTTCTTGTTACAGGATTGGTTCTCAGTTTTTCAACTGAAAAAAGGTTGCTGTTTCATATTACGATGAAATGGAAAATGGAAAACATACACATACTAGTGCCAGGTCTGGTTTTAATCTTTGGAACCATGTCTTACACCACTGCGTCATACACTGTACATCTAATACCAAAAATGTTCACATGGGGATTGTTCTGTTATATTAATGCAGAGATATAAAAGCTTTTGACATTTTTTTTTCCATTTTTTACAGTGTGGTGATGTTCATAAACAGCCAGCAAATGGAACATGTTCCTTTGTACAGAACACTGAAGATTGTGCCATTGATGAAGGCTTTGTGAACTACTTGGAAGTAGTTTATTGCAATTTCTCCCCATCATTAGTTCCATTTGGAGTGATCTTGTTTGTAAGTACAAGAATATTATGAAAAGATAAGACCAGAATTTGGAAATATTCTGTGGTGCAGTGTTTTAAGGAAGACATTTTATAAGCTTAAGTTTCAGAATAGGTATAGGTCAGCTTCTTAATTTTCAAATTGCTATGCATGCCCAGTTTTTGTGTCTAAAGCTCTGAACTTAACAACATTTTATAAAAAAAACTACCATGCTAATCACAAATGTAGATAGCTCTATTGTAGCTGCATCACTGGCCCTTCTACAGAACAAGACCAATAAAATCAAGATGACTGGATGCATATCTGCATGTGCTTTACAGGACTTGCCAGAGTTTTCCAAAAAGCATGCACATTATCACATAATAGGGATTTGAAAATGAAGAAGTTGGGCATATTGAACCTGAAGCATGGGATTTATTTATGAGCATATACTTATCAACTGTCATAGGTCTCACTCCCAATGAAACTATATCATTCTCAAAGATCAGTCCAACTCCAGGGACTCTCGTTGAATGCAGTTACTAGTAGATGAACAGATTAACACACCTCTTCCTGGTGCAGAGTAGAATACAGAAAAGCTGGTTATTATATTACTATGTTGGAAACAAGGGGAACATGTTAATCTGTTAAGTTGATTGCATTCAATAAGAGTCCCTGCCGAGTTGAAGCAGATATGAGCCCATAAACTTTATAAGCAAATGCACAGAATGAGATGATGCATTACAGTCTAACTTCAACCAGAAGCCCTTTCCAGGGCTAAACCTGTGCTCATGGCTCACATGACCTGATGGCCTTAATTTGTTATCTGACAAGAACTAGTACTTCAGCTGTAACTTTGGAGTACAGTATTTAACTATCTAGAATAAGCTTTAAGGTCACTGTTTCGTTTGTAGCATGTGACGGAGCATGCATAATGGTAACACTATTTCAATAATTATTATAAAGATAATGTTGATAACGTGACCCTAAAGTGGGGCACATGATATTTGGTTCCAATCTGTCACTTATTTGCCAATGATTTACGTAATTTTGTCAGCTGTACAAGTAATATTTCGAACACTAGATACTGATAATGCTGTTTGTCTCAATGTGATTCAATTTAGATATTCAATAATTGACTCAAATAGATTGAATTATCAGTTTAATTCATTATGAAAAATCCTCATGCTTGACATTGAGGTTTATTATCATCTGATAACATTATGGGTGACAAGGATGAAGTCATGTTATATTATGTGACATAATGTAACTTCATAATTGTTTACATTTTGCACCTTCAGTACAAATTAGTGCTAATGCTAAGCTTACCAAAAGATTCATTTTGGGTGCATTTTGTCTTGATTGCACCTCGACATTACACATAATTTTTATTTAATTACATATTACTAATCAAGAATTTCACAGATACTTATATTTTTACTGTTTGTTTGACAATTTCTCCTTTAACATTTCTCACAGTTTTTCTGGTGGTTGTTCCTGTTTATTGGGCTTGCTGTTACTGCTGATGAATTGTAAGTTGAATAACATTAGCCCTGAAACATTCATATTCTCAAAATATACAAGTTAAAACAAATTGTGATATGTATAAGCATTCTTGGCAATGCAACTGCACATGTGGTTTGGCAAGTGCTTTAATTGACTAGCCACTCACAATTCTAGGGTATTTTTTTTTAAATCTAGTTTAATTGTTTAACTGTATGTGAACTGAATTTTTGTATCAAAACAAAGTTGGTTTTGTGATTGATTAGCATTTTCAACTAAGCAAGTCATGGTAAAATTGGGCATCAGATGGAAAGGACCAAAAACGTTTTCATAATATGCTGTATAGAATAACTCATGCCAGCAATTTCCACTATGCTATCTACCTGTTATATCAGCTTTGTCTATTTGATAGCTTTTTTTTTCTATTTTCTAGCTTCTGTCCATCACTAGCTGTAATAAGCAAGGTGCTAAGACTGAGCCACAACATAGCAATATCCTTTATTTTCTATAAGAAAACAGTTAAATGTAGCTTTAGTCCAAAAGATGAAGGTGTGCTTCATAATGGAGATTGCAATAACTAGTCCATTATGCTTTATGTATATTAGATTTTTTATTGAGTAACAATGTATGTTTTCAGTTATTTATGATATTTGTATTCATTCATTTCTTGCTTACTTTATCTTGAAAACTTCCTATAACATGTTTATTTATGTATGTTTTATACTTTTAAAAGAAGGAGTTATTCCATTTGAATGTCTAATGCTTCCAAGCCAAACAATACGAATTACATCTTTTGAACATTGTCATCTATTCAGTATGACAGATATATATTAATGTTAAATCTCACAGGCTATAACACACCTGTGATCTCATCTATGCAAAACTCTAGTTGGATAAGGTTAATTTATATTGTATTCATTATAATAAGGAGAGCAGCCACAGTCACAACTGATAAAAAAATTGTTAATGGTTCACTTTGCATATCGAGAAATTAAATGCTTCGGATTTTTTCAAGACTTGATTTATTGTCTTTTTTAACACATTTAAAAGAAAATGTTTGAACTTAAACTACTTACTGTAACATCAGTATAATTCATACCACATCATCCTTAACACTCAATAAGGTGTGACACTTCTTGCCTTTGGAAATGGTGCCCCGGATGTTTTTTCAGCAATATCTGCCATTGGAAATGCCAAAAATGGTAATGCAGGACTGGCCTTTGGAGCCCTGTTAGGTATGTCCAAAATATGTCTTTATATTCAATGTTACTTATGTTACTTTCCAGTTAAAAATAAAGAGACCCTTTGGTCTGAATGTTATATTATTATTATTATCATTGAATTAATATTAACCTGGGACTGTAAGATGTACTGATTGTATAGAATGTAGATAAAATTTTATATCATAACATTTTCTTCTTGCTAGAATGTATCACCTGTTATCAGGTCACCTTGAAAAATTTTAGGGTATTTTTCATAAAATAACCTGTGTTAAATATTGACTTACTATAGCATTTATCTCTTTAACTAATAAGAAAATAACTTCTCTTCAAAGGAATTTATGAGAAACATTGTGACAGGCTTTGACTTTTCCTACAGGTGCAGGGATGTTTGTGACCACAATAGTCACTGGTGCTGTAGCTTTTGTTGTCTCATTCCATGTGATGGAGAGACCATTCTTGAGGGACATAGGCTTTTATATTTTAGCACTGTGGTTCACATTTTATATGCTTTGGGATAGAAAAATAGATTTACTCGAAGCCGTAGGTAAGTTCAATCTGTCAATTGGAAAATAAAATACGAACCAATGTTTTGTATCTGAAATTATTACACTGAAAATTGTTCAGTTTTAGATGAAAATGTATTGTGATTTTTCAGTGTTAGCAATGACTTATTAGAGATGTTTTGTAAGAATTTTTATCTTTATATTTATCTTTTGTTTATTATCAGCCTACCTGGTTATATATGCTGTATATGTGGCAGTGGTAGTTATTGGCCGTTTCATTTATCAAAAACACAGGAAAAGAGAGGGAGACGATATAAGGGGATGTAAGTATTATCAAAAACAATGATTAAAATAATTTAGATATATATTGTAGATAAACCATGTTTGCCTTTGTTTAGAAATAAGGCACAAGTGTGATATCATATTAAATTTTATTCAAAAATATAAACCACTAAGATATCCATCTTGCTTTGTCGTTTAAATTGCCCATTAAATTGTAGTTGGTTAGCTGTTCAGTACTTCTTAATAAAGTATGCAGATGTCAAAAAACTTATCATTTATTTGGGTTTAAAAAATTATAAATTGGTTCTTAAAATGGTTTATCCTTCTTGATTTTAATGTTATGGCACAGAGAAAGTGAAATCAAGATTATTTTCATGCTGTCTGTCCAGAATGATGCCTGCAATATGTTACTTTGTTACATTTAGCCATTCAGGCAAAAGTTGTAAATGAGGAGAATGAAGATGAAGTTGGTTCATTTCCCTTTGGGCAGTCCTACGAGGTACCTCCAGTCCATGGTCACCACACTAGAGAGGGCTTAGCAGTCAGGTCTGATAAGGCAGTGAAAGGTTAAGAAGTGTTTACAACATCAATATTTTCTTTTTTTATTTTACCACTTGTTTACAGTAGGGGTACCATTGAATTGCTACAAAACAACCCAAGTTGGTGAAAATACACATTTTTATTGTAGTGGATTTGAAGTTACTTCATAATTTGTATAGCAGTGAAAATTGGAGTTTTTACTGATATTACCAAGATATAACTAATAGTGCTCAATGTGCCTCAGGTTGCTTGCTTCTTTGGTATACAGTCCTATTACACCATAAAACCTTTTTTTACTATACTAGCTTGCACTAAAACCAGTACCCAAAAAATTGTGTCAATATTCTGTTTCTCATAATTATAAGTCACCCATATTTCATTATGTCATTTATCTTTCATCAAACCTTGTTTATTCCTTCCCTTCCAGACTTTGCACGAGTTGCTGAACACATATCAACTGCTGCTGCCCTAGGGCATCCAGAAAATGGTACTCTAAGGCCTCAAATCAGTACAGTGGACAGTGGTTAGTAATGTTGTCGAATATATGTCACTTAAATGTTGATAATGTTATTGGGTCTCAGAAACAGCTTGAATGGGAAAAATGCCCACAGTCCAGTGTACCATGAATATCTGACTCCCCTAAAAGGTGACTCCCCAGTCATCCCCCATGAAATTTTGACTCCCCCCACAAAACTTATAAATCTTATTTCATTTGAGTAAATAACTTTTATCTTGTAGTATGCATAATGGAGGATACATTGGCACTTTTTGTTAGTTTGCAAGTGAACATTTTCATGAGAAAATAAGAAAATTAGAAATATGTATAAAAATATAATGCAATCATCTGCATCTATTCATGTCGCCACAGCAGGACTAGAGCAGAATTAGTTCACATTATGAAAAAAGTAAAATTTTCTGTTTGTTCATATAACAAAGCTTCATCTCTTATGTTACAGAGAGTGAACTGACCCCCTTGACTGACATTCGTCAGCCAGCATCATCTCAATTTATGGAATTTTTAACAGCTTTAAATCCAGTTAATACAGAAGAGTGGCCAGAAATGAAGTGGTATGCAAGAGTATATGAGATTTTCAAAGTAAGTACTCATACTCATCTTTCTATTTTGTTTGAAATAAGGAAAAGAGGTATACATTAACATAGTATCAATTAAAGATTTTAAGAAAAAAAATCCATTGATTTACACCACTTTTCACATTTCCTTTTTTGTGAGCAAAAGAATTAAGATTGAAAAATTAACCTCAGGGATGCAATGGCTTTTTTTTCCATCCATTTGAATTTATATATTCAGAGCCCTCTTGTACTCATATTGAAGCTGACTATTCCTGTAGTTGATGAAGAACAAAACAAAGCCAACTGGAACAGACCTCTGAACACACTACACTGTATAACAGCTCCTGTAGCATGTGCTCTTCTTACAAATGGTGTGTAAAAAATATTAGTAAAAAGAAGAATGCTAATTTGATATATGTGACTTTTTTAACCATTTATATTGCTTTGTTTTGTTAATAATGAGAATCAGACCAAAAAAGCTCTTTGATAAAATATGTATTCAATTTATTTATTACTTATGATATTTTGTATGTTTTTTTATGTAATCATTTTGTGGAATTTGTTCCATTTTTCTGTTGTTTTCAAAAACTTTTTACTTTCAGTATAACAGAACATATAAACTTTTATTTCTCTTTTAGGTGCTTTTAAAATGGTTGGCAACATTCCAGCAGGTGTATTTGTGCTTATTCTGGGTCTGCTATTAGCACTTGCAGTATCATGTACATCACAGAAGGACGAACCACCAATATACCATCCAGTAAGTTGATATCAAAGTACAAGGATAATAAACTTTACTTTAATAGAGTTTCTTTTGTATACTTACACAGAATGGGGCTGGGAGTCCAAGACACTGTCAGTTACTTACAGAAGTAGTCACTTACTGGGTGGGGAGATACAGAATGGTATAGGATTCTTAAAAATAATTTGTATTAAGCAAGGCACTGTCCCAATATAGTTCCACATTCAGCACTTCTCACCAATACACTTAGGACCAGTTTATTCAATGATGTATTGCATCCCTGCCTTATAGGCCCATCCTGAGTTTTAGAGTAATGGGGGTTGAGGGTGGGGGGTTCAAGTCATCCCCTTCCTCCTTGATATTCTGAATGCATTATGCAGGACGTTACGGGCAGTTGGTTTAGCATTGGAGGGTGGGGTTTATATGTCACCAAACATCAGTATACCAATTTGAACTGTTTTTTTTTTTTCTTTTTTTTTTTTTTCAGAAATCATGACATGCTTTTATCTAGTACTCTTATTCTTTTTTAGGCTTTTTCTTTTATGGGATTTGTGGTGTCTGTGATATGGATTTATTCTATAGCTAATGAGATAGTTAATCTCTTACAGGTAATTTTAAACACTCATAATTTAGACATAACTTTTGATTAACAAAACATATGATATGGAAAAGCTATTAAAGTAAGTCAAATTTGTCTCTAAAACATTGTGTCTTTTTAAGGTACCAGTATCCCATATAATCAATTAAAAATTGATATCTTTTTCTGATCCTAACTGGTATTAGATTTGATATTATTCTCATTCTTTCAGATGTTTGGTATTGTCTTCGGGATAAGTAATGCAATTCTAGGACTAACATTATTAGCATGGGGTAACAGTATAGGAGGTAAGCTATTAGAAAAATTACTGTTTCTGATATAGTTTTCTCATACTGAGTGCAACATGATGGAGCCTTCAGAAGTTAAAGACCTGTGAGAACATATCAGGTTTGTGAGAATATTCAGTATTAGATTTATTTTGTACTCATTACATATATTCTGATTTTAGATTTGATTGCTGACACAGTGATGGCAAGACAGGGGTTTCCTAGGATGGGGATTTCAGCATGCTTTGGAGGACCTCTCTTTAGTATCCTTTTCCTAAATTTTGCTAGCCTACACAAATTACATTTGTCTTGTTTTCAGTTAATTTTAGTTATTATTCTAGGCTTTGATGTAAAATTTATGATATAGACTAAGACACTCCAAGAAAAGGATTGGAGCTGAGCCTATAATATGTACCTTTTCCTTAGCTTTAACTTTAGATTTATTATTGGGTGTTGGTATTCCGTTTACTATAGGGACAATAAAACAGGGAGCAAACACAGGGCTATACCAAATGACAGTAAGTACCAAACTGTTTTTAGTTATACTATTAGATAGCATAAAACTTCTTCATCTTTCCCATCAAGGTGATGCTTGCTATGAAAATCATGATTTAAGTTATTAAGTCGAGTTTTCACATGACATTATTGATTTAAATTAAATCCAGTGTTTTCTGTAAATATTTCTAATTATAAAACTTGTTCATTGTTATCATTATAATTATTTTTCCATAGGTGGTGCTATCACTGCAAGAAATTGTACTGGCAGCATCTCTATGCTTCAGCTTGCTGTCATCATTCATACTCCTTCCGATTCTCCGGTTCCGAATTGGCAAGTGTTATTCCATATATTTGTGGTCTCTCTATGTGGCATTCTTGGTAATAGCTTTATTAGTTGAAACTGGGGTATTGACAGCAGATGTGAATGCTTGGGCTAGTCACTAATGGAGGAGGATGGGTATTTTGATATATTTTGCTAATTCTATATCAATCTGAAACTGTAAGGGAGATTGATATAAGTGAAATGTTTTTTGTTTGTCTCAATTGAAATGTATGTGAGATATTGAAGCATTCATTAACATATCCCTGGTAGGAATAAAAATGTATTGTGCAATTGGTATTTTTTTTATATGATGAAGTTGATAAATTGTTTGTATTGTAATTATTATTTCATGCTGATTTAGTGTCACATTTGTTTGATGCAGTTTTTGTAAAAGATGTAAGATATTCATACTGTTGAAATCCATGTTATCACTCATTGCTCCATATGTGACACCATGTGGTTAATTTAGATCCCAATCTGTTGATGGTGTAAAATTCCATAGAGTAAGTGGGTTAAGTTTGTTTTTTCCATATTTTACCATAACTTAAAGTATAATGAACATTATGGCTGGACCAGTTACGTAATGATTAAAATTTTTCAGATAATTAACCAACAGTTTATTTTAATAACAGTTTAAAAATGTCAGGAATATTTAGTAAATCCAGAAGGCTATAACTGTAGTATTATATATTAAGATATAATTATTGTAATATTTTGATAAAAAGATATTTTGTGTACAAGTTAAGATACTCTGCTGGTCTCTGTTGTACCTGTATGTGTGCCAGTATGTGTTCTGGTCATGTTGACTTATGTATGCTTAAGGGTATAATCTAGTGCTATATTGTATGTTGACATATCTTATCATGTACGTTTTTTTTTTTTTTTTTACAAAATTTTCTTCTGCACTTCTTGAACCAAATTGGTAACAAATGATAAAAAGTATAAAATCCATGTCAGAAACTGTATGGGCACAGGTAAATAAATTGAATCTATATTACATGGTGGTTAAATGCACAAAGCTTTTGGTTTTGTCATTTAACTCAGTTTAGAAGACACTGGTAGACAGTCCTTGTCAGAGCATCTCCTGCAGAAGAATAGTGCCCAGAATAACAATTCTATTAAAACTAGGGAAATTGACTGAAACTGCAAATGGTAGGATAAAATTACATTAACTTTTTATTAATGCATTATTTCTAAACTTTGAAAAAGTTGATGCAATGTGAAAAAATACTCAAAAGGAAAACAGCCAGGTGAACAACTGCATCACCTGCATCAAGCCTCATTGGAAGTGATTGAAAACTAGCACTTGGATGGACAACGTGTTGATGCATCTATTTTTTATTTGTAAAATGATTGTATCAAAAGGTAACAAAGAAGAAGCACATAAACTACTTATAAAGGTCTGATTGACAACTAGATTTTCTTAATAACATTCTTTCCATAATACGATGCCAGGGTACCCCCTTACTTTATGAGGGAAGTATGCAAAGAGATATATATACCTCTGAATTGCCTGACATAACCAATAATTCCTTCAGAAATTCAACATTACAATAACCTAAATGAAGCCAGTGACATAATGTACAAAAGTTGTGTGAATAGTTTTTTGCTATATCCTTCCGATAAAATAATGATCTTTAAGGGAGCTTATGATCAAAAATGTAGTGCTGTGATTACAAACTTTTTTCTTACTCTTGAACATGATATTTTGAATAGTAGGTAGACTTTGATGCAAATTCATAATATTTATGTTATAATAAGTTTTTTTTTGCCTTATTTAAATATCTCATGACAAGTTGGGGGTAAAGTATGCAGAATCACGCTATTCTTAACCACATAACTTTGTACACGATTAAAGATGTACTCTCATAACAAGATTCTGCAATATCAGTTTTTTATGTATATCCTTTCACATTTACCTAGGTATATTTTCTGCTTTGCCATGTTCATATGAATTGAACCTTACATGTTTATACGCTGGTATAACATACGTAGTCATTTCTTTGTTAACCTATTATAACGACTTGGGGGAACAATGGAAATAAACTATTCAGGCATGTGACCAGCAATTAGAATTTAGAATTAGGGTTCTTTTTCTGAGAAAGTGAACTTTTTTACCCAAGTAGTCGACCAAACTTGAGGAACGACAAAGGACCTGGATGAGACAAAATCTGGATTCAGAGTGGACATTTTCCTGCAAAAAGGCAGTTCTTTTGACCCCCCCCCCCTCCGAAACACCCTGCCTAGCGGTACAGACCTGCTATCATAATAAGTATAAATCCTGTACAATTTGAATATACACGTACCTGTAAAGATGTTGATAATATTATTCGATTATTATACTTTCATTCAATAAGGAACCATATATCACTTCTAAATGCTTATTATTTATTACAGTTTAAAATCCTATGCTATGAAAACTGTAATAATAAGATTGTTATATTTTATCACGGCATTTATGCATTGTGAACTTGGCACGTCATTAACAAGTATCACATATATTTACATTATGTTGAAGGCCGTTCCAATATGTGAATTTGTTAAAATTGATTTGAATAAAAGAAAGCATCAGTTGGGTTGGGTTTCCTTTCAGATTTATTTTACTGTTCGATTTTTTTCAGTTTGTGTTCGTCGTCAAATGAATATCAAATAAAGGATTGTCATCAGATATAAGCATCATCAATAACTGGTTTAAAAATCAATCGTCAATAAAATTGTGTTTAAAAGCATCATGTACTTAAACGATTCTGTATTTTCTACCCTTACCCTACTATTATCGCTCATACAAAGATTTTTCAGTATTGCCTTGCTATGACGCCTGTGTTCTCTACGCCCGTTTTCGTTCTGCCTTGGAATCCGAAGACTATCGAGTGCAATTTTACAAAAAAAAAACAACAAAAAGTTTTGATTTTGCCTTATACAGTAAGTGATTTATCGATATTAAACAATCAAAATTTGGAAATTCTGTTCATTTTGTTACTAAATGTGATCACGTGACTTTACAAATTATAAACGTTAAGAATCGGGGGGGGGGGGGGTTTGGTCCTTGGGTATCAAAAGAACAAATAGGCCACTTTTCGGAGGGCAGTGTTAATATGAATGATTAATCTTATGAAACCATTTATAAGCGTAAAGCCTTATTCTGCAGACAAAGTAAATGAAATATGGCATAAAAAAACAATATGGTATCTATGTACAATATGTCAATTTATTAATCAATATAAAATTGCATCGCTTTAATTCTCAGAAACAGTAAGTTGTGCATCATATACAAACATCATGTGTACAAATTTATACGTTGGTTATTAAAGTAGTATGAATGCATTAAACTACGCGTGTTTCAATATACAATATGTGTCAATATAAATGATTTCATATTTGTGTTCTAATGGATGTAATTCAATATATATATACATGTATGTGGGCGTGTATACGCATTAGTACTGCGTGCCAGCAATCATTTATCACCAAATTTCCCCTTTCCACATACTTTTGTTAGTATTTGACGAAACCGTCATTTTAAAATTAGTTTGGTGCATTTCAATATGGCATGGTAGCACGAATGCCGAAGTGATAATGTGAGTGGGAGTGAAGGTGGTGACGATGCATGGATCTGGACCTGGTGGTGTTTTATGCTGAAGGAGGGAGAGTGATATCACTCTACATGGCAGTGGAATGAGGTGTGGAGTGAGGGGNATAGACCTCTGAACACACTACACTGTATAACAGCTCCTGTAGCATGTGCTCTTCTTACAAATGGTGTGTAAAAAATATTAGTAAAAAGAAGAATGCTAATTTGATATATGTGACTTTTTTAACCATTTATATTGCTTTGTTTTGTTAATAATGAGAATCAGACCAAAAAAGCTCTTTGATAAAATATGTATTCAATTTATTTATTACTTATGATATTTTGTATGTTTTTTTATGTAATCATTTTGTGGAATTTGTTCCATTTTTCTGTTGTTTTCAAAAACTTTTTATTTTCAGTATAACAGAACATATAAACTTTTATTTCTCTTTTAGGTGCTTTTAAAATGGTTGGCAACATTCCAGCAGGTGTATTTGTGCTTATTCTGGGTCTGCTATTAGCACTTGCAGTATCATGTACATCACAGAAGGATGAACCACCAATATACCATCCAGTAAGTTGATATCAAAGTACAAGGATAATAAACTTTACTTTAATAGAGTTTCTTTTGTTTACTTACACAGAATGCGGCTGGGAGTCCAAGACACTGTCAGTTACTTGCAGAGGTAGTCACTTACTGGGTGGGGGGATACAGAATGGTATAGGATCCTTAAAAATAATTTGTATTAAGCAAGGCACTGTCCCAATATAGTTCCACATTCAGCACTTCTCACCAATACACTTAGGACCAGTTTATTCAATGATGTATTGCATCCCTGCCTTATAGGCCCATCCTGAGTTTTAGAGTAATAGGGGTTGGGGGTGGGGGGTTTCAAGTCATCCCCTTCCTCCTTGATATTCTGAATGCACTATGCAGGATGTTACGGGCAGTTTGTTTAGCATTGGAGGGTGGGGATTATTTGTCACCAAACATCAGTATACCAATTTGAAATGTTTTTTTTTTTTCAGAAGTCATGACATGCTCTTATGAAGTACTCTTGTTCATTTTCAGGCTTTTTCTTTTATGGGATTTGTAGTGTCTGTGATATGGATTTATTCTATAGCTAATGAGATAGTTAATCTCTTACAGGTAATTACATGTATAAACACTCATAATTTAGACATAACTTTAGATTAACAAAACATATGATATGGAAAAGCTATTAAAGTAAGTCAGATTTGTCTCTAAAACATTGTGTCTTTTTAAGGTACCAGTATCCCATATAAACAATTAAAAGTTGATATCTTTTTCTGATCCAAACCGGTATTAGATTTGATATTGTTTTCATTCTTTCAGATGTTTGGTATTGTCTTCGGGATAAGTAATGCAATTCTAGGACTAACATTATTAGCATGGGGTAACAGCATAGGAGGTAAGCTATTAGAAAAATTACTGTTTCTGATATAGTTTTCTCATACTGAGTACAACATGATGGAGCCTTCAGAAGTTAAAGACCTGTGAGAACATATCAGGTTTGTGAGAACATTCAGTATTAGATTTATTTTGTACTCATTACATATATTCTGATTTTAGATTTGATTGCTGACACAGTGATGGCAAGACAGGGGTTTCCTAGGATGGGGATTTCAGCATGCTTTGGAGGACCTCTCTTTAGTATCCTTTTCCTAAATTTTGCTAGCCTACACAGATTACATTTGTCTTGTTTTCAGTAAATTTAAGTTATTATTCTAGGCTTTGGTGTAAAATTTATGATATAGACACTCCAAGAAAAGGATTGGAGCTGAGCCTATAATATGTACTTTTTCCTTAGCTTTAACTTAAGATTTATTATTGGGTGTTGGTATTCCGTTTACTATAGGGACAATAAAACAGGGAGCAAACACAGGGCTATACCAAATGACAGTAAGTACCAAACTGTTTTTAGTTATACTATTAGATAGCATAAAACTTCTTCATCTTCCCATCAAGGTGATGCTTGCTATGAAAATCATGATTTAAGTTATTAAGCCAAGTGTTCACATGACATTATTGATTTAAATTAAATCTAGTGTTTTCTGTAAACATTTCTAATTATAAAACTTGTTCATTGTTATCATTATAATTATTTTTCCATAGGTGGTGCTATCACTGCAAGAAATTGTACTGGCAGCATCTCTATGCTTCAGCTTGCTGTCATCATTCATACTCCTTCCGATTCTCCGGTTCCGAATTGGCAAGTGTTATTCCATATATTTGTGGTCTCTCTATGTGGCATTCTTGGTAATAGCTTTATTAGTTGAAACTGGGGTATTGACAGCAGATGTGAATGCTTGGGCTAGTCACTAATGGAGGAGGATGGAGATTTTGATATATTTTGCTAATTCTATATCAATCTGAAACTGTAAGGGAGATTGATATAAGTGAAATGTTTTTTGTTTGTCTCAATTGAAATGTATGTGAGATATTGAAGCATTCATTAACATATCCCTGGTAGGAATAAAAATGTATTGTGCAATTGGTATTTTTTTATATTATGAAGTTGATAAATTGTTTGATATCATTATTATAATTATTATATCATGCTAATTTAGTGTCACATTTGTTTGATGCAGTTTTTGTAAAAGATGTTAGATCTTTATACTGTTGAAATCCATGTTATCACTCATTGCTCCATATGTGACACCACGTGGTTAATTTAGACCCCAATCTGTTGATGGTGTCAAACTCCATACAGTAAGTGGATAAAGTTTGTTTTTCCATATTTTACCATAACTTTAAGTATAATGAAACATTATGGCTGGACCAGTTATGTAATGATTAAAACTTTTCAGATAATTAACCAACAGTTTATTAAACAGGAATATTTAGTAAATCCAGAAGGCTATAATTGTAGTATTATATATTAAGATATAATTATTGTAATATTTTGATAAAAAGATATTTTGTGTACAAGTTAAGATACTCTGCTGGTCCCTGTTGTACCTGTATGTGTGCCAGTATGTGTTCTGGTCATGTTGACTTATGTATGCTTAAGGGTATAATCTTCTAGTGTTATATTGTATGTTGACATATCTTATTATGAAGTTTTTTTTTTTTTTTTTTTTTTTTTTTACAAAATTTTCTTCTGCACTTCTTGAGCCAAATTGGTAACAAATGATAAAAAGTATTAAATCTATGTCAGAAACTGTATGGGCACAGGTAAATCAATTGAATCTATATTAGATGGTGATAAAATGCACAAAGTTTCTGGTTTTGTCATTTAACTCAGTTCAGAAGACACTGATAGACATTCCTTGTCAGAGCATGCCCTGCAGAAGAAAAGTACCCAGAATCACAATTCTATTAAAACTAGGGAAATTGACTGAAACTGCAAATGGTAAGGTGAAATTACATTTACTTTTTACTAATGCATTATTTCTATACTATGAAAAAGTTTTTTTTTTTTTTTTTTATTGACACAATACATCACGAATACATGACAATACAAATACAAACAAACACTCGCTCACACACTCACACATAAGAGATGTTTTACTATATAACACTTTTTAATTAATTACATCGCCGTACGCTAAATATTCAAATTGAAAATAACTTAATTATATTTGAATTGTACTGACAGATTGACTTATCTGTTTTCACCAGATATCTAAGTGATGAAATCAAACCTCCTAATGTTGGTTTACCCTGTGAACATCTTCTTAAATAAATATAAAATTTAAATTGCAACATAATGAGATTAATAATTGGAGAGAGGCTCATAGAGCCGACTAAGCAATTCCTTTTTGAGACAGGTAGAGTAACTTGAGTATTAGATAGTATATATTCTACCAAGTCGGTCAATAATTTTTGGGTAACTGCACAATTCCAGAATAAATGCTCTGTTGTTTCTTCAGCTCCTTTGCAAAGGGAACATATACTGTTGTCGACCATTTTATATTTGAAAAGCAGTGAATTTGTGGTAAGGATATTATGATTAATTCGAAATTGGAACCAGTGAAGCTTTGAGTCTTTTGTTATTGTAAAAGGAAGTTCAAAAATCTTCGGGCATTCATTGTCCTCCAAATTTAACAACTCCTTCCATTTATTCACACCTTTTGACATCTCAAGAACACCTACTTTACTTAAAGTTTTATAATAAATCTTTGAGCCTTTTGAACAACCTGACAGCAACAATATATGATCAGGAATTAAAGGAAAAAGTTGATACAATGTGAAAAAATACTCAAAAGAAAACAGCCAGGTGAACAACTACCTCACCTGCATCAAGCCTCATTGGAAGTGATTGAAAACTAGCACTTGGATGGACAACATGTGTTGATACATCTATTTTTTTATTTGTAAAATGATTGTATCAAAAGGTAACAAAGAAGAAGCACATAAACTACTTATAAAGGTCTGAGTGACAACTAGATTTTCTTTATAACATTCTTTCCATAATACGATGCCAGGGTACCCCCTTACTTTATGAGGGAAGTATGCAAAGAGATATATACCTCTGAATTGCCTGACATAACCAATAATTCCTTCAGAAATTCAACATTACAATAACCTAAATGAAGCCAGTAACATAATGTACAAAAGTTGTGTGAATAGTTTTTTGCTATATCCTTCCCATAAAATAATGATCTTTAAGGGAGCTTATGATCAAAAATGTAGTGCTGTGATTACAAACTTTTTTCTTACTTTTGAACATGATATTCTGAATAGTAGGTAGACTTTGATGCAAATTTATAATATTTATATTATAATAAGTTTTTTCCCTTATTTAATTATCTCATGACAAGTTGGGGGTAAAGTACGCAGAATCACGCTATTCTTAACCACATAACTTTGTACACGATTAAAGATGTTGGTATATTTTCTGCTTTGCCATGTTCCTATGAATTGAACCTTACTTGTTTATACGCTGGTATAGCATACGCAGTCATTTCTTTGTTAACATATTATAACGACTTGGGGAACAATGGAAATAAGCTATTCAGGCATGTGACGAGCAATTAGAATTTAGAATTAGGGTTCTTTTTCTGAGAAAGTGAACTTTTTTACCCAAGTAGTCGACCAAACTTGAGAAACGACAAAGAACCTGGATGAGACAAAATCTGGATTCAGAGTGGACATTTTCCTGCAAAAAGGCAGTTCTTTTGACCCCCCCCCCCTCCCCCACCTCCGAAACACACCCTGCCTAGCGGTACAGACCTGCTATCATAATAAGTATAAATCCTGCACAATTTGAATATACACGTACCTGTAAAGATGTTGATAATATTATTCGATTATTATACTTTCATTCATATATCAGACTTCTAAATGCTTATTATTTATTACAGTTGAAAATCCTAAGCTATGAAAACTGTAATAATAAGATTGTTACATTTTATCACGGCATTTATGCATTGTGAACTTGGCACGTCATTAACAAGTATCACATATATTTACATTATGTTGAAGGCCGTTCCAATATGTAAATTTGTTAAAATTGTTTTGAATAAAAGAAAGCATCAGTTGGGTTGGGTTTCCTTTCAGATTTATTTTACTGTTCGATTTTTTTCAGTTTGTGTTCGTCGTCAAATGAATATCAAATAAAGGATTGTCATCAGATATAAGCATCATCAATAACTGGTTTAAAAATCAATCGTCAATAAAATTGTGTTTAAAAACATCATGTACTTAGAACGATTCTGTATTTTGTACCCTTCATACAAAGATTTTTCAGTATTGCCTTGCTATGACGCCTGTGTTCTCTACGCCCGTTTTCGTTCTTCCTTGGAATCCGAAGACTATCGAGTGCAATTTTACAAAAAAAAAAAAAAAACAAGTTTTGCCTTATACAGTAAGTGATTTATCGATATTAAACAATCAAAATTAGGAAATTCTGTTCATTTTGTTACTAAATGTGATCACGTGACTTTACAAATTATAAACGTTAAGAATCGGGGGGGGGGTTGGTCCTTGGGTATCAAAAGAACAAATAGGCCACTTTTTCGGAGGGCAGTGTTAATATGAATGATTAATGTTATAAAACCATAAGCATAAAGCCTTATTCTGCAGACAAAGTAAATGAAATATGGCATAAAAAAAAACAAAATGGTATCTATGTACAATATGTCAATTTATTAATCAATATAAAATTGCATCGCTTTAATTCTCATAAACAGTAAGTTGTGCATCATATACAAACATGTGTACGTTGGTTATTAGTGTAGTATGAATGCATTAAACTACGCGTGTTTCAATATACAATATGCGTCAATATAAATGATTTCATATTTGTGTTCTAATGGATAAAATTCAATATATATACATGTATGTGGGCGTGTATACGCATTAGTGCTGCGTGCCAGCAATCATTTATCACAAAATGTCCCCTTTCCACATACTTTTGTTAGTATTTGACGAAACCGTCATTTTAAAGTTAGTTTGGTGCATTTCAATATGGCATGGCAGCACGAATGCCGAAGTGATAATGTGAGTGGGAGTGAAGGTGGTGACGATGCATGGATCTGGGCCTGATGGTGTTTTATCCTGAAGGAGGGAGAGTGATATCACTCTACATGGCAGTGGAATGAGGTGTGGAGTGAGGGGGGTAGGCCTATAGTTGTGCAGTAAATGGAGTGGGAATGAAGATGCCATGTTATCTGGTTGTATGCTTACTATGACGATGAAATGATGGTTAACTCTGGAATCGTCAGTTATGTCAGACATGTTAAGTATAAGATACCTTAAACTAAATTTTGTATGTGTTAGATGTGTACTTTTGACGGCCATATGCACAGCTGTTGATGATTAAGTTTTTAAAATCCAAATCAATAGCTAATGGAGCATCACTGACTGCAGTCTGACAAAATAATGCATTTCACATTTTGTACTGAGATTTGATATCTTAAACCATTTAACGATTAATCAAAAATGATCATGTCATGTTTTTTTCTAACGGGATTTTTTTTTTTTTTTTTTTTTTTTTGCGTGTATGGCATGGCAGAGTTAAAATACACATACCCTGAGTTCTCAGAATATTTTGAATTAATGTTCTTTGTATGCTATTTCACTAAACCCTTGCCACTGCAAAGAGTCCTCACACGGCAGGGTGAATAAAAGACGAGAATGTGAAAAACTCTGAAAAGTATTTGATCACAGAATATCATAAGAATCTTGACCGTAAAATCCAATGCAAAGAATTTACGTAAACGTTCGCTTTGCAAATGGAAGACCAATATAGTGAAAAATATTATTTATAAATATATAACTTTTTCTGCATTGGCATATCACTTTTGCGTCGTTCACATCCCATTGCTTATCACATCTCCGTTGGTGAGTATTGTGGCGTTCTTGGCTGCAACGTTGTTCAACTTATTACAGTCGCTGGGTGTTTGTGTATCAGATTTTTGCTGCAAGTTCTCACTTCCGTCGACTTCTCCTGGCGGATGTGCCGGGGTTGGTTCTCCAGACGTCGGAAGCGTTCCCTGGTCGTCACATGAGCTCATATTTTGGTCATCAACGGATGAAGTTCGCTTTAAGGCACCACGTGACCTGGTGGACTGCTGAGATGGAAGAGTGCCATTTCTTTCATTCAGATCCTGAGTCTTCGATTTCTGTGCCTGAGGGGAAGGTTGAGGTGGAGCAGGCGACGATATTTTATCGTCTGTAGCGCTACATTCATTTTTACCGTTAGGGTTGGCAACAATATCTGCATCATTTTCTCTGTGATCCTCCATATCTATTTTGACATCATTCAAAGCAGATGCTTCTTTAGTCTGCCCAGAGGGGCTAGAGATATTGGTATCCACAGGGTCGGGTTTAACTGATCCAGTGACGGTTGTCTCATTCTCTTTACTGTCTTTCGTGTTCATCTGAGACGCCTTTCCCTTCAGTGGAGACAGCATAAATGGGTTGATTCTGTTGCTGTTGTCATCTTCGATAACCTCTTCACTTTCAGTGATTTGAGCCATCTGTTCGTTCTTGGCAACATTTTCTCTGCAAAAAAGTGTGCGATTACTTCACACGTTTGAGACAATGCTTCTATTGGTAAATTTGTAAATTTTCACAGTAAAACGAAGGTATAAGCCTCCCAACTATATCATATTTATATATTTAACAACATCAAATAGATGAATGTATGGAAAGAAAGAAAAAATTCTGGCTATCAGTATAGGAAAAAACGTACATATCTTTATATAAATGGCTCATACATACTTGCTAGCAAAGTGGTGCATCATGGACATCGAGGCACATAACATGGAGGAGATGCCTTCCTTGGCGGTAACGTTTTTGTGAACCGAAGCTAAGTTGAAAAATACAAAAATAATAATTATCACTTTTTACATTCAAAATTTAAAAAATGGAGAAGTCAAATAAAGGTTCACACAAAAAACAGAGCATATTACTTAAAAACATCATCAAAAGAACATAAATTTTCTTAGATAATAAACCACAGCACTTTTCATTGTTGGTTTGTGCAACATGTTTTAAAGCTATTTCTTTCCATTTATAAATCAAGGAGTTACAATCAGATAAAAGAATTACAATTACCTTTAGGTTTACAGTTGAGCACTTCGTGATTTTTGGCGCCATATTTGGAGGCAAGTGATCGCAGACTATCTAGTTCTTTCTGCAAGTGTCAAATGAAGGGTGTTTCAAGGACATCATTCAAATTAAGCAACTTTAAATGTGACATACGTCTTACACGAGTGAAGTGGTTAATAATCCAAAACGTCTGGTACATGTACGTGATGAAAAGAATATTATTTAAACAATTTAACAAATTTGAGACACACAGAAAAGTCAGCGAGAGACTCAAATTAGATTTTTAAAATAAGAAAAATTTACCTCCATGAAACCAATTCTAACATCCAAATCAGAAATTTTGGCTTCGGCGCGTTTTCTGGCCCTCATCTGGAGTGTCAGTCTAAACTTGAGTCTCTTCCTCGACGTCACCAAGAAACCTTTAAATGATATAAGAACAATATAATAAATTATTTTACCAAACCACTGACTACAAAGAACCACACCTACAAAGAATATAATACCTACAAAGAATATAATATTTCAAACGTGTAGAGGAGAGTAATTAAATCACAATGGTCAACAGAAACCCTACCAAATTTACTTAAAGAATTCGCTTTATAGGCTTAGTATGCGTTAGACTTTTAAAACATTCAGAATAAATACCGTTGAATACACGCAGCATTCTCCACATAAGGAAGAAGATAAGGAGAGAGGCAGCGTCCACCCCAGAACGTCCACCCAGCCCGTCGTAGAAAATAACATCCACTGTGAAGGATATGATAATGATGATGCCATCTACTAGCTGCAAAAAAAAAGAAATTTGTTGCAATGCTATTGACTTGTTCGTAAAAAATGTCTTAAATAGGTACCATAAAAATACCTGTCCACGAAAAGGTAAAATAAATCAATCCTAGAAAATCTAAGGTACTAAGGTTACAAGTGGCATCGTTATTCTTATTGCCGAGACCATTTTCTCTTAAATAGTTTCCATGTAGCAACTCACCTCCATTTTCTTCCTGAAGTACGAAAGGCGCAAAGCGTAACACTTCAAAATGACCTAAAATCACAATTAATTTCATGTGAAGAGTGTAACAAACGATGTGCTTTAAACTAGGATTACACGTTAAGAACTTTTAGGTCTGATATGGTGTAGTTGAAAGGGGACATGTGGAATTTTTTCAAAAGTCAAAATATTGAACATGCGGATCCAAAAAAGGGCGCCCCTTCCTTTCCTTCTTCTTACCCAGTCACCCTCTTTCTCAAAGGACGGGAAGACACATTCTTGGGCAAACAGAACTATGTTCCATAGCTTTAATTACTTTTGGGAAGAATAGTTAGGGACAAAATAGTTAAACTTTTTTTATGTCCCATACAATTCTTGATATCTAGACGCGCCAGCAAATTAACTTAAAGAACTCATTCGTCTATAAAGATCATATTACTTAACAAAATGGCGCCATAACTAAAGTACACAGTACAACTAAATATGCAAATTATCCTTGTTGGAATATCAACCCATCATCAACATATGACGTACCTCCACCAAGAAAATCCCCAGTATAACAATACTGCTGATATGCAGGGCATGTGCTACGTTTTCTATAAGGCTATGTCCTCCATGTCCGTCTCCGTGTGCATCTTTGGAGTGACTCTCATTAGCAGCTAATTTATCTGAAGATACATGGACCTCTAATGTACTATCGTTATCACCCTGTGTTTCCTCTTTGTACAGTAGTCTACGTAAAAAGATTCCGCCTTCGGAGCTGGACGATCCCATAACAGTTTCTGCGCCCTCTTGGACAGCATCAAGTAGATGGGCGACAGAGCTTAAATCTCGTTTGTGAACGCTATGGCTGGACGAACCGTGCGAGCTGTTGGTCTCGCCATGAAGAGAGTTGATGATATCGCTCAAGGTGACATCCGCACCGTGCACGTGTGCCAGGGCCCCCGGCATTCTGGAGTCAATGGCATCAATCAGCTTGCTGATGTCCTCCTGATTGGCATTGCATTTCGCTAAAATCGAAATATTTCAGACTTAAGAGGTTGTCAATGTTACTTTCTGTTGTTAGAACAATGTAATTTTAATTTCCGTGTTAAAGCACACAATATATTAAATTACATATTATATTAAAGACAATGCATTCACCGCTCCTTGTATATTTTAAGTTTTCTTTAAATAGAGAGAGACTGCTCATAAGTATTATTGCACTACTTTTAATGCGTAAAAATGAGTGTTATCCAACAATTGATGCCACGTAGCCATTTAACGTAGTCGGTTTGCATACGCCATTTGACTCTACGTTCAGAGACCATCTCATATGAACAACACGATCATACCAATATTTCAATATTTTAAATAAGCTCAAAAATACATGGGCATCAAGCATGAACAGGTAAGACTGGACAAATCTCTGCTATATGCAGTAAGTGTAGAGACACACTCAGTCATCTCACCAATCTACATGGAGCTTACCTTGCACTATATGGACGTCCAGCATGAGCAATGACACCATGAGAACGGCATCAATCAGGACCAGAATGCAGATTGCGACCTGGATAGGGTTGCTTTCCAATACCTCAACCAGCTTTTCATGGCATCTGAAATGGAAGGAAATTCCCTGTTGGTTTAATTTAAAAAAAGAGAAATAACAGTGCAGCGTATTCAAGCAGTTTGTATATAGTTGAATCAAAACATGCCCTATGCAATAATTGAATTTACAATGTGAGATTTATCAAATGTATTTTCTATTCGTTTAGCGATCTTTGATGTATCAATTTCAAATCTAATCAACAATGAAATGAAAAAAAAAAAAAAAAAAAGAAACGGCACCGAAACAATAACGTGATATCACAAGAACATGTTCAGTCTGCAAGTGTGTGCCTTGGGTGGCCAATAAGTCTGGGCTTCGTCTTCTGTAATAGGTTATTAAAAATACACGCGTGTTACATTGGGACTGTTTTATTTCCTGTCTGACACTAAAAAGACTTCAACAGAACAAAATTGCGCAATTTCTTTTCTCCTGTCGATGAAGTTTGCGTTGCAAAATATCCCACGTATCTGGCAAAACTTGAGGGGCTCTTCCGATATTAGCAAGTCCAATTACATAGCCGAGATGTATGCGTTAATGGTCTGCCTAGGTGATCTTCGGGGCCAAGTCTACAAGGTCACACTATCTGATACACTGATTTATTGATTGCATTATCCTACGTGGGTTTAAGTTATGTGGAAACATATTGATTAAACCGTTCCCCAAATATGCCAGTGTATTTTGTGGTCCGTTCTGCGGCAATATATCTCCCTTATTTCGTTATTTCAGTGCAAAATAATTGGTGAGGTTCTCTGTTGATATTGTGGATGAATTCTGTAGGACTGAGTTCAATTAAGAAACATATGTGAAATGAAGTAAAATAAGTGTCCAATTGAAAAGATAACAACAAGAAAAACGCGCAATGTTCTTAAATGTGTACAAAATTTAGAGAAAATGACAGACTATCGGAAGCCGCCATGTTTTAGGCTGTCAATTAAATCCATATCAGAATACCAGAGAAAGGTTATTCTAGATATACGATTGATTGTCTGTGCATCGAAAATTTTCATGAATAAGCGAAAAACTACAATCGCACATTTAAAAAATTATCATGAAAAAAGTAAGCAAACACAAGAGAAAAAAAAAGAAACAAAAAGAGTTTCTGAGTGTTTAAAGGCTACTAAAGCATCTATATGAAAAATTCGACATGGAAGGTATACTTGTGAAAATGCTCTCGTCCTCGAATTATGACTTTAATGTGATCAGTGGCCGAAGTATTTCTTAAATGTCCGGTTGGACAAAGAAATTAACTTGCGTACAAAGTGCCCTAGTAACGTCATTTCCTAAGAGATTCTATATAACCTCATTTGCGTAGAACTAGATAGCAGGCTTTCTGTGCGTCGTTACTGGACACTATAAAATCAGTTTTACTGGCGGTAGGAGAAGATATACCAATATGTTTTTTTAGACAAAATTACGATGTGCATGTATACGTCAGGGTAAGCTTAGTGCTGAGTTAATTACGGCCGGTGGGTATTTTATGCAGAGTGTACATTTGGTAAAGTTGTCAAATATTATGTTTTTTTCTATTTAAAATGACATTCACATCTTGCGAAAGATGAAAATCAAACAAATCTGACAAATTGGCAAAATACGTCAGTCTTGATTAAACTCTTTTTAGAGGATTTATAACGAAATGCCCTTTAAGGAATATGTCAATGTCGGCTTCCATTAGGGTTACATCAATCTGAAGTGATCTGCATAACAAATATCTCAATCTTTTATAGGACATGACTTCAGTGAATTTTGCGTACACTTACTTTAACTTCAACATTAACTTACAAGTGCGATAACTAAACGTAATAACAACTGTGATTAAATACTACATCAGGATATTCATGGGTGTTGTACTGTAATTCTATGGTCCACTCTACTTGTACCTTTTTGACTCTTGTACAAAGTTTGCAGGGTCGTCCAGGCGACTGTAGTCCTTTCCGAGTTCAAACACCTCAAGCAGATCGTCAGTTTCTTCATATTCCGAGCGCGACGAATAAAGGCTCAAGGATGTGTTACAGGTCATCGTCATAACGTCATTCTCCGAAATAAGCGACTTTCCAAGTTTGAAAAAACATGTATGCAACATTGAAAAGCCGCGTGAAGTCCCTAAATTAGGATAGTACCTTCTCCTTGCTGCTACACGAACGTGATATTTACAACGGAAATCTTAAATGCGTAGCATTTTTTCAATGCTGAGGAATACTTTTTCGTTTCATTATTCCTGTAGCAATTATCCCTGGTAACTTCTCGGTAAGGCTCGGCTTCACTTTTTCATTGATTTTTGCCCACACGAGAGGTCTGAATCAGGTGAATATGCTACAGATTCTATGAACACGTGCGATGAAGCTGTTGAGCATAATGCTAATCAAACCAATCCGATTTCTGGGGATTTCGCCGGTCCATGTATTATTTCTCTGACCCAACAGCGATCATGAAGAGCAAGTGACATGAATCAGCGCAATGGCTACTTTTGTTATCCTTAATGATATGTCTTATCACTTCCAGGGCAACTGAAGTTGCTGTTACTTTGACTTATGTCTCCAATAACTCCTTCAGGGAATTGTCCTGTTGTTAATTGGGACTGTGACGTCACTTTGCCATAGTGGATACTGTGTCACGTAAGGTTTTCAAGAGATTTCTCCTCTCATGGCTTGAGTCTGGAACGGCCACTACGCGTGCTCATAAACGGGGGCATTCCTTTAGATTAAGAAACAGTCAGGCGAATTTATTCCAGGGGGAAAGGCCAGAATATATGTCTGTTAACGGAAGTATATCCTTGTATTCCGGGTAAAAGAGTGGATGAAAGGATTTAAGTCTGCGTCAAACTACTGCAAGGCTGCCTTAACAGTTCCCTCTAACCGAATTATTATTGCTATTTGGCAACTAGAACCTTGGCTAGACAAGCGGCTGGTACCCTGCTGGTTTTTAGGGTTTAAAAATAGTTGGACAATCCTCTATTTTTTGTTTGCTTGCTGTCATTTCTAGGAAAAAAAGTTTTATAAGAATAATAGGATAACTGAAAAGGCCTCCTCTTAAAGTATCATGCTGCGTTTAACCTTTTCTGTTGACTAAAAAATAACATGAAAATATGCACTGTGGGTTTCGTGTATCTGTCGATTCAGTTGTGGTGTGAACCATCACACCAGCTAGTATATCACGCCGGAGAAACTCCGTTATTGCTACTCGTACCACTTCCTCAATCTTAGGCTTTTCTTAGAAAGAAAACAGCGTTCGTGTCATTATAAATGCCAACGCTGTAGTCTGGATTAAGTGATGTGCCCGCAAAAGTTCACACAGGTAAAATACAAATTTCCATAATTAGCCACGTGCTTCTATTCCAGAAGATGAGGCTAGCAGGGGATTTGAAGGTTACAATAACAAACTTTTGTTAGAAAACACTTTTCTCTCAGCGAAATCACGTGAAATATAAGCAAGAAAAAAATCTATAGCTCTCGTAATATTGTAAGTGTCGTGTGAATCACTATAACAACACAGCATAAATTCAAACCTGTGTGTTTTGTTATCGTCAGATATTTCCACAAAAATGAAAGGAAATCTTAGAACAACTTGGGTTTTTAAAACTTTGAAAACAAAATGTGCTTTATAAATCTTATATTCCCACCTGTCCTGACGCACCTCACAGTCCAAAATGAAATTAAATTAGTATTTATGACACTTTTTTCAAATAATAGCATAGTCGATATCAAAGATTCTTAGCTAAGTTATCTGTAATTCAAACGCCTAGGTGATGATTCTCGTTTGTCGGCCAACTGGTGCCCCACAAGAGCCACAGGGCAGAATCGCATGGCAGTGCGAGTGGCAATTTTGCTTCCCCATGACTGGCACAGTGGTGCGGCTAATTGGTGCTCCTCAACTGGTACAGTGCAGTATGCATACCACCACATCTTGGTATTGCCACTTCTTGTTCCACAATTGGTACAGTTCAGTACGTGTATGTATGCCAACACATAAGGGTATGGATAATTTTTTCGCCTTCAGACCACTTGCTGCCCTGATACTGGTACAGAACAATACTGGATGGCGGTACATCTTTCGATCACATAGTACAGCCCATATAATATGTAGCACAGATTGTCATTATTATTATTAGGCTATCGTTATTTGGTCGTGTATTGCACGGATACTGGTACAGATTAGTACGATATGGCAACATGGGCGTGTTTTTTTTAGGGTGCTGGCTCCCTTGGAGTGGTTAAGTTATGTTAAGTATCCCTGTATTTTTGTGAACTAAATCCTGAATGCCTTGACTTTACCCCCGTATGCCGTTTTGTTACAGGTCTGCTTTCCTCTACATTATAATGTGTTCAACTATACTGCTTTTAAAAGGTATTGAATCTCATAAAAATACTTACGATTTCTCCGCTTGAGCCTGGGCTTCAATCTCAGTTTGTAGAATGTCATCGTCGATATTGTCATCTTCTAGCTCTTGTTCGAAACTTTTATGCCGAAGAAAACTGAACTGGCTGCTCAAACTGAAGAAAAAAGAGGAATGCTATATTTAAAACGTTACACATCTACGTTATGTAATTAAAAAGAGAAATTTTCCTTGCCTTTATATCTGCAAATGACATAGTAGCATTTTGAAAAAAAACCGGTACACAGAAAATGCTCCTGAACAGTATAACTTTTCTTCATTAAAGGTCTAAAACATGAGGAAAAATGCCACAATTTACGTAAGATGCACACGTTCTTTTTTCGGGGTAAAATATGCTTCCCAATCTACCGGCCGAAGGGTTCTAATTCTCAAGCAAAAAATCCATATTACAAACATTTTCGCATTCTAAGGTAGTTCTGCTACCTGCACCACTGTATCCAAGTGATGTGGCAAAACAGTTCCCAGCTGTTCCGTTTGTACTTCGTTGACATTATATATCCAAGTAAGTCGCACACACACTGCATCCACTTATAAATCACATTTTCCCTGTATTTTTATGAGTCTGGGGACAAAAATTAACTTTTAAGCCTTACTTCCGGCCTATATCGAAATACTGGGAAGCGAAAATACGACTGAAAATAGAGTGCAATATCAACTGTTTTTACTGGCAATATCTCAAATGGTACAACTTGACGCTTTGGACCTGATTCTAATCTCGTTCTCCTGGCGCGAGACGAGACTAGTGCGTGCAAACAGTTTCAAGATACATCATCACGAAATATACTTTAGTTTTCTTAAGGATCCAATAATCTAATTTTAAATTAGGCCATGCAAGTAGCTTAATTTGATACAGGTAGAGATATCATTTTCTTTTTCTTTTCTTCTTATTTGATGTTATGCTGATAGTCTAAATTCTGTTGTTTCTTTTATAAATTTAACATAAATATAACAGTTAGTCATGTTGATACTATGACGGCCAAAACATCACTAAAATGAAAACAAGTCTTACCTTTTAACACTTTCGAAAATGGTATGACAACGCATATTTTGTTCTAGGTGAGTTTTGGATACTTGTATATATTATCGATGTATAATTACAAGCTGCCTGGTGATTCGAAGATTGTTTGATTGAACTGGTATACCGTTTCTACAGTAACTTAGTGACTCTCAGTATCTTTTTCCTTGAACTGGTAAGGGTACTACTTTCCAGCTATTTGTATCAATTGACTCCCTTTCCGGCCCTGCTCGAGTAAACACGTAAGATATAATCATAGACTTCCGCGTTGGAAACCTAATCTACTGTATGTATATTCTTTATTGCTTGTTGATCCAATATAATTTAATTCCAGATGACTTATGTCCTAACCTCAGCTCGAACCAAGGCAGCAAAACAAAATATCTCTTTTCAGGGAGTGGATTGCCTGGGGAGCATTTATCAGTTCACCTGAGAGAACCCAAACTGTGTTTTATTTCAAGGAAATGTTTCAAGAGAGGCATGTTAATTGGTCAATGCCCAATCTACAAAATGATAATTGTTTATACTGAAGACAAACGGAAAACAGAACAAGATGTCAAATTGCGATGTTGGTGTCCTGAAAACGAAGCCATTTCCCCCAAAGAATATATTAGGAAAACGTGCATCTCCTTATTTGCACAGAAAAACTGCGTAAAACGTGTTAAATTTGTGAAAATCAAACTCTCATGCAGCTATGTTTTTTTCTTTCTTCCTTTTTTTTTGAGGGGGGGGGAGGCTAAGGCCCCTACCTTGCTTTACAAATAGATAGTAAAATCCTACAAATATAAAAGGATTGATAATGAGAAAAGGTTGTGTTTAGTAGGACTTCCTCTAGGGTTAATTCACTCAGAGCTTGAGGTCAAGCTGTTCTATGAAAAAAGTTGCTGGAGATGTGGAAAATGGGAAAAATACCATTCACAACAAATTACATGTCAAACAACAAAATAGGAAGAGAAAACACATCGTTAATTCGTACCAAGTGGCGCTACACCACGTGCATAATTTCCCGGACAAAGGTGCTCCTTTAAGAGCGACCTCTGCTAAAAAGAGGTTTTGCGGAGAAAGGGGTGTTTTAAACTTCTCTCATTGGTGTATTGAGGTGTAAACAGTGTTATATAAAACCGTAAGATTTTGGTGCACAGCAACATAAAAATAATGTACTGTTTGAATTAGACGAACACCTGCCAAATCACCGTCTCACAGACTATTAGAAACGAGAAAGATGAAAGAAACACCACTAAAATGTATTAAGTGATGTGGCTTCATTACATGGATATACAACCGCGTTATTCTATGCATGCCTGAAAGGCGAAAGAAGCGGAATAATTCATCATCGAAAAGTTCTTACAAAGACAATGTTTTTATTCCTGATGGGAACCTATTAGATTTACGATGTCTTATATAAAAGATCAAACTCTCTCATTTCGACTTGAACAGGGCTTTCATGGGTTTTTGGGACGCTTTCGTTACGCAACATGTCTGAACTTTTGTTGGGTTTAGGACGTCATTTCTTTCATTATAAGATATTTCTGTGAAATTACGTTTGCTTACCACTGAAAAGAGGTTAGTCTCCACCAGACATTAATTAAGGGCATTAAGTCTCTATGAGCAATCTCGCGTGGTTTGTAGTAACATTCCTCCAGTTAATGGACGTCTGTTGCAACATGGACTGAACATGAGTAACTGACAAGCCGCGTTTAGGTGGAACACTCATCAGAATACTAACAAGCCGAGGCACTCGGCGTATAGAAATAACACCAATCTAAATTACAGACTTGGTCGATCAGGGGGGGGGGGGGGAAGCTTTGGAAACAGATGTGAAAACAAGCCTTCAGTACACGTTGAAGATAAAATACTAAAAATGAATCACGAATTTTCACATAATATGTACTGTGAATCTGTAGTAAAGTGTGATTCACCCACTGCATTACTCCAACACATTTGTTTGCTGGCAGGAACCAAAATTGACCGCCCGAGTCACTTTTCGGGTGAATATGGGGATGCACGTGTTCCGTATTCCCTGCAAAGCTACGGGCGCGGCACTCGGCTTTAGACAATTCCCCGAACCTCTAACTTAAGCTTAAAGATAAACGTAGGATTGAGTGGAATAATTATCCTTCTGGCTGACAAAGAGGACACGTTCTTGCTTTGAGCCAATTAATGTACAATGCACCTACCTTTTAAATGAACTAGAAACGATGTGATGTCTACCTATACCTTGCCTTCCGTCTAAGGTATACTTATTTCTCCACCGCATGTCAACACGGGCGTATTAATATAGAGACACCTCGTAGGGGCTTGCATATGCAGCACCAGCTGTGGCACCAGTATGGAGAGTTGTGACTTACTTTTTAATTGGTTTTAAATGTCCATTAGTTTCACGGTCGTGCTGACAATGCATACAAGAGTCAACGTACGTTACTAACGCATCGCTGATATAACTTCAGATTTAGCGCAATGACGAGGTTTTATTTTAAACCGAGATAAGACAAAGTTCCAATCGCATAAATAAAAGAACTATTGTAATTTCAGTGTAAAGTCACTGCCGTGCAATAACAACGTTAACACAGCACGCCAATCTAGTAATAAAATGCTGGGAACCGATATTATTAGTGGTGGACATGCAACAAGACCTCTCCCGAGTAGACACAAATATAAGAAAAACAATTTTCCGCATATTCAGCAATTGTTTTGGTTTCTAAATTTCACATTTACTTACAAGTTTAGAGACCGAAACTTGCTGTTGTAATGGGTGCCCCTTTCACTAGAACTGCCGAACATCATCATCATCTTGCAAAACTTGGTGTCTCTACAGAATTCTGTACGACACCTTTGAAATCTTTAAACACTGTCCAACGACCCACTACGTCATATGTGTTAAGTACCGGGTGACACTGTTTCGTAATAACTAGACATCTGATAGCTAAGATATGCTTTAATGACACCCAGTAATGATAGCTTTGGCGGTCTATCTTTTGCTATATCAGAGTGATGCAACGCAAAGGACAAGAAAAGATTTTACATTGTCTGATCCTCCGTAGATACTAACATGTAAACGATAAAGGTGCTGATTAAAATCTAATTGCACCAAGCCACTGTTTTATTTCTGATGTCGTTCACATTTTACGTGAGACAAAGACGGGTTTGGTATGGGCGTGGCTTGTGATGCAAGTTAGCTTCATAGTAATGTCGATTTTGTGTCACAAAAATATGAACCTTGAAGGCCATTACAAGTAGGCTGCTTTCCTTTGGCCACAGAATAAGTGGATAGGAGCTTGCAATGTTTTATTAAAAATGTTTTTGCCCACCAAGAATTGAGCCCTTATGTACTTTTAGAGGTGTACCTAAAACCCGAATACGTTCTGAAAATTTATTCGATTTTTTTTTTACTTTTCCATCAGTAATAAAATACCCAATATTTAAGTGGCCCAATATAAAGATAAAAATACCTGAAGATATTTGCGATACCCATAGAATACTATTTGTTACGGGGATATTGTAAAACTTTAGAGCGGCAATGAAGAATTAAACAGTGCGTGAAGCGGTCAGTTGTGAATTTGGCTTCCAAATAATTATCCTACCAACATTCACCGGAACACTATTTAACATAACTTTGGGTTTGTATGAATAATTAAAAACCTTTCTTCTCTTCAAATCCCTCAAATATAGGAATGTGACATTCGAGAAAAACATCTTTTGAATTTTTTTTCTAGCCCAACCGTTTGCTTTGTAGGTGATACAGGACTCAAAAGTGACCATGCGTAGTTAAAAAATATTCTTATGGGGGCGAGATAAATTACACAAAAGCATACGGCTACATTAATTGATAGGCAGGTACCATTTACTACATCGGTCATTTAGGGGTCATTCAGTCTGAGGGTTTAAGATCCCCATTATCTCCCTATTATGCTACATTTTCTCAATCATTCTTATTTTTGATTTAAATTGTAAATTATACGCCCGTCAATCAAAATTAATAGTACATTTTTTCCTTAATACAAGTGCTGCACGTTTTAAGGCACGTGCTTCAGGAGTTCCGTTTTTATAACAGACGAAACTGCACGAAAATGGGAGAAGGAACT